CTCGTCGAAGTTGGTGTACAAGACTTGGAGAAGACGAGAGTTAACAAATGTGAACAAATACTTCTGTGACCATTCTAATCCGAAGATGTTGAAATCAGCGGAGTAAGTCGTGTGTAAAGCGGGGCGTTTGACGTTGGTTCTCCACCAGGCATCGTTGGCCAGGTCGGGTCCCCAGTGCAGAGCGGAGGACATGATGTTGTTGCCGCCCTGTGCATAACTGTGGTTGTTGCCGCGCGATTCCATAATGTCGATTTCACCAGACGCGGGCCAAGGGCCGTACTTGTCCTCCTCGGGCATCATCCATATAGCAGGCCAAAGCCAGTCGCCCTTGGGGAGTTTGGCCGTCACCTCGACACGGCCGTACTTGATGCTCTTCTTTCCCTTCGTGACGATACGACCAGACCTGGTAGGAGGCACGATGGTGGAGTTGCCAGCAGTAGTGTTGGTGGCGGCAATACAGTCGGATGGCGATTTAGACGTGCAGGTGCCATCCTTCAGAAGGTTGATGATGGAGTCCTTGTCGATCAGGGCAGCATCCTGAAGGGTGGGCTTGATGTGCAAATGCCCATTCTCGACGTAGACGTTCTCATCACCAGCGGTGGTCATTTGAAACTCGCCGTTACTGGTTTATGATATTAGCATGAGCTAGGTTCAATGGTTTCAAGAGTGGATTCTTACCCAAAACCACCGAGTTGTACCTCCTTTGTCCAGAAGTCAGTGTTGAAGCCTCCAGAAAAATCGTCCTCCATCACCATGCAGTATTTGTGCGTCACAACACTTCGGAGACCATCCCAAACGAGGAATCCTGAAATGCCCAGACCAACAACTATGCCCAGGATGGGGAGAATGGTGACCCATTTCTCCTTGGGATCCGTCTTGTCCATCCATGGCTTCTCCACCTCGCCCTTCTTCACCCGTCGGGAGTGGAAGTATCTCTGCCCACGTTCCTCATGTCCCCTTCCCAATGCGCTCGAGCTGCCAAAACTGGAAGCTGGTCTGGAAGCTGGTCTGGAAGCAGATGGTGAAGCAAAAGGGTTGACTGCGCCATTTCTTTGGGATATATGCGTATCCACCCGGTCATCGCCGAAAGGATTCCTATCTGTGTTGGGAGTGCCGGGGCGTAGAGGAGTATGGTTTGCTGTTGAGGCCATTGAGGGGCCACCAGCAAGCTGGCGGCCGCTGTAGTACTGCTGGAAGTCGTTTTGATCCATCGCAATGATGAGGCCGGTTGACTACCAAGCCGGGGTGAGTCCGTCAAGTGCCAGATATTATGAATTAAACTGACGAAGAGGAAAGTATATGACGAACGAATGGATTATTAGCAATCAGATGGTAGAGCCAGATGAGCGAGCGTCTGAATATCTGCACCTCGTCACGCTCGTGAAAGAGAGATAGTCGGTTGGTCTGATGAAAGCAACAGACAAAAGAAGGGTGCACATGAGATGATGAAGAAAAACTCAAGAGTCTCAGCGGAGGGGCGGCAGATAGCTGATAGGAAGCATACCTTACCCTGAATCTGACCTGCATGTACTTCGTACTGTACAAAGTACATTGGCTATTCCATCAATGCATGTGGCTGCAAGCACCTCCAACCATTGACAGGGGGGTTTCCTTCAAGGTCCAAATGGCGCCCAGACGTGGCGATCTAGATTCGCAACATTGAAGGTGGCACTTCATGACATCAAGGCTGATGCTTAAGCTGTGGGACCATCGGATTTCAGCACGAAGAACTCTGCTGGCAGCCAATAGACGGCTGCCGTTCCAATGTGACAAACTGAAAGTGGTATTTTGGGCGCTCCTGACGAGCGACACGAAATTTTCCAGATTCGCTGTCATTCCAGCCACGGCTAATTTAGATAACGAGGAAACTTCAGCCTTCGGGAAGAATGACAGGAAGTATTGATCTCGTCACCAATTCGTGGTGCTCACTGGTCGAGATTCTGATAACGATGATTGGTAAACTGAGTGGTAAGGTGGTCGTTCGTCAGTCGCACATCTCTATTGTCGGGAAAACTTGGTCTGAGATCCGACGAAAGCCCATGTTGTAGCGCTGACCGCCGCAGGGGAGGCGCGACCCCGCGTCGTACCAGCGTCACGGTTTCCAGGCGAGAAGCGCTGCCAGAACAGACACTATTTGAAGCCATACAAACTAGCAAAGCCAATTAGCCTGGGCCGTCTGCCCGACGGCGTGACGGTGAAACACAAAACGATGTTTTCATCTCGTCCATCAGTGCAAATATGTTGCCAGGCGGAGATGAGGGCTCTTGGTCTTCAGCACCGCTCCACCATTCATTGTGGCGTCTTCGAAGGTCAGAGATGCATATTCTCGGAAGTGCTCAAAAGTCGAATCTGGACGTTCTGCTCTGCTACGACAGTCGATCAAATGCAGTGTTACTCCAAGAACCATATTGAATGACAAAACAAGCAAGCTGCGGCCCAACCTGGCAATGTCAACGTGACGTTGTTAGAGGTAACCTTGCCATGTGCACGGCAGCAAATGAAGCTCTCTTGGGACGGGCAGCAACAGTGGCGGTGATTTCACTGTTGTCGCGAAGTACAGCAGGCGGCCCGGCATCGTGGGACAGAAAGCGGTCCTGCCCGGTTCGACACTTGCCTCTCCACCTGTTGCTTGAAGCTCACGGTCATATCTGCATCCTAAGGCAGTGGAATGTCATCAATACGATTCACAGGGCTCTATCATGAGCTTTCATCCTCGTTTACTCCCGAAATATTCGACGTCAGCACTTAAATGATACCGAAGCATCTCTGATTCGCAGCCAAAAAGCAGCAAGAGGTACTTGGATACTTCTCAGTCTTGGCTTGCAACGGTCCCATGTTCCTGCATGAAACCCTTGCAAGACCGAATTAGAACGACGGAAGTATCGATACCAGCCAAGGTTGATTGGCTTCACGACGCTAGCTCAACACTGCCCCTCGCGGTTAGATCTGGGATATTAGCTCGCGATGATCTTGTGTCATGGGAAAGCGGCTCACTGGCCCTGATTTTCCACATTGCTTCAAATGATGTGGGGATAGCTCCGAGGAGAACTGAGCGCCAGCTTGTTGCCGGCCAGCGCTAATGGGATGCTAGCTGGGCCTTGAATAGCATCACCGAAGTTAGAAACGCCTTCATGACGGGCTCGTCAGTCCCAAAGCCATGGAAAAGGGGCACCGCTACCGCTACCGCTACCGCTGACGATACGAGCGAATTGGATTCTATCATCAGGTTGGTTGGGATCGGAAGCCCGAGCCTGCAAACGCGCTTGATCTCTTTCGGGCGCCTCTCCTACTGAGTCTATCGCCACTTTTTTAGAAGGAGTCCAGACGAACGCCGACGAGCTCCCCGCCGTGTCTTGGCCTGCAATCAACACTTCCGAGTATGCTTCGGAGCGGATGAAAGCTCGATACGGACATCAGCTGCTGGCTGACAGCAGCAGCATCGAGTTAACAAAGAAGTATTGCATGCAACTGCAGTCATATTTGAGGTCTCGGCCGATCTATGGAGATGAAATTGCACGGTTTCCAACCAATGATCTGTCGGGTGGAACCAGCTCCGTCTTACGGTCTAGTCTGGTCTTCACAAGCTCTTGCCTCACAGGATCAGCTCCATGACAATGTTGTGGGCGCTGTAGTAGGTAGACCGTGACTTGCATGTTCTGCTATCTGTTGCCGAACCTCGTATTGATTGCTCACCCGGACACGGGACACGGGACCATGTCTACTTCCAAGCGTAGACGGCGGCATGGACTCCCTCAATGTCGTGATTCGATGTCATCACGACGACAACGTTCCCTGTCAGCTACTCATACTTATGCTTAACATGGCGCGATTCTCTTGCATACTGGCCTGTCTGCTTGTGCACCGGCAAGCAGGTTTTTCTGTCCATGGCGAATTTAAGGACCTTGATATCAAAGACCTCGATGATCCATGTCTATCCATAAGCCATGACAAATGGACAAACATGACGGTGCGCAATGGGACTGTCTTCTCTGCAGATATTTCGTCATTCGATTTACACGTTGACCTTCCGCTCTGACGGGTCTCATATTGCACAACAAAGATCGTTGGTGATGTGTGCGAGCCCCGCGAAGCGACGGGTGCACAGGTAGATTCTGATGCGGGGCAAGAGACTGGTTTCAGCGCCGAACCTCTCGATATCAAGTTGCTCGTGCGTTCATAAAACGAGCGTAATTGGTCTTACTTGGGATATATGACCAAGTCAGGGCGCTGACAAGCTCTCGTAGAGTTGACACACATTTGAAGGAATGCATGTAGTTTGATAGCACTATAGATCTAATATCCGAACTACTTGATAAGCTTTCAATGTTGAAATTAAGCTAATGAAAATTACTGAAAGAATCCTGTACAGCGCCTTCACGTGTCTCAAAACCTCGTGATTTAGAACTACCCCATCGTGTACTAAGGTCGTCATCCCCGACCCCACCAGCAACATATATCAACGTTTCACGACCTGAACTCGCATCGTGTGACAATATAATCTGGCAATTCTCATCAGTGTCTTCCTAGCCAAGAACCTTATCTAGCCTATATTGGTTTGCATATCGCCACCGAACGACAGAATCAAGTCCTTCCAAATGCATGGTCAGCTATTTTTACGTACACTTTGCATGCGTGTTACCACGTCACTACTGCATATGCGCAAGTGGGTTAAACCGTTCCAGAAGCACGGGATGGCCAATCTTCCCAGTTTCTACACCCTGCATAGTTCGCAGCAGCACAGCATTGTATGCACAAGGGCCATACCCCTACCCTTGATTGTGCACACCTCAGGGAATGATGTATTAGCGTATACATACCCTAAAGCTTGCCCACTGATGATGAAATCAACGTGGTACGTGTTCTATCTATATAATCTCTATTGGGATGGTTTTAATATCTCGTATTAAATATCATTTGAATGTTGGAATGGAGTAGAGCGTCGTGAGTAAGAACTACTGGATAAATAAGCAGAAGAAAGTGATGTACCATACGACAGAAATTAACATGCGTCGATATCGCTGATCATTTAGTGGACTAGTGATCCTGGTATCGAACTAACTGAATCTCTGAGATGTACTGCAAAACGATTCGATACGGTGGATCATCGCATTCGTTATCCAGGGTATCACTTGATAAAGACCCGTCTCACCACGACAGGCAAGACAATTTGTTGAGAGGAGCTGGCTGACATGTGGCACAACAGGGTGTGTCCAAGGAACTGCTGCATTGGCCTCAGTCGTAGCTGATTGTGAATGACCCAGGTTTGGAATGCTACAATTCCATGATCGCCGCTCGGCTTGTCGGTATTGTATTTGCAGAACGGCACACCGATATTACCACAATCTCACAATAAGATCCCTGGATTAATGCAAGAAAATTGACATGTCTTTGGATGATATTTTGCCTGACACTCAACGTTGCAACCATTGATAGGCTGCAAGCATGCTGGCCACCACTGCCATTATCGCATGCCGCCAGCAGGTCAAGCAAGCCGAAGTTGACGAGTGGCTCAAGCATGTTCGTCTCTCAGTGGAAAAACAACCACCCGCGCCATTGTGCAACATATATCCAGCATCTACCCTGAATGAACCACAAGTAATATCCTCAAAATTGCGATGATGTTGGTACAGGATATACGCAGGCAAGCGGCTAGCGATCCCGACACAAGAAGATAGCGGTAGAACTGCAAAGTTCATCGACGTATGAAAACGGCGCCGTAACGTGCATCCAACGCACCATTAGCAAAAACTCCGAGACACAACTTCTAAAGCTGGTGTTATGGCCGCCACCCAAGACACACAACACGTTGGAAGCAGTACTACATTAAATTCTGGCTATGTACAGGCCTATTGGTTGGGCTTTTTCTCATATCTTCGCGTAGGGTGGGTGGCGATGTCAAGGATCGAATCGGATTCCGTACGGAACCGACCAATGTCGTTCGGTGGATTCAACGGACGGCGTAGCATTCGGCCTCGGCGAAATCGTGAGATCTTCTTGGTGTGAATAAACCGCATTTGATAGCTATATTTTTGAATGGAAGAAGAAACTTTGGGCAGTCTATGATACCTCCTCTGTTCTTGAGGTCGCATTGCGACGGAAAGTTCAAGGACGCAATGCGATGACGGCCACTAATGTGAGGCATGCCAGCTCCACTTCGCATCTATCGTGATCGCCATATCCTCGTTAAAATTTTGCGTTGACTATTTTCCTGCGCTTCATAGGTTAAGCAATTGAAAAGACAAATCATTTGATTCTTCCTCGAGGTGGTGGTGGTGTGTTTTGAGGTGAGGTCAAAAGTAAGTTTGGGGTTTGAGTGCGAAGATTGACAAACTTCAGTGGAGTCTGACCCCTGAAGATTCGAGACTCAGGGTCCCCAGTTCCAGTGTCTGAAAGCATTGCTCTCCCGCACTCTGCAGTAACTATTACCTCCAGACGTCTTGAGTTTGATAATAGTCGTATCAAATAGTTTCATTTTAATCAATGGTTAACCAAGCGCACTAGCAGAGTGTTTCGGTATTTTATCATCATCTCCTTAAGAGTCTAAGATTTCCGGTACACTGAGACTTGGGACACGTCGATCTCAGCACGACCTGCCTAAAACTCATCGCAGAACTCCAGAATTCCATTCTTCACGATTTACCGTTGAAGCCACAGGCTTAACTAGTACAGGCTGAGACGAGGGCTTTCTTTGTGCTCTGAAACGGCCGATGGGATACTTCCCTCGATGAAATGGTCTCGTGCTCTGTTGCACCGAACGTTCTTGTGCGCTTTGTAGATATCAACGCCCCTGATGCTGCAGAAACCTAGTCATCCGATCTTCGAGTAGTATTCGATACAGATTTCCTGTGTTTTCAAAATGTTTGGTTCCTACTTGATTATCGCGTGGGAATCCTTACTTTGAGATCCTGGGTGTTGTAAAAGGCCGCGTACGCTATTTCAGGCGGCATCCGAGAGTATTTTGCTTGGTTAAATATTGTCAGAGTCTTAAGAAATCTACTTCAGCTCTTTGAATGACTAGTTGTACATGGGACTATTAGGTGAGGCGGTCCTCAGGTTTCCCAGCAACTCTGCTGGGACTCTTGTCTATGCTGGCAATATGGTGATCAAACTGCCCTATGGCAGTGCAAGCCCGCGTCTAAGACGATCTGAGAAGTGTACTGGCCGGACAGGATAACTTCAAAGCTTATAAACGTCTGATAAGGTATGGTTTCTCGCATTCCTGCCCTGTCATATGTATATCCCAGGATTGACGAGCTACGAGAAATACCCGGCGATGCTCTTGCAACTACCAAACTACCGAGGAATCCCTGTGAGTTTAAAGCAGAAAAAGATGTCCTGTTTATTCTCAGGCTCTGATATATTCCTATGTAGTGGCACCCAACGATGCGGCAATCAAGAACATCTCCAGCATCGCTCTGGATGGGATTTGGGACGTCAATAAGCCCGAGGTTGTTACCCCTATCCGGCTCTACCACATGATCCGAAGACCACTTTTAACCAACAATATGGCCATCGGAGCCCAAATTCGCCTCGAAATTTCTGGCCGACCCAAAATGGACCAATTCCACTAATAGGAAAGTGGACCTCATCAATAAGCAGTCCAAAAACGCCGTCACAACTCTAAGAAAAAGAAAAAAAAGCCGATATAACCTTTTCTAGCAAGCTGATCCAGTCATTGACAACGTCTCATTCCTTCCGGATAGCTAAACAACACTTTGGAAGCATTCCAGGAACTTTCATTCCTCGGGGCCTTCTATGCCGGCAATGTGTACGAAGAGATCATCACGAAGCCAAACTGGACCATTTCGGTGCCGAATGTGCCGGCTTTCCAAGCTTTCAATAACAAACTTTCAAAATAGACGCCGCGAATCTAGCGCAGTTCACGAAGTACCACGTCATACCGGTCCAAGTGCTTCCCTCAACCGCATTGCTCAACGGCATGGACTTCACGAATTTGGGTCAGGGTCTTCAAACAAATCGCAGCTCCATTTCATACGCGCTGGGAACAATCTCTACGTCAGTTCGGCCTGAATCCTCAACCCAGGTATCCTGCTCGCTAGAGAAATCTTGCATATTGTCGACAATGTACTGAATCCGAATGTGACCGTGCTGTTCCGGATCCTGAGCTCGAGACGCAAGTGCCTGTGTTTCCACATGCCACTGACATGGCGACGGTGACGCAGACCGGGACCGAGTTACTGTTCACCACGGAACTACCTTGCACGTCTGATTGCCCTGTGACGACCGGCGATGCCGGGGCTGAGGGCAGGGCTACGACCAGGAGTTCGAGGATGAGACCAGTTCCAGCAAGACTGGAGGACTCATAGGACCGATTTGTACCCGGTTGAGTGTTGGTTTGGGGGTGGTGGGCGTGGGTGTGGGTGCTGTTGGTATGATCCTTGATGTGTAGACTTTTCATAATGGAGACCACACATTGGAAGCAGCACTCAGTATGAACGAACCACGGCTCGTTGTTGAAGTACCATGGACCTCAGCACCTAAATAACATGCCATCAGTCGCCAATGCAAGCCACGCTCCTGTTCTTGATGTTCATATTTCGAAGCTATCTATTAAATTGGAGAAAGCCAATAGCGTGGTACGCGACGAGTTATGTGGCCAAAAAAGCAAATTCGCCTCATAGTGATAGGTACATATCACTCTATTACTATATAATATATAGTCACAGCTCTGAAACCACGTTCCGCTACAGCTAGGTGGGATTAAAGGTGATATGATCCTGCAGAAGAACAACACCAGAATCTATACATCGACACATTCAGACCTACTATGCGCTCCGTCACGAGATCACGGAATACCCAAGCATCCCCTATTCCCCATATCTCTTTCTACTTCCGCGCCGCCTTTTTCAGCCTCTCCTCCATCTGCTCCCGGGGACTCCTCAATTCCACCTTCGGAAACCTCACATCCTTGTCCCAAGGCAAGAAATCACTCCCCTCCACCAACCACCTCAATACCTCCTTCTCAAGTCTCCCAATAAGCTCCTTATGCTCCGGCTCCGCTGCTAAATTATGCATCTCATGCACATCAGCCACACGATCATACAGCTCGGCGGGTTCATAAAGTCGGTACACGTAGGTCCACCTCTGGTCCCTCATAGATATCGCCTTCCCCACGAGCTCAGTATCCTCGTGCTGCAGCGCCGCCTTGATGTCGTACGGGTACGGCGACTGTTCCAGGAGCGGTTCTTCAGAGGTCAGGAAGCCGCCTTCGGAGAAGGCATATTTCTTATGTTCTTTTGCGTCGCCGCATAGAAGGGGAACCCATGACTTGCCGTTGTGCGAGAAGTGTTCGCCGATGCCCGAAAGCTCGAACATGGTGGGGATGAGGTCCACCATCTCGGTCATTGCGTTGACGGTTTGGTTCTCTGGCAAGCCCGCACCGCCGATGAGAATGGGTTCGTGGACAAGCGTCTCCGAGAGACCGGAAGGCCATTTCTCGATGAGGCCATGGTCGCCCAGGTACTCACCGTGGTCGGTGAAGAACAGGGTGACGGTATCCTTCCATAAACCTAGTTCGTCGACCTTCTTGATGACGCGACCAAACTGCTCATCGAGCCGCGAGATCATGCCGTAGTACGTGGCCTTGATCTCGCGCCATATCTCGTCGCTTGCTTGACCTGTCCCGTACCGCTCGCGGATCGTCTGCATATACCGCGGCTCATACCCCGTTTTGCTCTCAGGCTTGCTCAACACGGCCCCCATCTTCTCGCGCTCGTACATGGAGAACCATGGCTCCTCGACCTGGAACGGGCAGTGTGGAAAAAGCAGCGGCATGAACAAGACCCAGGGTTTGTCATCGGGTGGACACTCCAGCCATTTCAGCGCAGATCTTATGACGGCCTCGTCGTAATCGAGCGCCTGATTCGGGGTTCCGGAGCCCCCTGTAGAAAAGCCGTCCCCAGATACCGTCCTTGAGCACCGGAGGCATGTTGCCGCCCGCAAACTTGGGCATGAAATCGGGCGTCTCGAGGAACCCGTATTCAGTGACGCTGAGTTCCGTCACGGTAGGCGCAAAGGTGTCACCCCTGGGCGCTAGACAGGCGACATGGTACCCGTCCTCTTTCAGGCTGCGGAACAGGTTGGGCTCCCAGGGTTTGATGAGGTTCTGGAGGCTGCGGTGACCGCTGACGTGTGGGTACGTGCCTGTGAACATGCTGCAGCGCGACTGCGAGCACACTGACGCCTGCAAGAAGCAGTTAGTGAAGAGCGTGGATCGGCGCCGGAAGGCGTCGATGTTGGGCGTTTGGATGTTCGAGTTGCTGCTGCTGCCATCAGGGCTGGTGGTGCATCCTAGCGAATCGTAGCGGAGTTGATCCGGCATGAAGATTATGTAGTTTGGTTTGTTGCCTCCATTTTTAGATTTGATCTGAAGCGGCATTGGCTTTGGTGGCAAGGTGTGATTAGAGGCCATCTTGAGCTGATGTTTTTTCACAGCCGACGGACCCAGAGCTTGCTATCGCGTCGATGGATGTGCACACAACGTTTTGAGCGAAGTCGCTTTTTGTACCTTCAGGTGAAGCTGAAGCCCGCTTGACTGCGAGTAACAGTCTCTTATACTCAGAGCAGAATATCGTCTGGACAAAGCCTCCGGGCTTCGCGTTGACGTGATCGTCTCTCGGGACGGATCTCGTACGGCATTGGGCGGAACTCGGGGTCACGTCATTACCTCTAGCTGATGTGAACCCCTGGAACCGCGCAATCATTGAATTTGAAGGCTAGCGCCTTATCCCATCAACCACTTAAGACGGAGTGCTTTGTGACGAGCGGGGTCCCTTCTTGGATATACCACCGAGGGATGAATGTCGACATATAAGTCAAGACTTGACTTGCTGGCCTCGGCACTTTATGGACAACATCGTTCATGAGAAACCTATCCTGGAATGTAATCCGCAATCAGACAACATGTTCGAAAAAGCAAGATACTTTAACCGCACCCTAGCCCTGGCGGCAGGCTTGATTGCCGTGTCGACATTTAACTATGGCTTCGACAATCAGGCCTTCTCGACGACGCAGGCCATGGACTCTTTTACAAGGCAATTTGGTGTCGTGGACGAGTCAACGGGGAAGTACGCTTTGGAACCAGCTTGGCTCTCGTTATTTAACAGTCTGAATTATATCGGGTTCGCCGCCGGTAGGTACATCCAGCATTACCATCGCCCCGGCTCCATCCCCAACTAACGCAGTTTGTGTCCAGGCGTCATCATTGGGAGTATGGTGTCCTCTCGCTGGGGGCGCCGATGGTGTATGTTTGTCATGAGCTGCTATGCGCTGGTGACGGCTACGATTGCGGTCACGTCTAACACGAAAGAGCAAATCATGACTGCCCGTATCCTCAACTATATCTACGTCGGCATGGAGTTGGCTGTCGTACCGATTTTCCAGTCTGAATAGGTGAGAAACTCGTCAATAATTCGGTTAAAGACCAAAGAGACAGTCTCACTGAAAACGAATCCTTCCAGTCCCTGCGCCAGCCCGTGGACTCCTAGTCGGCACCTATCAGTTTTCCTTGGTCTTCGGTGGCTTGTCATTAACTCCATCTGCTACGGAACGAGCAAGCTGCCCGATAACCGAGCGTGGCGAATCCCGCTTGGCATGTTCTATCTCGTACCCAGCATCGTACTGTCCCTCATCTTCTTCATCCCCGAGTCGCCACGCTGGCTTCTGTATAAGAACCGTGTCGATGAAGCCAGGGTCATGCTACAACGTCTTCGAGAAGGTGCTTTCTCCGACGATGAGATCGAGAACGAGTTTCGCGAACTGCAATTTGCACTCAATCAGGAAAATGAACAGGGTCGATTTATCGAAATATTCCAGAGACGTAATTTGAAGCGGACTTTCATCGTCGTCCTAGTGAACTTTTTCCAGCAAGCCACTGGCCAGGCCTTCGCGTCGCAGTACGGTGCCGTCTATGTCCGGTCGTTGGGCACGTTTAATCCAGTACTTTTCAGTCTGATGAACGCGGGTATTATCGTCGTCATCACCATAGCCATACTATTCCAGGCAGACCGATTTGGAAGAAGGCCCCTGCTGATGGTGTCGTCTATTGCCTTGACAGGAGTTCTGATGACTATGGGAGGGTTGGGCATTGAGCAGCCCGTCTCGGAAGCCAGGAAAAAGGGTATCGTCGCGATGGTATCGCTGCTTGTTATTAGTTTCTCGATTGGTTGGGCGCCAATGACCTTTGTGGTCGCGACCGAGGTACCTGCTCTGCGACTGCGTGACCACAGCTCCCGATTAGGATTTGGAATGAATGTGTTGTTCAAGTGGGTAAAGCCCTATCCCCGCCGCCTGGGGGAAACTTACTAATTATGTTACAGCTTCCTAGTCAACTTCTCAATTCAATATCTCATTTATGCGCCATATGCCGCTTGGGGCAGTAAGGTCGGATTCCTCTTCGGCAGCTTGGCCGCGCTGGCCTTGGTGTTTACCTTCTTTTGCGTCCCCGAGTGCAAAGGCAAGACACTCGGACAAATCGATTTACTGTTCAGCAGTGGGGTGAAGCTGAGAGATTTTGGAAATATTGACGCAGAAAGCATGATGGATGCTGAGACGAACCACCTCGGAGGTGGCGGAAAGGGCGCGATTGTGACTACCAAAGCTAACCACGTTGAGGAGGGTGTGCAACATGATGGGTAATTTGCGAATAACGAGAGGTTCCAATTTTATGAAATGATCATATGGATGACATCTTCATTTCCTTTCCAGTTCCTTCTCAGCGCGAAGCCAATGTCAAAAGCTTGATTACCTTGGGCGACAATGACGGCCATAGTCTGTGATTGGAAGACAGGCGATATATTGATTATTCGAAGCTGAGAAAGACCATTAATACAAGGGGAACGTCCCCAAATCTGGAACACGATCAACTTGGAAAAGATAGACCAAACCCTCCAAGCTGTGGGTCATGATAGTCGTTCAGCTGCATGTCAAATGGATCCCACTGAATGAACCCCTCGTGCCCCCCGAAAACCGGTGACATGCCTTCAGCTCCCATAGCATTTGGAATCTGAGAAAGGGAGCCGAGTTGAGGCGCAGCTCCGGGCAGTGACGCTATTTCTCGCCCAACTCTCTTTACGCTGGCAGACAGCGCTGGCTCTCCCAATATTCTCAGGGCAATGTCGTCATCTGGTTTCGCCGCGTCTGTCTGCTCCCATATTTTTGGAATCAAAGAATGTTTCGATGTAAGATGGTACCTGTGATCTTGATCCTCACTCTCACTACCAGTACTTGACCCGCTGTGGCCCAAAGTCTGTACCAGGTGCTCGGTATCCACAAAGCAGCGCGCACCGCGCGGAAAATGGGTTTGAAGAAAGGAGACTACCTGTAAAGCTTTTTCAAGCTTGGTTTTCAGAGATCCCAGAGAGTGTGATCCTTGACGAGGCAAGAGGTGATGTAAATGATGGACGATCTGCGCAACTTGATAGATACTGATGCTGAGGAAGAAGTCCTCAATCGGCTGGCAAAACTCGACATCTGCAATCTCCGACCACAGCTCGCAGAGTTGAATGGCTTTCGATAGACAGGCCTTCTGGCAAAATTCGACGAAATCCGGAGGGGTGGCTTCGATGTCAGCTTTGTTAACGGATTCCCGGATTCCAGGAATGAGAAAGCGGTAGAGGTCGCAGTGACACTGCAGCCAGTGGGTATGCAGAAGAACGTAAGCACCCGAGTCACTAGATTGTGCCATAAGTAGAAGTCTCTCAGAGTTGAGCCTCAGATCTTCTGGAAGTGTTTCTTCAAAATGCTGTAACTCGGTTTGAAGTGTTTCCAGCTGATTCTTACTCGCTACAGGGCTGAGACCCTCCCTTCTGACGTGTTTGGTATAGCTTTCTAACGCGTTAGCTTACACTATTCGACCAAAGAGAAAGTGCTCGGCTAGCCATACCTCAAAATCCGATCCCGGGTAGCAGCCAGCCTCGTGTGGTATGCCAGAAGATCCATGTGGCTCCGATCTGTCTGTGTGGGATGTAGCGTATCATCCAGGTATTCAGCCCGAGACGAAATGCCTCTTTGAAAACTGCGATCATCGCATGGTAGACGGATACGCAGTCGGTTCACGGGACAAACGGCGAGATCTTCTATGCCGCCAGAGAACATGCGATCAAGCAAATACACGGCCCATATTAGGCGCCTGCGCGATTCCTGGACCACAGGATCTGAGTCTTCATGTTCCTCATTCAGTCCCAATGTGAAAGCAAGTCTTGCTGCCAAAGAAAGAAGATTCCAAGCTTCCGCTATTTCATCTTCAAAGAAGTGGAACTGAATTATGAGGACCAGAATCTGTAATTGGTCCATTGATTGCTTCTTTACATCCATCAGAACAGAGGTTTGTACTCGTTGCATCCAGGCCCGCGCTGTGGCTTTTCCCCTTGGTATCATATTCCGGGTGCGTAGAGCCAGGAGACGCATTCCTGAGGCGCACAAGGCCGTTTGCAGAAGGGTGTTCAGTCTTCCTCTGCTCCAGTCTGCCAGAACGGTTGGTCGGTGGAGAAAAATGCATGTTGAGGGATTCGTCATGGCGAAATAGGCCTCTATATACTGTCGCATGGTGACCTTGTCCAATGCTATAGCACTACTTGGAGGTGGGGCGCTGGAAAATGTAAATCCCAAATGCTGCAGTGGTTCTGCTGGCTGTTGGTTCTGCGTATTGCTGTCCTCGGAACGAACACATTGGATGCCCCTGCATCTGCACCTTGCGCAAGGCTCATCGCCCGAGCATTTGGCCTTAACCTTACGACATGGCAAGCATGCACTTTGCACTCTTTTCCGTTTGGTCCCGGCCTGAGTCAACAACGACGGATGCGACAACGTACTGGAGTCCGGTTCAGGGTTCTCCGAAGGGCCTCCAAATGAGCAGTGGAAGCTGAGACGGGAGCAGGCACCGCAGCAAACCTTGACGCGGTCGCATTTAACATGCCTCGCCCGACACTGTTTACAGGCTTCTTGGCGTGGTGTTGATCCAGCGGGCGGCAGTCGTACATCACCGACAGCTTGCAAAGGGCCCTCGCCGAGCCGGGTGTCGTCCGCGGTAGTTGGCATACTCATATGGTGGGCCTGAACGACAAGCGGAAGGTTGACATCGAATGTAAGAAGAGTGTGGAGCGTTCGGGGCGGATCTCGTAAATGCTAACCTGGGGTATCGCGGATTGAAGCAAATCACGCCATTGGCCCACTAATTGGTGTGACATCTGGGGAAGAACGCCTGGCTTACTTTCAGATGCCAGCTAATTGCATGACTTGATGGGAATTATGTCATTGTTAAAGACGTCTCTCAACCTATGCCCACGCAGATTGGTCGTACCCTTCCATGAACTTGACGAACTCGGGTCCGCCGGCCGCCCAACCCCGAACCCCATCCAGGAGAACCAGGCTTTCCATGGTGGTGTCGCCTTGATTCTCGATATGATCAGTCAGCCAGCCAGCTGCGCGCGTTCCGCGACCTCGCGAAGAGCCTGACGCAGACAGAGCAAAGTAAGCGGTGTTGGTGACAAACCAGGTTGGTCGTTCACGAGAATTGATGGTGACGGTGCTTACCGCAGTAAAATACGACCTTGCGAGCACCAGCAGCCTTAAAGAGGCCGTATAAGGTTGGCAGGGCCGGGTACAAGCTCTGCGCGGGTAAGTTGATTGACCCTCGAATCGTGCCGCCCTATGTTACGTGAGTGGGCAACGTGCGATTCGATCCCGGGGTTGATTCTACCTCGTGATCAGCTTTTCGGAGGTCAACGAGCACAATGCCCCTGCCCACCGCGTCTGGATCCTCCTTCAGGATGGCCAGAAGCTCCTCTCGGCTCATGCCTTTGGGCTGTTTGCATTTAGGAGCTAGGTATGCGGCGAACCACGGCTGCGTGTCCGTTGTTGCTGAAACATTCGGCAAACTCATCTTTGTTCAGCTCAGGAAACCGCGGCAGCCAGCTGTAAACTGGTAACATTGGGAACATGGAAGTAACAGATGTAGAGGGGTGCATTTCGCACGGCTTCAATTTTCAGCTGAGACTGTGCCGCTAGGCCGCTCAATTTGCGATGACGATCCACTTGGCGGGACATGTGTCAAGACCCTATCATGATTGGCTAGAAAAGAGAGTCTAGTTTCCCCCGGTGACGGTGAGGACTGGACGGAAAGGACTGGACGGACAACTGAACTACAACCCGTCAGAGTTGTAAAATGATAAAAGACGACAGCCTATATTTCTTTCCTTCTTTCTGCTGATCGTAGTATGAAGAAACCCGACATTCTCTTCCAATGGCGGTAGCGGAACATGCTGCAGGTGAACCCAAATCGACCGCTGCAGCGACGCCATCTCCTGGGAAGCATGGCACCACGGCGAAGCCATCGCCAGGCACACTCGAAAGCCAGAAAAGCCCCAGCAATGACCACGACGCGAATGATAAGATGTCGGCCTTCAGGACACTAGGTTGGCTGGATCGATTCCTTGCTGTGTGGATATTTCTCGCCATGGTCGTAGGGGTGCTCTTGGGTAATTTTGTTCCGGAGACTGCATCAGCTCTTGACAAGGGCAGGTTTGTTGGAGTTTCGGTCCCAATAGGTTGGTTACTGGTCGTACTTTCTTCCCTGATGACAGATGACAGAAGACTAATGGTTCTCACCAGCCGTGGGCCTACTCGTCATGATGTATCCAATTCTCTGCAAGGTTCGCTATGAAGCTTTGCATGAGATCATGTCGCATCGTGGAATGTGGAAACAGATCCTCTTCAGCGTAATCATGAATTGGATCGTGGCCCCTTTTTTCATGGTAAGTGCACTTCCATTCTGAACCCTTGTGGTCGAAGAATGGTCGCAGTGAAACTGACTGAACAGTTTGGTCTGGCGTGGGCATTCCTGCCAGACAAAAGCGAGTTGCGTGCGGGGCTCATCCTTGTGGGCTTGGGACGATGTATCGCGATGGTGCGTTCTCCAGGGCTGCCCCTTCCGAAGATAGATTGGCCGAGAAATTGATGTGCATCCCAGGTTCTCATCTGGACGGGCCTCGCTGGCGGCCATGGAGAGTATTGCGCAATCCTCGTGGCCATCAATTCAATCCTTCAGATGTTCCTCTTTGCCCCATTGGCCGTTCTTTTTATTCGCGTCTTCGGTCACAGCTCCGATTCACTGGACATCTCATACTCGGTTGTTGCCACCAGCGTTGCCGTATTCCTCGGCATTCCCCTGGGTGCGGCCACCGTGACGCGCTTCGCCTTGCGTGGTCTCAAGGGTGCGGAGTGGTATGAAAGGGTATTCATCCGGTTTGCAGCACCGTGGTCATTGATCGGCCTGCTGTACACGATTCTGGTCCTCTTCGCATCGCAGGGCCACCGAGTCGTGCATCAAATCGTCTCGGTGGTCCGTGTGGCTGCACCACTAATGGTTTACTTCATTGTCATCTTCTTTCTAACGTTGTGGGTCACCCATAGACTCGGTTTCGGATATGCTCTAGCCGCCACGCAAAGCTTTACCGCTGCGAGCAACAACTTTGAGCTAGCTATTGCGGTTGCTGTTGCGACGTTTGGGGCCAACAGCGATCAGGCTCTGGCAGCAACTGTAGGACCACTCATCGAGGTGCCTGTGCTGCTTGGTTTGGTGTATGTTGCAAAGCTTGTCGGAAGACGATTCAGTTGGAAGTAACATTTGTAGCTATGGACTTCATATCAATGCCTGAGGCCGTCTTAGCAACGACGCATACCATGAAGTTTGCCGTGTCATTGCCGAATTGCATCAAGGGGTCTCGTCCATGAGCTGAAACAGTCGGGTGTTCTTGACTGAGCAGACGGTCGCGCTGCCGCATCCCAACAATGCACGAGCTTCTGTCACATTGTCATTCCCACGGAGATTGGCAATGATTATTGCAGCCTCGTCGCAAGAAGTCACTTGTCCTCTCAACTCACCACTCTCGTTACAGCAGGTCACTTGTCCTCTCAACTCGCCGCTCTCGTCGCAACAATTCACTTGTCCACTCGACTCGCCACTCTCGTCGCAACAAGTCGCTTGCCCTCTCAACTCGTCGCTCTCATCGTTACACACGGGTGGGCTCCTGCCATCAGTCATGACACAAGAATATCCAGGGGGTCCATCATCTTGTGACTTCTTGACACACGACATGGAACATCGCCGTGGTTCTGTCTCACGTATCAGCGGCAGAGGAATTCGACTTGGCCCAGCTTCTGCTGCACCTGAAGCTTCGACCGCCAGCACTAGACTCGATCGACACCCAGATAAAGACGATTCATTGTCCATCATGCTAATCAAATTCCCCGAAGTATCGTCCATGCGTGGCTCATTGCAGTTCGGAGCTTCCGTGGGATCAACAGTTCCAGGTGCGGCCAGGAAAGCGTCGATCTCGTCCTGCTTCACACCATGGAGGGCAAGCAAGGCGAGAAGTTTTCCATTCTTGATATGGACAGCACGCGCAGCACGCTGCATCTCAAGAGTCGCCTGGACACCCAGACGTTCATACTCGCTCACACGCTTTTCCAAATCGGCGACGTACTGCTTTCGGCGTTCGCGAGATCGCTGCTGGCTCAGCCGGTTCTCATCGCGCGATTCTGGGATCCTGACCTGTATGCGCAGCACTTGTCAGTCATCCTGATAAACGCACGAGCATTTCGTCGGGGATGGCTAACTTTTCGAGGCATTTGGGGACGGTAGAACGGATATCTTTGGTTTTGACATCGACGGAGGTTGTTGCCGTTCCCGAATCTAAAGTTTGTGAGATGTTCGGTGCTTGAGGGCCCGTGCATCGGCTGGCGGGGATCCCAAGACTACTCCGCACTTGGCATCGAACCATTCAGCGCAATATATGGAGTAAGGAGGAAAGTTACATTTATTAAGTGCTGGGTGAACATGAACAGGCGAAGAATGTGGTAGGTTGCCCCACTCTTAATCTGCTGAAGTTGTGCATGAACCAGATCCGCGTAATCGACATATCAATGAAGGAAGAGGAGAAGGGCCAAGTAACTTGTACAGATATGATGCTACTACTAATTCAAGTCTTTTTGCTATGCCGACTTGGCACGCGTCTTTTGTACATAGATTCATTTTCTCATGTTATGATGTCTTCCAAGGTAGCTATTCTCCACGCTGAAGACATATATTCTCCTTCCGAGCGAAATATGAAGTCCTGTGTTTGTCAGACGATTACCTGTAGATGCTTACAAGTTCGAAGTTGGAGATTACCACGGTCTTGGATGGCTCATTTGGATTGGCGGTAAAATTAAGACTGAGGTTGATTTTAAATAAACTGTTAAAGCTGGCATACCGTGACTGTGTCCCTCGGGAAGATAATGTGTTGACCCAATTTGGCTGGTTACCGAAGATCGTGATTAAAAGTGGGACGCACACATAATGCTCTGCACAACGCTCATTCTCACTATAATATTACGAGCAGCTAGAACAGACTTAGTCTGCCCTCCAATCAAAAGGTGCCATTTCGGAGTTGTGACCAAATCGGGTAAGTCAAGCTAGATACTAACTCGAGTCTCACTATATTAAAGTGCTGGTTACTTAGATAGGCCGAATTTATCCCAGGGCTAAATGATGCCCCGAATGAAAGGAGGAAAGCTCCTTACATTACATGCACGTATACAAAGGGCCGGTTTTATAATGATTCGAGTTACGCGAGCAATACTTTGCGAAGCAAATCATCCCTGCGGGTCCCATAGTCGCAGCCCTAGACCGCCAGTGTAACGTTTTCAATAAGATCCCACAACCGCCCTAGCCTCGTCTATAAACAATGTGCAACGTACCCCGCAGTCATTTATCTTCACGTTCGCGGATACCTGCCTCCAAACGCTACCGCCGGTACCAAGATGACAGTCAGAGCCCATGTAGTCAGTCACTTTCTCGAATGCTGGAGCCACGATCTGATTGACTAGCCTCCCAAGTTATTCCAGTCTATTGCCTCGCGGGTATGGAATAGAAGGGACCGGCCTTCCCAGGAACGGGTAAATCTCGTCCCATTCAAAGTGTCCCTCGAGGCTGAACATAGCGAGTTTCTCCTGCACTGCAGTGTGTAATTCGGCTACAACATAGTCGGAAAACCACTTGTCGAATTCAGCCTTGTCGTACGGTTTACTCACCCCAAAGTACTTTGCGTTGAGCGCCTCTTCGAGGGTGTTCATATCCTGCATGCCTTCATCCCTATCTGGAAGTCCAGTCTCAGCATCGCATATATTGTTGAGGCAGCCAGCCGGGTTCCGTGAGTCGTATCTTCGCGATAGAGGTACGGCGGAATATAGTGGGGCCCTTTAGCCGTGAGAAGACGAAGATGCACCGCGTTATCGCCAGCAGATAAAGGTTTGTTGAGACGCCTGGGAGCAATATAGCATGTATTGGTCATCGTAATGATACGACAAGGTCCTTGTAAGTGCACTATGGAAAGACTATCTAACAGGCAGTGGGCCCAGGTGTAGCATCGGGACCTCAGCCGGAGTGCCTGAGTCAGTCAATAGGAATTGTATGTTAAGATGAGTTAGGCTCTGACTCTGCTGGATTTTAACCTTGAAGGCATCGATCTCGTGGATGGGAACACCGTAGGGTACCTTTCTGTGATAAACAGCATCGTGATAGGCGAGATTGTCCAAAGGAGTCAGAAGTGACAGGATACAGGTTAACGCTCTTGGGGACACGATGCTCTCAACATTTGTGAGTGATTTGAATTTCGCTTGGCGAGCAAGGCCGTATAAACCCGAGTTTGCGTCTCCTGGTTTTACACGACGCAGGACAACCAAGGGTCGGAATAATCTCGCCATGCCAATCTGGTGAGCTAGGATTGGCGTGGATTCTCACCAATACCCTCACCATTCTCGGGACTTTGGTTGCCAATGCTAACCTCACCGGAGACTCTGGTTGGGCAATCTGGTTGGCTTATGGTTGCCAAGGCTCAAATATCTATTTTTACCGTGCTTGGGGTCCCTGACAGCCCTGTAGGACCCCCTGTAAGACTTGTTCGCTTGCAAATCTCTGTAAAATATCTGGTACTTTGAAACTTGGCTGTTACCTTGATATTCTTCTGACGCTTAAGTCGCTGCCCTTAGGCTATGGAGGGTCTGGTTGCCCCTAAAATGCCGACTCTGGTGGCATCGCCATCTCGCCAGGCCTCGGTGTAGGCCACTCCGGTATTCCCGGAGGCTCAAGGACACCTTTCTCAGTGTTTCCGTGGCTTCACTCTCTCGGAAGGCGGTAAGGCCGTCTCATTGTGGGCTTGGGCCTATGGCCATGATATCCAGGATATGAATGTGGGCGGTTATTTTCATCTGCTGGTAGAATGGTAACTTCAAAGTGGCCAAGCCTTGACGCCGTTATCATAGGCGTGTGCCAGACACTACGAAGTTGGTAAAGAGCCGGCTCAATAAGCTAGCTAAATACTGTGCTTGGGGCTATAACGGCTGAGAGAGCTATAGAAAATACCTCGCTGGATGAACCGGACGAGGCTATAGAGGAAGCTATATCCAACTCCGCCGGCATGTTCCCGGGGGACCGCGCTGGCGAGGTTGGCGATAGCTTCATTTCTTGGCAGTAAATCCGACCAAAAATTCACCAACCTCACCTAACCTCACTTAACCTCACCAGGATCTCTGATTGGTCAATATGGTAGTCGCATTAGCCCACGAAGGTTGGCTGGGAACATGCGAGATGCCAGGTTCGCAAGATCAGGCTTCACATCCACATAATTATTCAGCAATGAGGACCTTTAAAGAGCCTGTGTCAGCTATTCTTGTCTCCGATCCATTGGGGTCCGCTAGAAGGCAAATATGCAGTACAAAGGGAGTTTCTGAGACCAATGACCTCAAGTTCGGCAAATGTGAAAAGTCCGAGAGCGGTGCTTCTACACCATCTTTGTACTCTCGTCAAAAATCAGAACTCGAGGTTACGTATGCATATTTTTCGCCTGGATTTGTTGCTGGTCGAACCTGCGAGATATTGTAGTGCCAATCGTTTGGTCAAGATGAAGGAAGAGTACCAAAAAGTATCGCCAACGCTTTGAAGGACCTTGCAGGTACACGCTAAGGCGCAGAGAGACTTCTTATCTTGGTTGTGCCTACGACCTACCAGATAAACTCCTTGGCAGTGGTTTCAACGCCATGATAATGCCAGGCTTAGTTATCGTCTGAGCTAGGGTTTGTATGCACGTATCTTCGGGTTCCAGTTACTATGTTGACAACGGTCCAGTCTTTGTGACGGGGGAGAAAAACAAAAGCTATCAGTTATCAAAACTTTCGCAAATAAAGATGATTCGACGCCGAATGAGGTGGTTGATGTCATTCTGGGAGCCCTTACCCCGCATCTAGAGTCGGTTGTTCCTGTTCGTGGTCTCATGTACTGCACAGTATGATTACGGTCCGAACAGTTTCTTTCGACCATGCCCTTGTCAGTCACTCCTAAGATAATCCCCGAAACATATGCGAGCGTAACCTCATTTAACTAGTAGAAATGGTTGTAATGAGCTCACTCTTTCGAGTTTCTCCAAGTACTGGCGCGATAATCTCAACTTCGCACTACAGATAATCCTCAACTCCACCTTGAATCCAGGGGTGGGCGCAAAAGATAACTAGCAAGTAAGATTCATTCTGACATAAGTTGAAGGGTGTTCACCGATCTGAGGAGAGCTGTAAAGAGATCCTCCCACGATACGCTGTAACATGGTGCGGAAAAGCGGCATTGTAGACCTCGAGTGGTTGGAGGGGAGGAAAGCCCGTATTCCTTATCCTGGCAGTGACTGGTAAGGCATACTACATGGAAAACAAAATGGCACATAATATTTCAGAGGGCCATGTTGTAATGCAAGTCCATGCATTTAGAAACCAAAGTCTTGATCTCCTCTGGGAAGTACAAGAGTTGAAACCTGACCCTACCAACCCGAAGTAGCCAGAAGCAATGTCATGTGAGTTATGTAGGAGAGTACCGTCAGACCTCTCGAAGACTACTCGAGTACAACAGACCCCGCGCCTTTGGAAGTCGTACTATAGGCTCCGTAACACCCAACCGGCATCGCCCTGTGATGACCTCGAGGCACTCGTAACTACACCAGAGTTTCGATTATCGGGTGGCCCTTCACTGTTTTCTATCACGCGAAAACATCGACCTTCGGACTGCGTTGATATAATGTCGGGACACTCGATTGCCGAACTTGGGGAAACCATCTCCCAGCTTAGCAGGAAAGCCACCGAGGAGCTGGAAAAAAGCGGACGAACCATCCCTACCGTCGACAGCGAAGACTCCAGCGGCATCTCAAGCATTAACGCAGAGTCAGCAAGGGAGCTCGGGGTGCTATTCCAAGAACCTAGACAGACTCTTGGATTCATGGGCTTTGCGGTAACTCACTCACTAATAGCTCCGCAATTGAATTTCTGGTCTGACTTGGCTCTCTAGGTACACGACGCTTCTAGCCTGGGCGTCGTTGTCGAGTTTGGCATCCCCAACCTAGTGCCTCTAGGTGGCTCTGCGACATACTCTGAACTCTCAGAGCGGTCGGGACTTGATGAGGACAGACTGAGTGAGTGTCTCGGTTCACAGTAGTAGAACTGCCTGATGACAGTTACATAGCACGTATCCTCCGATACGCCATGATTAACTTCACATTCCGCGAGGAACCGGCCGTCCATGTCCGCCACACAGCGCTATCAGCCCATCTCGCACGAGCGCCCGCCTCCTGCGATTTTCTCCGAGTGCTAGCCATCGTGTCCAACCCGGGCAATGTCTGCTTACCCTCCGCTCTGCGCCGTTATCCAAGCACGCAGTCCCTCACCCAGACAGCCCACAATATGGCTCGAGGCACAGATGACACTTTCTACGCATGGCTTGAAGTGAACCCGGACCTGCGGGATAATTTCGACAGAGGAATGGAAGGCATCAGCCGGGGAGGTCAGCGGTTGCAAGACACCGACATACGAGCTTACCCATGGCATGCCCTCCCAGAAGGTTCCAAAGTCGTCGACGTAGGGGGCTCCAAAGGCCACTTTGTGAGAGACCTTGCCGAACTTCACTCCTCCTTCTCGTTTGTCGTTCAGGACCTCCCAAGGGTCATCGAAGTCTTACTTGAGGAGAATAAGCAATCCCCTACCGCTAATGTGACCTACCAATCTCACAACTTCTTCGATGAGCAGTCGGTATCCGGAGCCGAAGTATACTTTCTGCGACATGTCCTCCACAACCATCCTGATCAGGAGTGTGTTGATATCCTCAAGGCTTTGCTGCCTGCCCTCAAATCCGGAGCTAGGATCCTGGCCAGCGAGTACATCATGCCTGCCCAGGAGGAATTGAGTGAAGGGCTCAACACGAAAGCTATGAGGTAATGCCGCTTTATACCTGGTTTGATGCTGGAGTTGAGTACTGATCTTGTTACGCAGGCAAATGGACTTGATGGCTATGGCCCTTGTCAATTCTAAGGAAAGGACCAAGGTCGAGTATTCGGCCTTGTTTGCACGAGCTAGCCCAAAGCTGGTGCTGGAATACATCTATCAAGTGCCTGATGATCCGAGAAGTTGCATTTTCGAGGCGATATACGATGATCAATGCGGGTGATGCTAAATTGCATGGACATTTATGCCCTCGGGCTATAATTTCATGATCTATGGCCCTATAGACTCGTACTACACATCGGATTCCACGTTCCTGCAGTTTTGGCTTCTTTTCTTTCACATGAAACGTATGTCTACTATCCGGTAAGTAGAATACTCTGTGGATCGCGTGATTTAGTACAGAAGAACGAGAAAGCAGAAATACGAACTGTTCGAACATAGCATCCTCTTCCCGGTTCAAGCTTCATTCCTCTTGTCCCTGAGCTTAAGTATGTCTAACATATTGCATACCTCACATTACTTTGTTCCTGGATGGCTAAATTCATGCGGTGCCGTTTCAAATTGTTCAATAAACACGCTCGTTAACCTTAAAATAACGTTGTAAGATGGGAATTCCAATTTCCTCTCCGCCGTAGATCCACGCAATGAATCGCGGAACTGAAGATCACGCTGGATTGGTGTCAAGGTTTGTTTCGCAACATCCTACCCCAGCAGTTCGTTTGATCACCAAGTTCACGACGTGGCGCCCCCACACAACGGTAGTAAGACGGGGCCCGTGGAGTAGCATCCGGTTTTTTTTTGACACCTAGTATTGAACTATGTTTTGGATCTCTGCCCAAGAAGATCCTGGCGATCTCCTTGCAGGGGCTGGGCCCTGGACAACCCATTGACATCCCGCTCGATCTTCGAAACTGCCACTGCAAAACACAGCCACGGCCGCTGCAATGCTCGGTCCCAAGGGGTCCAATTGGTTGATGGATGCAATTGGGTTGCTTGGAAGTGTTTATATCAGATGACATGCCGCCGTTTTCTATCATCTGTTCTTGAGCTTTGCATCCCGTTATTCCGAAGCTGTCATCTCATTTACCACAGGTTCTTCTTTTCTTTGACCTGGTGTCTTTATTGCTTTATTTTCAACTCATTTCTGACTTGGTGTCCTACTGCACAATTCGAACTCTACTTGCAATCTTATATATTCCATTATCTAACCTATTCATAACTTCAAGATGTACACTTACCAAGCCCTCGTCGCCTACCTGCTCGTTGCGGCCGCCGCCACCGGCAGTGCACGTAAGCAACCCCAACCCATGATATCCGTCTCTCCCTCCTCACCTCATTTTCTAGTACTGACACCAACAATAGGAAGCATCGACACCCGTCAAATTGGCGGCATCAGCTGCAACATCGCCCGCTTCCAGATCCTCCAAGCCCTCGGTGACACCAAGGACGCCACGGGCCAGATCCAGGATGCCGCCGTACAGAACGCGACCACGACCGGTCTGGACCAAGCCGACGCCGCCATCAAGACGATTGCCAGCGCACTCCTAAGCGGCGAAACAGCTCCGGCAGATGCGCGCGACGAGGTAGCGGCGGGATTGACGGCGGCATTTACTGCTCTTGAGGCTGGTGATGCGTAAGTTACCCCTTCGCTCGACAACAGCGTACTCTTCTTTTGTTGTGGAAGTACGGACTGACGATGGTTTTAGAACCGACACAGCTGTTACTGATGCCCAAACTGCTCTCGACAAGGCTGTCAAAGCTGGACAGGATGTCGTTGACAAGTGCTGAGCGGGTGTTAGCATTGATAGTTGATTGATAGCTTGATTTGGGCCAGGTGGTGATTTGCAATAGGCACTAGAATTTTGAATACCCAGTAGGATTTAGCCAACAATGGCATAAGTAGAGAAGCCTCAGGGCAGACCCAGTAATAAAGTGGAGTTTGATACTCAAGTCATGACAGAAGTGCACATTAGTGAGACATGAGAGGGTGGTGATCACACAGCTTGGGAGTAATGCTTATATATTAAAGCCTCGACTAACCTACGTGCTCAAACAGCAAGTTCCTTAGTCTTTCAACTTCTTGGGTATTGATATAGTGCAGATACAAAATTACTTTGCTTATACATGTAGCTAGTCTATAGAGGTTTTGCATATGACATGTCAATTTTAAAAGGACGAAGCAAGATGTATTGACATCAAAAACACAAAATATGGATAAGTTGAAGTTTAGGATGATATGCGGACAGATCTCGTACATTTAGCCTGCGAAATTGACATGCAATGCCAGCTGCCAATCCTTTGACCATGTACAAGGTCTTAGGATGCCTTTTCTCACTGAATTTTGTAAGTCGTTATTAAAATATTCCAGGTCAAAGGCATGCACTACCCCTGGTTACCACAAAGACGCAGAAGCTGCGAAGAAGTCAGTCTGAGACAACCATGCAGTTGCATGTAGATTTCCACGTCGGAGGCTGGGGATCAACAGACATAGCCTGCTTGGTGTTGGGCCTCGTATTTCACGTCGCAACAATAAGAAATGTCGTGGCCGCCCTTGTTGCGGCGAGCAGGATGTGATGCTCGAAGGGCCAGTTGTCGCAGGGATACACGTCAGGTCTGAAGGACCGTCACAAGAACAGAGGTTGAGGTAACACAAGCAACAATAACCACAGCAAACAACCACTGGACTTCAGACTTGAAGCATGTGGGAAGCATAATGCGCATATTATCCTTTTATTCTTCTTCCACTGAATTTCATTATCCACCGGTATTAATCTCCTTTCTTGATCACAAGGCGAGTCACTCAAGCCAAGATGTCGACTGAAACGAATTGGCCAGACGACAATTGGAGCCCTGATGATGTTGATTCGTGGCCGACCCAAATGGATGAAGGTATGAGCAGCGTAGTTCCATGTTCGTGGTGGTTGAGTCAAGATGAGCCGCCAGCTGGTCAGTGAAAAAGCCCCTAATGTGGCGTTCAAGCATTTGCTGATCGTGATTCAAGAAACAATCATTCCTGCTCGACCAGAGCTCATCGAGTTACGTTCAACACCCTCCATGGGTATTGGCATGTTTGCAACGGCAGATATACTTCGCGGGACTCGAATCCTTTTGGAGAAGCCACTACTAATCATGCCACCCCTCGAGGACGAAGGGCTGACTGTTACCTTCTGCTACGCACTCCTCACCTTATCGAAGGAGGAAAAGATGCAGATCACCCGCCTTCACTGTGCACCGTCCAACCTGAACGATTTCACTCAAAGTGAAGTGCGACGCTTCTACCAGCAAGCCAAGATGACCAATTCGAAAGGCGAGTCGCTCAAATGTAAGCAGTGTAAGGACGCACGAAAGGACACTCGAAAGCGCTTCGCCATTTTTCTAAGCAACCGGGTACAGTTGGGCGTTTCCGGAAGATACGGCACTGGCCTCTTTCCCCTGTTCAGCCGACTGAACCACTCGTGTGTGCCGAACACAGCCAGCTCGTATAACCCGAACATGCAGCGCTTAACTGTACATGCCATCCGTGATATAAAAAATGGAGAGCAGGTCACCGCATGCTACACGAATAGCCCCTTCATGAATCACGCGGACAGGAAAAAGCATCTCGACGAGTGGGATTTTAGTTGCAGCTGTGAGGCTTGTTTGGACTCGGGAAGCGACGTCTTGCGCACGCGAATGCGGGTCCTGAACGACGGCTTAAGTGCGTATCGGTATTATGGGGGAGATTTGCTTGATGAAGGGCCCAAGACTGCGAATGATGCAGTTAGAGATTCGGAGGAGCTTGCTGGAATGCTGGTAAAGCAGGGTATTGTGGGGCTGGATTTGTCGTTGGCGTATGTACTCTCGACTCAACTGTTGCTGATCGCTTACGCCTATGACAGGTATCAGCAGTGTGCGAAGCTCTGCCATGAAGCTCGTTTGCCGCAGAAAGCCCTCGAATACGCGAGAAAAGCACTAGAAGTCGAGAGATGCGCCATCGGCACCGAAACGAAGTTTCTGAGAGATGCTGGGGAGGGCTCTGAATATCTGATTGATTGTCTTGAGGGGAAGATCCCCATGAATCCAGCAACCGGCCAAAGGTCCTGGTAAGAAGCCCGAAGCTGTTACAAAGATTCTCATCAGTGTGGAACGTTTTTGTGGGCAATACAGCATGTATTGGTGATGGTGATGACCGGTCTAACCCCCAAAGCCGCAGCTACGGAAGGGCTACCTATGAGCAGCACTGCAACCAACACACAGGCGGTGTACCTAGGGCACCACAGTTTTTCATATACAGAACTTTTATCCGGTCACGTGAGAACCAGAAATTGAAGAGCGCGTCTCTTTTTATGCCTGTCGTGGAGGCAGTTACGACTACTGCCTAGTACCATCTTGCACCTGCCTTTTAGTAGATGCTACCACATTATCTTCACTCTATTTCTCAAGCAGCCGGGAAGCCTCGAGCATAATGAGAACAATTCGACAGTAGGCATAATTTATTCACTCATCATTGAGTCTCGGGCTCTCCATGGACTCCCAACGGTGATATGGATAAGTAAGGTTCCAGCCCTTACTTATCCATATCATCCAACTCTCCGCCATCTACTCAATTGGAACATAGAACCCAAACTTCCCCTCTGGATCCCATTCCTTCTTCAATCTCCTCAGCTTTTCCAGTCGCCACTCTTCATACCCATACACCGACTTCAACTCTTCGTTCCCATGTGCATAATTGACATATGCATGCAACACGCCACTATTCCCCTCGACTAGTGCCTCTCTAATCTTCTCCGCATAGTTCTGAGCGATCTCATAACGTTCTGGTCCGCTATCGGCAGCAAATATCATGAGCGGTGCGAGAAGCAGCTCGTTGAACCTATCTGGAAATGCAGTGCTTTCTGCTGGGACCCGATGCACCGCCTCGGTGGAGTACCCCTCGAGTAAGACGAAGGAATTGTTGAGCCACTCTGGAAATGAAGAGTAGACATCGAACGCCTTTCGTAACGCCTTCAGGTTGTACGAGGGTACACCGATCGGGAAGAGCATTGTGCTGGCACCGTTCCCGCAGTTGGGAGTATCGTATGCCGCCCCAGCGACAGAGTTCAATTTCGTGATGGGAATGACGTCGGTCTTGATGCTTTCTGGTCCAAGTGCGCGGATTGGCTGGACGTATTGAGATGGAATCTCTCGGCCCTGCCATATGATCCAGAAGAGGATGATCGGCTGTAGCGGAGTATTAGTAGAAGTATGCGTAACGAAACATAATTCGTTCACACTCACGTTGCTGGCATCGATATCTGGCCTCCTCTGAAAGAAAGCGTAGTGGGTGAGCTCAACCGGAATCGCGTTAGTAGGACTTCGGACTAGCTGATTAACAAAGCTGTAAAGCTCCTCAAGCTTGTCGTGGGAGAAGATATACTCCTCGTACGCCCAGCTAGCCTCTTCAGGGGTTTGATCAAAGATGCGATACTCCACCGATGTCAGTATTCCGAAATTATGCCCCGCTCCTCGAAGTGCCCAGAACAGATCCGGGTTTTCTTTGTCTGACACAGTCACGGCCGTGCTGTTCGCAAGAACAACACGAGCAGATATCAGGTTATCTGTGACAAGCCCATGACGTCCTTGTAACCAGCCATGGCCGCCTCCGAGGATAGTCGAAATGAACCCCACACAGTCACAGGCGGTAGACACTACGATCATGAGCATGTACTTCAGTTTCGCCTCTAGAATGGGATACTTACTAGCCTGCTTACCCTGATCCCATAGTATCTTTGTCACCTCACCAGCTTCCACTCCCGCTTGGATGGTCGCCTGAGAACCACTTTCCGCAATGGTAATCTCCTTCATTCCTCGCATCCAGATCCCAATGCCATTCTGCACCTTGCTGAGCGCTGATGTTACACCATGCCCGCCACCAATGGCGAGAAAATCAATGCCGTGCTTGTTCGCATATTTGACCTTCATAATACTCAGTATTAGCCATATTCTCCCAAAAGGTAGCCATTCCATACCGTTTGCACAACATCTTCTTCCACGGCAGGCATGACAACTACGGCAATTGCAGGCTGGAGGAGAACACTCCATCTGGTAGTGGCGGTTTCGAAGGCTTCGGACCCTGGAAGGTAGATTCGCGCATTGGTGGACAACAGGGGACCCAGTTCAGCTGTAATATTCGGACTTCCATCCAGTACCGAATAGTTACCGTTCAATGGACATTGAGACAGACTAGCGAGACTGCAGGGGAGGAGAGCCCAACACAGGAAAACTGATACTCTAGACATCCACATTGCAATTATCTTTGTAGATACAAGTGACATAGAGAATCTCGGGCAGCAGACCACCAATATTTATAGTCATGTATGCCAAAAGGCGTAGTGTCACAACAGCCCTCAACCGCGGGGTTGTTATGTATCGTATGCGCGGCGTGTAGTACAGGCGCAAGATGCGGACGGTCCTTTTCATTCTCTAATGTAGATTCGGGTCCTAAAACAACAGTAAAATTGACGCTTGTGCTGATTGTTGCCCAGTGCTCGAGACATAAAGGGTATTTGGCCCGAAACGATGCACATGCCGCCGGCGGTCACTATTCAACTTGCATGCCGCAAGGGTGTTGATTTGTTGTCAGTGCATGCCGTCACTCTACTACCAGAAGGAGACGGACTACCCCACTCTATCCATGGGAACCTTGCATACTCTTGGTCAATCAAGCCCCAAACTGCGTTTTGCTATAGCAGGCGTAAAGTCTGAAACTCAAGACAAAGGCGTTGTCGGACCGCACCAGCCCTTTTTCTGGCTCTTTGATGTCTGAAGGTTGATTTACAGTTTCTGTATTATTACAGCCACTTGGACGGACCTTTCAATATCTTCAGCTATGCCGATCAGCCGCACTATCAGCTCCGACACAGTGCGTACCTATTGGGCCCGTTACATTCTTTGGTAATTATGGCTTCTCAAGAGAAAAATTCAATTATATGCTTTGTTGTAGCTCGCAATAATTCCTATTGGCGTTTCCCGCGTCTCGCGACCGACCACGGTCAGATATATTTCCCGAACTCAACGGTCAAAATTCAACACTCATTGTATTGGAGAGAGGCGAAGAAATGGAGAATCTCAGCAGTAGACTAGATGTTAGCGATTCTATATTTCGAGTTGAGCGCCTATATGGTTTACTTACACGGAACGGTTTGCGTATTTGATTACGGCTTCAACAATGGTAACTCGCTTTCTTGTAGTATCTACTTACCGATTAGCTAAATAAGTACAAACAAAAGATAGATTGGAGGAACTATACGCTTACTATTACCGCTTATAGGCACATAGTAATACCATCCTAGTCATATATATATCTCACATTTATCATGAACTTATTCTCCATCATCAAGAACAATGTCCGTCTCCACTCACCTAAACCTCCAATCCCCTTCAAGTGCACAAACCGCCAAACAGACCTCAAAAAGACGACACCAACTACCACACCCAACATCCGGGCACTCTCATCTCCGATCGGCTCTCGAACGCATCTGCAAAATTTGCCAGAAGAACTTCCCGTGCTTTAAGAAGCGATTGACAGGTGAATACAGACGCTAGGATCACGGGACCCCGCATCGGAGGAAGGAAAGGACCGATAGGTCACGTGACCTACAGGGGTGGATATGTTGGATATGTTGGTTGTCCAACATATCCAAGTGGGGATCACCTGGACATCCCCGGGACAAGTGTATATCTGGTGGTGCCCAGGACACGTAGGCATCCCCGGAAACGAAGAAGCAGATGTCCAGGCCAAAGCGGCCTGTGAGCAACCACCCAAGACACAACACCCGACCTCATTCGCACATATAAAGAGAATCGCGAGATCCTACACTTGGAAGAGTTTCAACGATCGATGGGCCACTACCTGCCCTCAACAGTATCGAGATCTAGGGATCGCTATCCACCCGCGACCCCCCGAACTTGGCCTGCCCCGGCAACACCTAGGCAGATTACTCGCAGCGAGGTCGCACCACGGGGATTTCGTGACCTACCACGAGAGACTCCAGCATCGCGACGCACTGCTCAACTGCGGGTGTGGAAAGACAAAGACACCAGTTATGGCCAAGAATAGTATAGATTCCCTCCTAGGCACGGCCAAGGGAGCTCGTTTGTTTTGTCAATGGGCGGAGGAGACCAATTTCTTTACTGAGATCTGCCCATCGCACTGAACAGGAATGTTAGATGAAGACAGTCCCCTGTAACATAGATTCGACTAGCATAGACCATGCCGGCACTGCGCCCGGCACGTCTCACATGATGAGACGTTAAATTTCAATCAATCAATCAACCAAGTGGGGATCAGTGAAGGAGAGATGGGTATATAAGGGACAGGACCCCCAGGCATTTCATAGATAGACAGTCTCTACTTCAGTGATCAATCTAAGCATCAATCTAACCCATTGGTGAGGCAAACTGCCTTGACGACTCTATTCCCAGTTACCCTACTTGAATACTTCAGTTACCCAGAGCCCTATACTCCATACGTCAAACCCCGATATTATTGCTAAGGACTCCGCAGCAGGACTTACTTACTAGCACAAACCCTTACAGACTCTTTAGTGGTTTACGCAGCTAGACTATTATAGGTTTTGTTACATTAATCACCCAATCAAGCAGCCAGAGGCAATTCATAGCTATACTCCGGTGCCCCTGCCCACTGCGTAAACGAGTTGTCCATTAACAAGTACCTCTCAATCGGCAAGAAACTCTTCCTATCCTCTTTAACACCACACCCCTTGTTTTCGATCTCTTGACCCGCAAACCGATCATCAATCCACTCGATCCAAGTCCGCCTCGTAGCATCCAAGTTCGGTACATGCCCCACGCCGTTCACCACAATGAACTCAAGATCGTTGTCCGGGTACGATGCGCAGGTATCCTGCACCGTAGCCGCCATGACCTCGTATGAGACATAAATATCGTTCGTGCCCTGCAGCACCAACATGCGACCCCTGAACGTCTTGCGCCCGGGGTTGGCGAGACTTGCGTAAGCGTCAGCATACCACGCCTCGTTCCAGCCGTCCTGGACGATATGTTCCCCCGAGAGGTACAGCTGCGCCGATACGCTGATACCGCCCTCGATCTCCCGGAGGAGCTCCGTCCGCGCGAACCCGAGGGGAGTCAACCACATACTCAGGTTGAAGTGGGGTGCCACAACGGCGAAGCCGGCCTCTGCGAGCGTGAAAGGGCTCTGATGTCTATACCAGAGGGCTCTATGGGACGACGGTCCAGCCGTGGCGAAAAGTCCAGCTGGGAACTGCTGCTGGTGCGGTGGGAGTGAATGACCAGAGGATGAAGGCGGATGCCGGAATCACGGTGCCGTTTAGATTGTTAGTCGTATATAGGATGCGCGAGAGTGCCGTGTTTGGTGGAACGGAAAAAGGAGTCAATTTGGTGAATGCTTGGGCTTTGAGGAGTATTCCGGGCTGTACCAGGCTGGGGTCGGCGAGAGGGGGTAAGTCGTAGAAACTGTCCCGGTGAGGGCCGCCATTGGCGAGCTGGCTGTGATCAAATCTGAGAATTCTTTTGATACTGGCAGTAGTTGTTGAAGAGAGATTTTCGGCCTAAATTTGGTTACTGGTGAGAGTGAACGACGAGTTGAATGATACAGATTGCTCCATGGCTGAAGGTAATTGCGCCGCAATGAGAGGCTTGGCGAGAACCACTCCGAGGATAGTCTGGAATAAACGCATCATGACTGAAGCTTCCATTGATGGTTGTTTTCTCAACTCTGATCAAGCTTTTGATAGGAAAGGTTAGAGACAGGTTGGGCAGCTCTTAAATACGTAAAGCGGATGCTTAGAATAAATGTAGCCCACCTTCATGAGTTCTGTAAAAGTACCTAGGTATTTCTCAACTCATATTTGCTTTTCGACCGTTTCTTCCAGTATCTGAAAGTCGATAGTGCCTTCCCAAGCTTCTAGTCATGAGATCATGGCAACTGGGGTTTGGCTCTTCCGCTGCTTATACAGCATCTGGCGGATTACACAACATTGAACCTCCCATGTCGAAGAATACTGAGAAGAAGAGTCGCCCATGATCACGATTTAGTATTTTTCAACGTCAAATTGATATTAGATCCTTCAAATCCAAAGCCAGCCAAAGACTGCGGTGAGTGAGTGATCCCTGGCTTTCTCACTGCCTACTTGTACAACCTCCCTTGAACACAGCCAATCAGCTCTCAAGAGCAATATAAAAGGCGGAGACAGCTCCATGGAACTCCGTGGCAGTCAATCTTATGAAGCCAACTTACGAGTTACCAAACAGGGCAAGTACTTTTACCAATGAGAACCTCTCATTGAAGATGATGATCGATAATCACTGGGGCTATTAGTGTAGCGGGTGAGGTATATCCTTTGATTTCTTCATAACGTCTGCCGGGCTACGTCTGCTTTCAAACGTCATGAATTAGGTCGGCCGACGACCGATTATGGCAAGTGCTGATTCTACTGATTTACGACTGCCGTTTCGTCCTTGGGAACTGCATCTTCACGAAATCAATGTCGAAGGCCGTTCTAGAACGTCCGTCCGCCTTTGGTCCAGTGACCAGTGTCTGACCAGCGCTGCGGGCTCATGTGGTAACACTCGGGGCTAAACAGCAATGAAGACAAGCTGTAGGCTTTCGCACGGGGGACCAGGGGAGCACACGAGGACTTCGGCAACGTCTGTGTAAAGAAGGTCAGTCCAACAAAGAAAGCCTCCACCACGACCAGTACTACGGCAGAGCTTGGGCTTCTCACATTATGCTGTAACTATTGTCCTCGATTCCAAATTCTGTATAAGGTCTCTGCCCCGATGCCTCGTGCATCCTCATGACTCGCTGCTGACAGCTTCGTGTTTGGCGGGAAATGTAATGATTACTTAAGTAACATTAGTGACAGGGGCTGCCTCCGTGCAACAAGGCAGAATGTGGATGGTTCTCCAATCATGTAAGCATTCCAGCGAGCCCAAATAATGGGTATGTATCTTGTGGCAGAGGGATGGCCGAATTGATAGAACGGGAGTCGGCATCCTTTGTCTTTTCTTGCCTAGCCTGGAGGTTATATCTTGGCTGCATTGCCTACTCTTAAATCTGGGCATTGTCGAGAACAGAGTGTGGTGTAGCAGACAGCGGCAACACGCTTGGAAGGAGCTTCGCCATTCTTAATCATCCTTGCCAAAGTTACCCTGCTGATTTCAGTTACAGAGACGGTCGAGTCGAATGTGCCCAGGAGCATATTCTCCGATGGGTCGTCGTCCACTGATGCGGGCAGGTTGCTGGGTGCTGACCAGTTGCGGTCATTCGAGAGGAGCCCTCCGAGGTTGACAGCGCGACGGAGTCAATTCCGTTATACACTGTCGATGGACGCTCATTGCCTCAAAATCGACCACCTGGTTCTCGATCGCAATCTAACGGCTGACCTCCTTCTTCACGCCTTGTCAACCTGCTTCTTCAACTCCCTCTCCTTCTGTAGAACCTCCAACTCTAACCTCTCAACGCTATACTTCAAGGCCTCCTTCCGCTGCCTTAAAGCCTTCGCCCTCAACCTTGCCTCGCCGCTCAGCTTCTGCCCCGCCGCTTTGTTGCCTTTACCTTTGGCGTCATGTGTTGCCTCATAGTCGCCCGAGGCCTGTGACAGGCGACCTTGCTGTAGATCCGAGCGCGCCTTCAGCGATTCAATCCGCCGCTCCACGCGGTCGATTTGGGTGTCGGCGCGGTCGAGGAGGACGGTGATGGCGGGGCCAATTTCGTCGCGCAGGGAGGATTCGGCGGCGGCTAGGGTGGGTTGGGGAATCAGTTCGTAGTGCTGTGCGATACGCGTTATAAATTTCAGACTTGGGAAGAAAGAGCTATGGATAAGAATGAACATACGCGGATGGTCTTGAGCACGTTGAGTAACCGCGGGAAGTCGGAGACGCCGTTGCCAAGGGTGTCGACCGAGGTCTCCAGGTGCGACAGCGACCCGCGGAGGGCGGTGACGCAGTCGGCGTATGAAGCCGTGCCTATTGACGTGGATGTTGACATCTTCAAGTGGGATTGATGATTCTGAATGACCTCAAGTGATTCCCGTTGCTGGTGCTGTAGGGGGGTGAGCGCGTGACCCAACGCTGGTCACTTGCAATTACGATGTCGTTACCCAAGACAATTGCGCGATGCCCAGTCGAGTTGGCGGGGCACCTTCCACTGTAGCTTGGCCCCACCCCACACCTGGGGGTATAGGACACTTAAGATACTCCGTGTCACTCCAGTAACATTCACCTTACAGAGTAAATTTCTTACAGACAAAGAATGGTTTCACGTAATCTTGATTATACAATGGTTGTTTACTGGGATTTATAAGTCGGCTGACCGGCTCAATGCCGTAAGGCAGGTCTAAGCAACGAACGACAATACGGTACAAGTACTTGCAGAAATCCACCGACGTTCATTAGTTGTTCACACCTGCATAGATTGTTTACATACTGAAGTAGCTATCTTATAGATTGAGTATTAACCTTGTCAAATCACGAGGCCCATCTCCCACCAGCATGAACAATGTGTTGAATTAAACAATGAAGTATAGACATGCATCGGTGGTATGCAAAGGAGAGACTTAGCACCTAGACATTCTCCGGCGGGCATGAGTCTATTAGGCCTCCGACTTACCATAGTATTTCACAGCATTTATCGGTTAGGGACCAGCAACGCTTCTATAGCCTCATAAGAACAATCTAGAAGTGCAAGTACTGCAGTACCTCGAAACATCGGATGCTACTCCGGCGAGCCTCCCGTGGCAATGTCGACCGACAGGGGTTAGAGATCCTTGTTGGTTGCCATTGACCGATGGTTGATTCAATGAAAATTCGAGTTTTAAATCAGTCTCAGAGCTTCGAGGAAGTTTTCAAAGCATCGTAGCATGCCTGTTTCTCATTGAGTACGATAAATGGCGTTTTGTTTCGACTGCAAACAGCTCGCAGACATCATGAATGCATAACGAGGGATCGCATTCAGTGCACGGTCTACGAACTAACTGGTGCATTGTGAAAGAGTATCATTTTCTTCCTCCTGTTTTCAACGTACTGGGGTATTACGCTAGGATTCCCCTGGGTTATTTGACCTCGATTTCGAATGCTTTATTTCCAGTTGCAGAATGCATTTTCAAGCCAACGTCCTCGCGGGTTTCTTTGAGACAGCCATTCTTTGTCGACAAAGGGGTTCGTTACCTCGAAGATGTCGTACTACTTATTAGTGTAGCCATACTCGATTCTTTCCCTTTTGTTTTGGCTTTGTGCGAATTCTAATTATTGTCTTATACCAAAACATAACCTCTCCAAATATGCAACGCAATAACGACGAGCTGAACGCAATCTATAATTCGCTAGAGACGTACTTCGGGGCGGATATCAGGTTCCAATGGGAGAAAGAAATTGGACGCGGTAGTAATGGAATCAGCTACCAATTCAAATACACAGACCTGAAGGAAGGCGAATCAAAACTACTGCCACATCATATTACGAAGCGGGTAGTCTTGAAAATCGCCCCAGACGACTATGCTATATCTCGATCCGTACCCGGTCAAATTGAAAATGTCTTGGGGGGTGCAGTTATCGACTCAGACGACAATCATAGACCTCTGTTCGACACAAATCCGGACGAGGATTTTTTGGCGAGTGCAGGTATCGAGAACGAGTCATCCTCCCAGGATTCCGGCAAGGGCCGCAATAGTGAGGCGACGAAGCAGCTGGCGAATGAGCTACGATTGTTACAGGTTCGTCGCCAATGCATCCTTTTATGTTAATTTACTCAGTATTCGACAGGATTTTGCAGGAAGCCACCACGTCGTCAGCCTCGTAGAGGTGAAGCGCGATCCCTTGGGAAAGGAAATGTCTAAAGAGAAATATGGTGTGAGGCAGCATGATATGAATAACTGGATTTACATGGAATACCTCGAAAATGGAACTCTAGGCGATTTTATTATAAATTACCGCCAGCAGTATCCGGGTAAAACTCTACCAAACCGACTGCTATGGAGATTCTTCATGTGTTGTAAGTCCCTACATAATCTCCCTACATAACCACCCACCCGAAGAACCTCACGTTTCGCATCATACTTAGAAACTCACGATACCGGCTTATAGTGGTCAGAGGCTGCTTGGTGCTGGCTTACGGTCCTGAATCAGAAAAGTATACATGGGCGGAACTAGACGCCGATCTAGGACAAGCGGACATTGGCAATCTGGCGCACTTTGATATCCACGACGGCAATGGTATCTTGGCTCTATTCATGATATCTGTCGATTCTTAACCTACTAACAGTAATAGTTATGTTAGGAAATGTTCTCCCAGCAATTCAGCCATCCGAGCATGAAATTACTCCTATTTTGAAGTTAATAGACTTCGGATCAGCCGATATTCTGAATGAAAATGAGCCGAAAAATCAGAGAGCAGTCTTAGAAGAGTATGTCTCATTTTGTGAAATACCCCAACCCTGAATTGTTGCTGAGTTGTTGATAATAGAGAGTACGAAGATGGCTGGGAATACAACATCTACGACATTGGTCATGTAAGAGAATTCATGCAATGCATGCAACGCGCCCGAGTATGCTGACACCCTTTCAGATGATGACAAGCCTAATTCTCCTTGACAGTAATCCCCAGCTCCCTAGAGTGACCAGACGGTCAAACACCGACCCGCCTGAGATGCAGTATACGGAGACAGTAAGAGTTCAAGATGAGGTCTTCCACACGTCGGGAATACAACTGGTTCCAAATAACGAAACACTTCAAGACGTCGATCTGGAACTCAAGCTCCTTGTTTGCGCTTGTCTAGCAGTTGACCCTAGGTGCCGCCCAACCCCGACAGATCTGGCAGCGCAGATCGGAAGACATATTGCTACCGAGGATGCGACGAAAGCTGGGGAGACTAATGCCGACATATCAATCATTTTGGAGGGAGTTATATTTAACGCGAGCCCTATCGGGGCATTAGGAGTTGCTCAAAACACCTCCCAGAAAAGACGCAAATTTCTCAACGGAGAAGAGCAATAGCATCTGGTCCATAGTTCTAGTAGGAAGCATACGAAATTGCACGCGGTGGTAAATTGTTTGTACGCACAACACGTGTGGGTTTTCAACAGCTAAATTGATTGGATTTGTAGTCTTAACATCTGTGGTGTTCTGAACTAGCAGAAGGCTCAAAGCCACAAGCAACACTTGTACGGGAGAAGATGTTGCGGCCATTACTGTAACGCATGGTTGAATAGTTGAGAAGTTCTAACCGCTGCAGGTAATAGGTTGGATACTTTGTATACCTTCACAAGCTGGATCATATTGTGGCCACATCCCCTGCCGGTTCCTGCCCTCGCCAGTTTTCCTTCTGACTTGCTGATCCAAATGGCTCACGGAATCTCTTTCAGCGTCTTTTGTTCCCACTTCCGAGAAGTCATACAAAATATGAACCGTGATAGTGAATTTTCGCGGAGACGACTCAAACCTGGTCCAGAAAGATCCGAGAAAATTGGCAGGCAACCGGCGCTTTCTCGGAGCTTTCGGCTTGAAGATCGTGTGTAATAGAGCCTCCCTCAACTCCAAACCTTCCCGGAGACACCACAATCGATGAGCAGCACTTCTACACTATTCATGATCAGGGGCATCATCATACCGCTCATCACTCATTACCTGATATGAGAAATGAGGGTTACTCCTTTCTGTGTTATCCCTAAATTACAAGTCGATGCCCACCCTTGTGCTCGGTTAAACTCGACGCGCCTCGCAGTCGGTTGGAAAAGCATTCCGGAGACGGGTCTAAATATGACCTACGCATCGGATGGAGGGGCGTGGAACAAAGTCTCCTTGGGTGACAATGGAGGATCCATATACATGACCGTATGTATTAGTTCCGCCACCGCCACAGGCCCCAAGGACGGCGCCAAGGACGGCGCAAGCCCGTCCTCATCCGCCAGGGCACCCACCATACCATCCCCGAAGAGTGAAACTCCTCCTTTGAGTCCGTCGAATTCGCCATCTTCCTCTACAACACGACCTTGATCCGGTACCCACTCGGCGCACACTCTTCCACCAATAATAAACCCCCGGCCCCTCCCTCCCACCTCGCACGGCATCCTCTCTCTCTCGTCCCCAAAGCCACAACCTGGTCCGCGCCCCTAACCAGCAAAGCCACCGCACAAATTCTCCTCGGCACCCAAGCCCAAAACCTGCACTCATTCGACCTGCCCGATGGCTATAGGGTGGACGGTATCGTCATCGATGGCACCAACCCCTTCCCCACGGGGACCGGATCCCAAGCCGAGGATGACCTACACTAGGCGCATATAGCCATCTTCCTCGACACCATGCAGGTCACTTTGAGCTCCGCGCGGGCTTTACAAGCCCTCTTCGCCACCGCCAACGAGATGGTGTAGACGGACGCCATGACGCGGTCTGACGTCGGCGTTGATCCTGGATCAAGGAGAGAAGTTTTGGATAAAGTGGGGGGATGTCTCAGAGGCGGTAGGAAATTCATGATTGAACGAATAAATGGAATAATGAGACAATACAAGTCTTGTGCATAGTTGATCCCTCATGCCACAATTATCTGCTACTTCTCAGGAGATTCTGCAAATGCCCATTTTCTACTATGAGTGGGGAAAGAAAGACAATAAATCACGAGGTGCGTGCCATCGAAGACATTTCAAGAAGCTGTATTTCTAGAAAACCCTATTCCAAGTATGTCAACCCCAAGGCCATGCAGAGACTTATCGGATATACACATAACAAGAAGTGAAGATAAAGAAATTTCAGCCCTAGAACGCACCTAAACTCCCCCATAATGCAGACAACAAAAGCAAAATCCACTACGTAGACAGCTAACCAATCCAATGCTGTCCGCCTCCAGTTCCGAAGCCATCCTACAAGATCATGCGCTCGTTGGCTCGCTGGCTCGCTTGATTTCAACCAGTTACTTCAAACCAATCCTGGCTTTGGTATCTTTGTCCTCAACCAACCATACTTCCAAATCTACATGCTCGCTAATGCGAAACGCTGATAAATGTATTCAGGACCAAACACGTGCCCATAACGACAAACCCATAAATTGCAAGAGCTAGTGCCGCTCGCCGGAGGTAGTCGTGGGAGACATGCTCCATATCCCATCTCCACTTCCTTTTCCACCGCCATGATCCCTTCGCCCCCTTACTTGCGCTGCTCCTCCCACTCACCATGCTATGAATGCTCGTCACACTGGCACCTAGCATCTCGTCAAGTTCCTCGTCGTCGTCCGAGGCGACGGGCGAATTGGCGTCGTCGTCCTCTTTAGTGAGACGTTGGTGGTGGATGCTTTCCGGATCCGAGATCTTGTAATAGAATAGGCCGGGGAGAATGAAGCTGATGCTTGTGCTCCCTGTACTGCCCACGTATGCTAGCACTCTCTCCAGGCTGACAACGGTTAGAGCCACGATGTAACTGAGCACCAAGATGACCGTGGTTAAAAGTGGGAATCTGATGTCCGACATAGCCGGTCCTGGCCCATGGTCTGATCTCGGCTGGGCAGTAGATAAGAGTGGACGGCCACCGGAGGAACCGGCGCAGTTCGATGGACGCGACACTGCGTTGGGGCGCCATCTCAACACGGCATCGACGGAAGCCCGGCAAGGGTGCACTTGAAGAGGAATAGAAAAGGTCACAAGAACTACAATCGCAGCTTTTGCGATTGTCGAGGCGATGGACGGGGCATCTGAAAGACATTAGCACGGACATATGGTTGTCAGGGAAGTAAGGAAGTGAGGACGTACACATGGACACAATGTTGCCCTTAATGTCATCTCCAAAGGTGAGATAACCTGTGATGGCCACAAGAACGTAGATAAAAGCTGCCGAGCCAATACTCGAGGAGATGACTCCCATGATACTGTGGTACGTCAGCATATCTACAAAAACGGGGAGGTTCCAACGCATCTTACCTCTTTGGGGAGTAGTCCTGGATCTCGTTCAAAATCGAGAACATGTTCTGATGACATGTGTACGCAAAAATCACCACAGGTAGGCTGGTCAAAGCCGAGATAGGGCCACCCCAGGTGATAACTCTCACCAACCCGCGCGTAGGAACGGAGTCTGCGGCAAAATGGTACACCACAAGCACAATCAAGTATCCAATTGAGACCAGTGCGACAATGCTCGTGTACTTCAGACTATCAAGCCTGCGCAGAAAGCTCAGCGGGATGATGATAAGCATGAACACTGTGATCCAAAAATTGCGATCCATCAAAAAGGCGACGTCCTCGGCCCGTGTGTCGAAGCCCATAGCAACACCGGGCATCAGGTCGCCAATGATAATCATGTATGAGACGCCAACACCGAAGCATTTTATCGCGATCGCGGCGTCGAAGATTACGGCGGCGTTCGGGTATGTGAGCTGCGAGAGTGCGAAGAAGGACGCAGTACCTCGGTCGAGGTAGCGGGCGCATCGTGATTGTAGGTACAATCCGAATGCGGACGTGAAGGCGCTCCATAGTACGACGATAGTCCCGAGGACGATACCAAAATGTGAGAGGGCCGCGGGCATCGCAAGCGTTCCTGCGCCGACAACTAAGAAGCTACCGTCAGTGTTCATGTTCCAGGGACCAGAGGAATATCGTGGGAATACATACTTGTATTCAGCAGATTGATGATGCTGCTCACCGTGCTCGCCTGTCCGCCCTGGCCACCATCCCTCTGGTGGCCGCGCCCTCGTCGGTGTCTTGTCATGTCGCCAGCGCTTCCACTTCCTGAGGCAGCGGGATGGCCATCAGATATTGTCGCGTAATTCGGCATAGCCTGGGCAATATGTCCTATGTGTATGGTTCTCTCCTAAGTTGATGTTTCTTCGACCGTCAATGGATTTGGTGGTTGTGACTCGGAGATTCAGAAGGAGTCCTCGGTGCCGTGGATTGCGAGGGTGAGGCAAGAGAAGTAGTCCTTCCATCCAACGTCACTTGTCCCTGTGCAAACACCGTCCTAACCCCCTTCCGACCACCCAGAGAGCTAATACTCGAATGCAAAGGCTGGCGGAGATCGGAGCAGCCGATCACGCAAAGAAAAAAAAAAGTGGCGAACACAGACCGCCGCTTGTCTGTGAAACTGACTAGAATGGCAGCAATGCGGCTTGAATTGAAGTTGGCGGATGATGTGTCGTGACTCGTGAGAATTCCTGCGCCCGGCACAGCGAGCCGGCCTGTCGTCAGATGGGTGGAGACACCCCAGAAAGAGCTGGCACCTTGGCACCTAACCTTTGGCCAATCATGGCGCTTTGCGCCTGCTAGGTTGGGGCTTGCAGATCTCCACCAGATGCCACAGCGCCTTCGCTTCGGGTCAGGAATGGTGAAGTCAACACTTACACTTCAGCCTTATTGCAGGTCGACAGGGACCCAGGCATCGACACGGTTCATCAGGTAAAGTCAATTGCGGTTGACATTCATGCCTGGAGAGGATACAAAACGGATTGCATCTGTGCATTCTTCATCAACCCTAAGAGTCCAATAATCCAACTCCGGTGTACGCTATCAACTAAAGCACAACCAACTAAGTGCCAACACAGCCAACAAAAACACAGCCAACAAAAGCCCATCCACAATGGATCTCAGCGAAACTACCCTAGCGACTCTCTCACATCTCGAGTCGCGTCTTCTACGCCTGGAACACCTTCTATACGGCCACGCAACCCCCCACCCAAAATATCTGCCGTCAATAGCCTTCAAGCCCTCGAACACCGCTTCGCCAAACTCCTAGAAACCAGGGCAGGGCGCGACTATGCCGAGTTGCTCAAGATCTGTACGCGCCATGAATCCTCAATATCTATGGCACGGCGAAAAGCCTTCCAGCTAATACCTGATTCAGACAACGCACATCCCGCTCTCTTCGATCCCCCTGCGTCTTCCTCCCCCAACCCGCCACCCAGCCTGTCACCCGAAGCTCAACGCTCCATTGTTCTCGCCTCCGCGTCCGCCTACCCCACGACGGCCTCATCCTTGACATCCATCTCCGACACGCCGATCCCCGACGCAGCTTTGAGCGCACATCTCGCCGCACTACTGCCTAGAATGAAGGGCGTCGAGGCGACGCAGATGGCGCAAGCTGCCGAGATAGCTGAGTTGCGGGCTCGCAGCGAGAAACTGGTCAGGGCGTGGTACGAGGGTGGAGTCATGGGCTATTCGGATTTCGTCGCTGGGGTTGAGGGCCGGACGCAGAAGGTTGAGCGGGCAGTGAGACGGGCTGAGAGGGCGAGGCATGAGGTTTGACCAACTGCGTCCAGGAGTTACCTACTACAATCGTCATGGGAGGTCTGCTGCCACCGGTTCGATACTACTGAAATTGCTTGGTAGAATGGGCTACCTCGCTTTGGGGGTTTTCAGCCGCACAATGTGGACCCATGCACAGCGAACGTGGGTTCGTTGACTTTTACAAGGGTGAACAGGCGGCCTCAGGTGACGGTGTCTTGGAACCACCAGAGCTGCTTGCCTACAGGGCTTATTCACATTCACAGTGCCGCGGATCTTGCGGAGACCAGTCATCATCCCGCCGCTGAAACAATCACAGCGCGCTTTCCGTACCGATCAGATTCGTAAGGTATCCTGTGCATCCATTCGGATGTCGTCTACGGGTGGCTTGACTATTGTGAACCTGAAGGGGAGCAGAAGTGCTAGTTTCCGATTGGATGATGAGATGCGTGAGGGAATGACATGTATTCGCCTCAGGGAAGGGTGTAACTTGACACGTTCGTCCGACGATCGAATGTATACGTAGCGACAAGGCCTACGAAGTATTCAACGCATCACGGGGTACCTGCCTTAGGGGCAAGAATCTGATGTGTAGCCACGTGTGTCGTCGCTTCCATGGTTTTGGTCGCAAAGCTTCATTCAAGAAATCACATCTATTCGTCGCCGTCCAAGGTTATCAAATGCACATTACACTTAGAGTCCCTGGGGAAACTCATAGCGTCGCAAAAGCTTGGCGAACTTCGCCCGGCTCACCCACTCCGTGTTTCATGACTATCTGTGCCGTGCCAACATGTCAACCGAGCCAGCTGGATTCGAAATACAGGTTTAAAATTCTCTTGCTCTCCATAATGCGCAATCGTGTTTCACGGCACGTGGCCACATGTGTATTAAGTAGTGACATTCGTGGTGTAGTTACTCGACATCCTTCTTCGGTGTGTAGGTTGGGTTATTTGCGGGGAAATGAACGCGGTTCTTCTCTTGTGCAGCGACTTTGTATCAAACCAACAACTTGGGTGTTCACGGGCGAATGGGGGCAATGTACAACCGGAACTTGCATTTGGGCTGATTATTGATAGAGCGGGATTCCTGTTGTCGTCGAGGCGGCCACAGCGTCTTTTAGGCAGCACTGCTGGACGGCGCTACGCCGACCCTGGAATGGGTGGGTCATGTTAAGTGCTGTTGTATGGCAACCCATCTTTCATTCTTGAACTGCCGGCGCTAAAGAATAAGAATGATGGGACTGTTTGCGGTCAACTTGACCAAACGACTCCAGATTAGGTAGCAATGGCGAGTACGGATATGTTCGTCGAAATGTTCGCCCTGGGATATTGACTGAGTTGTATTCATCCTCCGAGGTTGGCCTGTGAAGCTCTATTGCAGGGTAGCAACACGGGCTGTGACGCCGTCGCCGATGAGCGCACCCACAACTTGCTCGAAGAGTCAGTCCACTGGCCAAGTATTGAGATGCGTCCAAAGATCCTGAGGATCGATAACTTCGTTGGATATACCCAATTGCTGTACATCTCTACCGGTCGCTTCACATTTTATTTTAAGATCAAAAATATTGGAAGTAAACCTTAATTCATTGCGATGCGTATAATCATAATTTAAAAGTGAGACAGTCGTAGAGTACGTGTCAGATTTATTTCTTTACATAGAAAATAATCAGTCCCAAAATAATTCCCCGTTCCAGATTGTTTCCTCCACCTCTGTGAAGTGAGTCGCTAGAAACGCTTGAGCGATCAAGCATTCGTATACTCCATTTAACAGATGTCCCCACGACTGACGTGTACAAGCCACACTAGCTGAGCCACGTACGGCGGATGTTGTTAACCCCACCGTTCAGGATCGACAACTATTTTGGGGAGCTAATGCGGCCCTTGGGTGTCTTCAATTAATTTGCTTCAGGGGTACAGAAGTGGGGCAAAGCAGCTTGATTCGAAAAGTTGGGGTTGCTTGGCTTTGCTTCCATTGATATCCTTCGGTCAGAAACAAAATCAGATGGTGCAGTGGTCGAACGTGGGATAGCGAGATCGCGTGGTCTGCATGACATGACATCGTCAACGATGGTAAATTGATGACTAGAGTTTAGGTTTTACAAGTTTGGCCTGATACCGAAACTCTGGCAGTCTGGAGGGGTGGAGTCTTCAAGGTCTGTCTGTGCTGCCAGTGTCTCCTGACTACATCAGACGCGGGTGACGAGGATCCCCAAATCTAGACGCCTCTGAGGATTTGAGAACGGATAGTGCAGTCTTTCGGTTGTAGGAACTTGGCAACACACTGCTAGGGCACAGTCTGTGAGTTACTATGTGCTATGTGCAATCCTGTCTGAGTCGTCTGCGAAGGGAGCTTCTTATGATTACCCTGAGGCAGAGTACAGAAGACGCCTTGATAGCTAACTCCCTCATATTAGCGACATTTTTTTGAAGTTCACAAGGGACGAAATGCATATAACGCATGATGACAAGAGACGTTAACATCTCAGCGAGAATCTGCAGACAGATGAATGTGGATGAAGGTGAAGACTTTTGCACTTCGGTGACATCTCTTGGCAGCACTGAGGCAGCCCTTGCAGAATGCCCGAGCACATCTACGGAGGCAGCTAGTGGTAAGCTCCGCTCATGAGCCTCAGCATGGAAGATGGTGCAGAAAGGACGAAAAATAGGGAGGGTTGATAATAAATCAGACGATTGCAAAAACGGGAGTAGCTATTCAAGATGGAATGGCGAGATGACAAATCTGAAGGGTTGATACCAATTCGCCATGACCAAGCACAAGTAGACCGAGATGACTTCATGCAGTCGTTTGAGTTGTAAACCGCTTAGCCACCACAGATGTCGTCAAACTCTGGTATGATCATAGGGAAGTACAAATATGCAGCTGGCCTAAACTGGCCTCAGTTTGGTGGGCCTGCTTAGTCAATCCATTGTCACTGACGAATTCATGCGAATTGTAAATCCCCAGCCCGAGATAATGGCTATATTCGCATCAATCCCCAGAGAGGCCCAGGCGATGGGAAATAGGCCACGAATTGACTCAAACTAATATCGCAGTCTTGCTGGGTTATTCTCGTATACCTGCGCTTGTCCAAAAGCACAGTCCACGGAAATATATATATTCATATTTGCGGGCTCTTAAATGTCACGAGGTGTGGTTGACGGCCGCCATCTGCAGTTCTTGGCTGTCAAGAGGTCCGTGTGCGGCTCCATCATGCTGCCAGTAGCTTTTCCCAGTCAGGTTAAGATGAAACCCCGTGTGCCGTTTCGGTACATGACTAGATCCAAAATTGTCGAAGCTGTCATCAGTCGGAGTCCCATTGAAACCTGGATTGGCCTTCCCCTGCATCGGCTGCCATGCATGTGAGTGGGAAAACCCAGGATGTGAAGTCGAGTTTACTCGGGAGGGCTCGAAAAGAAGCGCGATAAGGTAGATCGAGTGGCTGCGGATGGGTTGGATGGGTTGGATGGGCTGGATTTGGTTGGATTAAAAACCTATCAGATCTTCCCGCTGAAGCTGTGGTCTCCTTCTTGGCCCGAGTGAAGCCATCCCAGTCGAATCTCAAACACGGCCACTTGTGACGACCCAAAAACCAACAGTGGTGCTAAATGGCCCCGTTGTCACCTCGAACAGATCATCGTGGATGGCTCGAGTAGTCAAGCTTGGATGCATTCGAACAGAGCGGCGAGTAGAAGTAAACAAGCAGTTAGTAGTTTGAAGTATCGGTGCGGCGGCTTCCCTATGAAGATGCATAGGTAGTTTGCTAGTGCACCAAGTCCTCTGTGACTTGGGAAATTCACAATTCAGGCATGATATAAATGTGCAAGGCGGTTCAACCAGAACCAGCATGTTCATTTTATACTTTTATCCGCTGTTCCGAGTGCTGGGATGGGATGGAGTCGAACAATTTGAGCAAGGCTCTCCCGGGTACTTCGAAAATAACACTCGTAAGTCGTAAAGTTCCTGGTTGACGACCGATGGATGGATGCGTTGTAGCACTGCCCCGATTTTGGCATGTTGCTTCTCCACCATTGATAGAAGGACCTGCGAGTTGGGCCATTGTTCGGTAATCACCAGGTCCCAGAGTCCAATTGGAAATTAGCCAGTCAGCAACCATTAAACGTTCCGCAGCTTCAGAACGCCCCTAGCAATCCATCCCCTCTCTGTACTTACTTGACAGTCCTGGTCAGACTGTACCTGTGCTGCTGTGGTACCTTCCCGCAAGGAGCAGCCCCTGGCTTCTTAGCTCTCCTTGGAGGTGGGTGCCTACTGCCCAGTCAAAGCTCACTATTCTTCGCCGAAGTGGGTCCTGCAACCTTCCCACTCTGCTCATTGTCGTTCATCTCCCGTCCCTCTTGCTTCTGCTCCACCCTTCACCTTTCCCAAACCCATCTCTTCGCCTGTCTATCCTTTAATTCCTGCTCCCATCTCTCCTCGGATTGCGACGACGACACGCCTGTGTAGATTATTCGACTTTTCGACTTTCTCCAGCGAGCCACCTGGACGCCGATCCGACAAGCTTTCCCTTCTTCCGACGTAAATATTGGTGGATTTGGGGTTGCGCCGTCAGGAACTGCGTAAAACATAAAGAGTTACCACCCTCTGCCGTGCATTCATTGGAGGACGACGAAGGACACAAAGTCAGTCATACAGACACAGCGGACACCAAAATCAGGACAAGGCACATTTCATCTCCCACCCGAACCGTTTCGACCCGAAAACAGCGACCCGAACCTCCACTCAATAGCAACTCAATTCAATTTAGAGGTCTTTTTATGCGATAGTTTGAATTGCGGACCGAACGTTACGACGACAGTTAATTCCAGGCTAAGACCAACGCCCACCACCCCAGCACACGGGTTACCTACACTATCCCCGCCGACTAGTCTCAGTGTCTCTCTTTCGTGTCGACACAACGAACCGATTGGACTTGCACCGCACTGCACGCATTCTTTTCCCTAAGACATCTTCAGTTCCTCACACTCCTGTTAATTCACATCTACTCGACCGACCTGAAATCAGTGCGTCATACAAGCACTTGTCGCCTATTACGGCCTTCGCTTATTGCGGCCTCCGCCAGACGCTTCCGCTCTCGGGACATCATCACAGCTCCACCGAGAAGCCCACCACCTGTGAACGAACAACCACCGACTCCAGTCATTCCTTTGTAGATACTCCAGCGCTGCAATCTACGGTGGCGTCTTCTCCATTCGACTGTCGGGCCTATCGTACCCCATCCTCGGCGCCGCAATCACTGCGTGTCAAACCAAACTTCGGCTGCACCGCCACACTCGCAAGGTTCCAGCGCATCGGGCATTCGCTGCGGCAACACTGACCAGCGCCGTGAAACTGCATCGCTTAACATTTTTGCCGTCAACAAACTTTCGCCGCACCGTCTGCGCATTCGCGTCACCACAGGCCTCGTGGCCGTCCGATTTCGACCCGAATCTTAATACGCGCAACTCGACCGCCCGTCTTTCTCAGACGACTTCTCTATGCCCTCTTACGGATCTCTTCACTCACCATCACTCCGGAAAATGGAACAGTCCCGGGCGTCGTATGGCCGTAGGGGCTTGAACATGAGCAACATCCTTGGTGACCCATTTGCTCTGGCGACAACGTCAATAGCTGCGGTATGTTCCTCTACATCCCATGACAACATCTAGATTGCTGACGTGTCGTACTCTCACAGCTCGCCTGGATCATTGCCTTCATCAGCTGCATCATTGCACAGGTACAATCCCCCGGTGATGTCGGGACGTTCCCCCCCTTCTCATGGTGGAGCATAATTTACATGCTGTTTGTCATTATGGGAGTTGTCGTTGTTATTGCGGCCAATTCCATCCAGACATATCACATCGCGCTCGTCGGCTACTTGGCGTGCGGACTAGTCCTGACTTCGTCCTCGGTCAATGCCTTGGTATACTCGTCCAGCGGTGCCCGCGAGGCCGCCGCAGCCGGGTTCATCCTGTTGTCCATGGTTTCGGTAAGTTCTCATTGCTCCCATTGTTCCCAATGTGTCATGTCTCTTTGATCATACGACGGTGTCGCATTCGTAGCCACTTCAGCTGACATTGTGATGTGCAGATTGTGTGGATCTTCTACTTCGGGTCTGCCCCGTCAGCAACTCCACGAGCATATCTCGACTCCTTCGCCTTGACCAAGGAATCGCCTGCGGCTAGACAGACAATGAATGGTGGCTACCGACCCGAGACGTCGGTATCGAATGCTCCGCCGCAAATGTACACCACTTCAGCCCAGCTCAACGGCTTTGAGAACCCCTCCCCCGTCGCTGGACTCTCCTCCAGCCAAGCCGCACGCAACTCCGCTGCCACTCCTGCTTTCCCTTCAACGGCAACCAAGCCCCCGGCGGCTCAGCCCGAGTCCGAGATCGCTCAACCTACCGAGTATCCGTACAGCGCGAAGGCCATCTATAGTTACGAGGCCAACCCAGACGATGCGAACGAGATCTCTTTCTCCAAACACGAGATCTTGGAGGTCAGCGATGTTAGCGGCAGGTGGTGGCAAGCACGGAAAGCGACGGGCGAAACGGGTATCGCCCCTAGCAACTACCTTATTTTGTTATGAGGCAACGATTCGGAGTAGCTGGCTGTTGATGGGGGACGTTATGAGCTCCTGGGCTCGCATCCATGGAATTGTTTGTTGGTCAAAACAACGGGAACTGGCGTTCACTGCATCTGGCTGAGCTGTTACATAACACGAAAGGCTCTGGACATGTGTTGGAGTAAAATTGGGCCACCATCATAGGGATATACCTTTTTCTTTTTTTTTCATTGAACCCTCCTCTTCCCCCTCCTCCCCCCTCTCCCCCGGGGCAATATTTCTGCTTCTGTTCGACCTCTTTTTCAAATATTTTTCATGATGAACCCTACTACCCTATTGTCTTTTGTTACTTTCCTCTTTGGACGAGGCGACCCCCTTTTCCCCCTTCTGTGATGATAAATCAAAGCGAGCAAGCGAGCAACCATCTTCCTGTCTGTTTCCCCATCATCTCGCACTTCATCTTTTTGCAAAGCAAACTCTACTGTCTTATGCTGTCTTTAATGCGAAGGCGCGGACCGGATGGGTTAGCAGCAGATTTCGGATCTCAGTGCTAGAGTAGAGAAAGGGGACGCGTGGTCGGCGGCATCGTGGAGGATAAAGGGAAGCACGGATGGGGGCAGGCCTTGAAATCCGAACGGGCCCCCGATGGGGGCGATATCACGATGTCACGTCATGGGTGAGCCGGCGCTGGCTCGGGACAATGTGTACCTACTGTCTATCAATGAAAAACAAGATCTGAAAATGCAACCTGTGACGATGATATTTGACGCGACATGTTAAATAACGCATAGGTCAGAAGATTCTGTTTGTGGTGAAGAGCGAGCACATTGTCTTGGTCTGGAGACGAGGGATCTTGTATCTGACAACTTGGTCTTGGAAGTGCAATTTATGCTACTCATCGAGCTGCCTTTCAAAACAGATGTGTAGGGTTTTGGCCAATGTCGCTGCCAAACTACAGAGGGGAGCTGTCAATGTTACTGGCCAGCGGCAAATGCGACATGCTACTACCAAAGAGCTCGCACAGTAGCAGAAAAGAGAGAAAACGAAGGAGTGAGAAAGGTGCCTGTCAGGGAACTTACACAAGACATTGGTACATGATCGATCGAATGACGAAGCAGCTCAATGTAACAGACCAAGCAAGCTACACCGACTCATCGAGATACAAGAAAACCACAAATGCATTAGTCTATGTAGATCTAGGGGCGAAAGACAGTCACGCACAAGCGGCAAACTAGCGTTGCAGACCCACCTGCCTATTTACGTAGCTTGTGATGATGCCGACGTACGTCTACATGAGGCTGATTATCCGTACGTTCACCTCAACCATGTATATACCCCCTTCACAGGTAAGAATGCAAAGTCAACAGTTATTTTGTTCCTATACTGGAGATGGAATTAATGGAACTAATGGAACTCTGCGGTGCCAAAGTCCAGGATCTTCATTTATAGTATTGATCACTTGCAGATGAAAGTAAGCATAGCCTCTCCTTCGACGTAAGTATGGCGGTGACGGGTAGCAAGGATTGCACAAGCTGCCATGTCGACGAAGCAAGTACAACCACTAAGGTATTAGACAATGAGTTATGCAAGTGTAACATTTCGAAGTCGGACGCGGGACCCAACATCCACCATCCCAGACTACTGATCTAGGGAAGGGAAGGGAAGGGCTAAGCTACAGGGTAGGACAATACCTAATAAAGGGTGACGTACGTCCATACGTACTTCACGTTATGCGTGCACTGCCACTTTACTGGTACGATCATTTGTAAAAGCAAATGAATCTGCCGCTTGAGAAGACCATGGTTGCAGTCTCATTGTTGGGGCCATACCCTCTAATCGGACCGTAACGCCATATTTTCCACACGTAGCTATGTGATAATACAATATTAATAGTGGCACTTTTGACAAACGCCACTTTGGTCGATTGACATTGGAATGCGCACCGAGAATGTGAATCCATTGCGCGCGATGACTTTGTCGATGGTGTACGGCCGAGGATGGGATTAATCTGCAACGTCCATACAGATTGAAGCATCGATCGTCTACCCCAGGGCCAATACTACATATTTGGTTCTTAAAAAATTTCACACTCTCTACACAACTACATTCAAGCGGCAACAGCCGCAAGACTTCCCAAGTCCAGTTCCTCGCCGATTTCCAAGCCCCCGAACCCTTCTTCCACAACCCAATTCCTGCCCCTTTCCCTTTGCCAAAGCGCCTCACAAGCACCACCCACAACCAGGAGCCCCGGCGGGCGGCTCCCCTCTTGGTCAATGGCCTCCACCACACTGGCGAGTGTGGTGCGTATGACCCTCTGATCTGGACAACTTGCCCTTTCTATTACCGCGCAGGGTGTAGTCGCAGGCCAGAGGGACCTCCTCGGGGACGCCTGTTGGGCGTTCATATCGAGCACGCCTTGCCTTTGCTCCTCTTTGAGCACCATCAGTTCGATCTCGGTGTACTGGGTCAATTCTTCAACCAAGCCAGATATCCGATGTAAAGCCATCAAGAACATGACAGTTCGACTGGCGACGAATTCCGGCGGGTTTGGTGGCTTGCCTTTCTTGCCGGTCCCGGTGCAAATAAGAACCTGATCGGCAATGTCTCGCTGCGTTGCTGGTATACCAGCAAACAGTGGCGCCGACAGCGCACTTGTGATACCCGGCAGCACCGTGACGCGATCGCCGACACCATGTTCTCGGAAATAAGCTATTTCCTCGCCCCCGCGGCCGTAGATGAACGGGTCGCCTTGCTTTAGGCGCAAGACTGTCTTGCCCTCGCGTAGACCTGCGAGCGCCATTTCATGCAGCTCTTGCTGGGCTGCATCCGCGTTGCCTGGGAACTTGCGCGCAATCTGCACGGGCGTGCGGCGTGGAATCAGGTCCAAGACCCCTGAAGGAACGAGCTTGTCGGCGAGAATGAGGTCGGCAGATTGAATTGCTTTATGCGTTGCTTGAGTCAGGAGGTCAGGATGGCCTGGCCCTGAGCCGGCGAGTAATATGCGGCCTCGAGAGGAGGGGCTGGACGAGAGTGCAGGCTTGCCGATAGATTCGGACGTGTTGGTTCCAGGGTATGTTTTGAGTATTGAATTGACGTTGTCGTCGCTGATGGCAGCTAAACGCTTCAGCGGCCAGTATTCGCATACTTGACTGAGCCAACGCATGCGCCTGTTCTTTGCCGCGTCGAGATCCGCCTCCGTTACCAGTTTGTTGAAGCTGGCTGACTGGTCCACCGAGTCGTCAACGTCTTCACCATCCGCCAAGGCGTTATGGAGCAAGTGGTCTTCTTCTTGTATCCTTCGCCGCACTTCGCCGAGACGAAGGCAGGCTGTTCCCAGATTTTGCGGTAACGAGGCGGCAATCTCACGGCGTATCCTAGACGCCAGCTTGCATCCACGCCCATTCGTTGTAACACCGATCTGCAACGGTCCGTCCACGTATGTCGAGAGGAGGCTGAAGGTGCAGAGTTGAGGAGCGTCGACCACGTTGACAGGGATGCGGTTGCGCTTGCAAAGACTTGAAATATGCGTGCCTGCATTGTGATAATCAGCCAGTGCCCCAGACGATGTCAAACTAGAATGCGAGGCAACTAACTGAGTGGACCTTTAGCACCCGATGTCACGAAGACAGCATCCACAACATGGCCGACTTCTTCTCGGCCCAAGGTCAAGACGTCATTGTCTTCAAAGGCCTTCTTTACCCATTTGACCTCACCGTCATCGATGCGCTTCTGGAGCGTATAGTGTAACTCGGCTGTTTCTGGCGCAAGAAGGAGAGGCAATGCGCCTACATTGAGCGACTGCCCACATCGCGAGGATGCGAGGGGATTCGATCCAATGATGAGATGTATTTGAAATCTGGCGTCGGTCGCCGTCAGGAGGGAAACGGGAGCGGCCATCATCGACTTCGATGGATCGAAATCACTTGAGTGTAGTGGCGGGCACCACCTTCTTGCCTTGATCGACGTATGCCCTTGACAACAGAACACAGAGAAGGGGATGCGCAGGGCCTCGAACCAAGACGAATGATTGAAGAGAATGAACTTGGTACGAAGTAAAGAAAGAGACTATCATAGCTAGATACCACGACATTTCACCCACCGCGAGCAGATCTCCATAGAAGACTCGGGGCCATAGTCGCATAAAAATCGCGAATTCGGAATGTCGATGACCAATTTACACTTTTCTATCGTGCCTGACAGATTTTGGCGGGGCATCCGCTGACGTGATTGCACATTCTGCGCTATTGCGTCCAATAGAAAGGCTTGAATTGGTGAGCTTAGGCGGCTTGCAGCTCCCCCGCGGACCCTTATCGGAGATCTTCAACTCATCTACGAGGAGTCCAATGCTGAGTACTTGCAAAAACACCGCACCATTTCGGATTCAGAAGAAATGACGTCGTTAATCGTAGCCGATCTGTCACTTGGATGCACTGAGACTGGTGGTCCATCGCCGTGTCCTCTGCTACGATAATAAGCTGTATGCCCTGCTTGCACTTGCCTTACGCGGACAGACCGGGCAATGCTGCTCTGCATTGCATGATTTTGAGTTTGAGGGGCCGAAAACGTCTTGCGTAACAACCTTGGCTATGTGAGCCGTGGCCACCGGCTCGGGCATGTGAGTGCAAGAAAAGCAAACCTGGGAAATATTCTGTCCTCCCATCAGCATGGCCATTACGACAACTCACGTTTCTCTCTTTCACTATCCGAGGGGTTCGACATGGTCAGAGTGATACAATGCTTGAGGCTACATCACCCGAATGCATTGACGGATCTCCAGGACCTGAATTAGCAAATAGCAATCCACAAAGAGTTCAACGCGAGTGGATGCTAAATATAAGAGCCAAAGTCGACGTCAACCCTTGCAATTCGTCGTCGATGAGCCGGGTGCTCCTCGAGCAATCTCTTCTACAATCCAAAAATGCGAATTGCAAAATCGTCACATTGAGATAAGGTCAGAGGTAAGGCCTACAGTTCTAGAGTCTAATTCTTGCACACATGAGACTTTAGGTGTCTAGAGCAGTCACATCTTGAAGCAATTGTTGACTACGTTTTCTACTACATGAATATGTAAGCATCAACCATGACGAATCTTTTGTGCAACCTCCCGTGGAGTTTCAAGGATTCTTGGACATGTCGAGGTCAACTGCCATCCATTGCAAAGCATTATTATGGGTTTTCACCAGGTCACCTTCGTGGCCCGCAAAGTGTCCTTGAACCCTATTCTATGTTTATGATCATCCCTTTATTTCTGCCCTACGCGTTCACATCCATTCTCCCTGTTATACCTCTGAGAGCAGTAGTGACGTTGCATGGTCAGATACAGCATGTTCACATCAGTTTGGGTTAAAACCAAGATAGACATGGTCACATTATTGAAAGACTGAACTTATAATCGCCAGAACAACACACTTCGGAGGCTTGTTATTTTGAAGCCATGGCTAATCCTCTAAACACAAGAAAACCAGATATAGAGGTTTTCCCCCACGTTTGAGGCATTGGAACTAGAATAGAGTTCGGATACTAGCCACACCAAGTATCGTATCTGATAAACTCAAATAGATGGTAACAAAGATTTATAACCTCGTTTCAACAGAAGATCGCCATATTACAGGAACGCAAGGCTCAAACGCTAGAGGCAGGTCGTGAGGATGGAAACTTGCCACAACGTATTCAGGATTATGACCTCTGGTAGTGTGACAATGAAGTCTGTTGTGATTTTGTGAAAGAGATTCTAATCGGTTCGTGGAGTTCTGAGGGCTTTTGGTGGTTCTTTCGGTTATTGAGATATTCAGAGTGGTTACTGTTCTTCTCGACACGTCAAGTGAGATGAGGTGTCTTCAGCACATATACCTTACGAACAACAAAATAATGATACTTGGTTTCATGGACAGTCCCTGGGGGCGGTTTGTCGGGATGACTGATCTGGGTCTCCCTCCGACAGGAATCTGAAATGGCACGCCCTGCACTGAAGCAGACTCTGTCACAGATAAAAGAAGATTGGTACACTTGGGCTATCGGCCCTGTAGGTCAGAAAATGTATAGCAGACAATCCAAGGCTTTTAGTTAGAGACCGAGAGGTTCGAAAGGCTAGACAAGGTATTTAAGGGCTGCCGCTCTGGTATGATGCTGAAATGCCCTTATTTTTGATAGAGGGAAAAATTAGGACAAATTCCTCAAAATAAGCACATGAATTTTGACGACACTCTCTAAGCGCCATTTTCTAGCATCAGTCATGGCAACACTATTCCAGTCCCTGGGAATGAAAACTGCAAACGTGAGCGTCGATGGCAACAAACCCTACTGGTGGCGAACCAGTGACCTTGATCACTCAAAGATGTTGCACGAGGCCGAATATCCAGAAGCGACCAACATCAGTTCTTGACCTTCTATCGTGACATCATCTGTCCGACGCCGGGGTCTCAGCCAGACAGCACCGTGACCAAAAGCTTCGTCGGTCAAGATGGCAACCCTTTTGAATACAGCCTGAGCTCCAGGGCTCCACAGAGGGTCAGACCATCCGCTTCAGCGTCGACCTCACTCAACTCCGCTCAGCAGATACAACCAATCCATTCAGCATGGCGACCACGCAGAAAGTGGCGGAGACCCTGGCGGAGAAAACCCCTTGGGTTTGATAATACCTGGCATCGTTCGCTTCCCAGCTTCTATGATCAGCCTCAGCTTTCCGCAAGCGAATAACCGGTTCTGGTCGCGAAGGAAAGACATCAATCTACTGTTATTATTGGCCTCGGCATCAACAAGCGTGTCAGCCCATTAGACAAGCTACCCTTCTTGGCCAAGTCCTACTTCCCTCCGTCGTTTGCCGCCGCAGTCCAGGGTGTAACTCGCTGGGAGGTAGTTGGCCAGGCCATTTGTCAGCTCCCATGCGTCAACTCATAGGCAAACCTCCTCAAGTTCTGAACTATATTCGATGACTACCGAAAAGAGAAGGCCCCTGAGTGGAGGCACAGCGTGCCGTACGTGGCTAGCGAGTTTGTTGAACCAGGAAAGGCCCGCCTCAAGGCGTATATACGCGTCCCTGGACAGAAATTCGACAATATGTGCGATCTCTACACCCTGGTGAGCGCATTGCCGACCTCGAAGAAGACAAGGAGAAGATGTGAGATTTGATCGACCGAGTCGGTGGTATTATGACGGACAAGGCCAAAAGCAGGAAACAGGCGCATACTGACAAAAAACAGAATAACATATACTTCGCCCTTTCCCCCAAAAGTCCATATCCCGCGCCAAAGCTGAATATATACTCCTCCCACTGGGCTCCGAATGTTGAAGTCGTTGTACAGGGATTGAACACTGGGCTACAGACATACGGCTCGTACCGTGGTGGGGATACAATGGAACAGCGAGTCAAGTATGTCTTGTAAGTACTCCCGATCTCATATTGTTATAGATTGTAAAGTCCACCAGTGAACGAGTGAATGAAGCTACAGCACACATCGGGATCTGAACGGAAAGACTGGCATTTTCACATTTCTCGGGATTGGGAGGAAGGAAGACCCAGTTAGCAAGGACCTTGGTCTTCAAGCCCGGAACTACACAAAACACCGCGGATCTGAAGGGGGAAATATTGGATGGATAGACTATTGGCTCAGCAATACGGCTGAATAGTTACTTCATGTGTTCTGCATCCTCCCTCGCCCACATTAAACCCCGATTGCATTTTCGACGGGCCCGCCTCAAATTTTCAAGGATCGACATTAATTTTTGCCAGTATCAATCCTGATCAAGCTAGTGCTGGGTATCGACTCCCTTATCGCCACTATTCGGAACCACGCATGCACGTTATATCCATCTCGGCCAGACGATTGCCGCTGTGCCCAATGCCATCATGGTTTTATCTACGAATGCACGTGGCAATAATGGATTGTAGGAGGCTTAAGTCCAAATTTGACACCATTCGGGCTGGAATGCCATTTTCCCGATTGAGATGTATCTCGGCGTCGGAAACTACCGCGTGTGGTGTTATCCGTGTTTGGCAGGTCCGTATCGAGTGATAAGGACGAGTGCATAGTGGACGTACATAGTACACTGCGAATAGCAGATTCGATTTCTTGAGCCTAAGGACGAGAATAGGAGCATTCTGATTAGGCTTACCCGAAGAAGGCACTCTGGCTCCCTTTTAAGGTTTATTGAAGGCTTGCGACATTCAACCTCATTTCCCCAAGAGTCCCCAAGAGACCGTTAATTTCGCCAGGTCTGCCTATATCTGCACTAATATTTTCCTTTCTTAGTATAAGTCCACTACTCAGTGCACCTGTCTCCGTACCAAACCGCTACGTGCAGAATACAATTATTGCTGATAGGTGGTTTGTTTAGTGTTTTTCTTAGAGTTTTGGAACTTAACCTTATTCCCATCGACCCTATGATCTGCATATTGATTTGCCCCTTTTCCACACATCATGCAGCTTGTACATTCGAAATATGACTCGCCAGAGAAAGGCTAACTCGGGAATGTGGGAGCAGGGTAAATGTTCGCAAGAAACAGGTGCCATAGTTTGTATTTCTGCAGAGTGACACAGATCAATGGCCGCACCCATGGGTGGTCCACTTTGCTGTCGGTATCATGTAAATCCGGTTTCCTCCATTTTCCAGCCACATGGCCATAACAGTGTATACATGCACGAGTATATTATGTATTCATCAACGTGAACAACATCTTCTAAATGCCAATTAAGCATCCTCGAAGACCGGCTCTTGCTCAACTAGTAGTATAAATGGCCATTCCACCTTGCTCTAGCATGTATACTAGGCTACTCGATTGAATTGAAATATTGCTACGATAGAGTGTCCTGTGGCAGTCTAATCTCAGTCTCGGAATGCTATTTGTCCTGTGCACCGCTTAACATATTTTCATGATGTTAGGGCGGTCGAGGTATAGCGTGCTCCATGAATCTTGATCTACATCACACGATGTCTGAACCGAGCCACTGGAAGATGACGTTGGCTCAGGTCGTACGTACGTGTAGAGACTAGCCACGGAAACGACGATCTGACGGTGTCACATTAGTCCCACTGTTTCGAAAATGGGGGTTGCTTTGATGCTGTTCTGGATGTGACGGAGACATCCCGTCCTGACACTTGTCACGTGGAGAGGCCATGGGCATGAACGGCCTTGTCGGTACCGTCTCCAGTTTTCGAGCAGATTTGACCAGGAAAACCAGAGGCTCGGTTGTCGGATGAATGACAGATCACAAGCGTCACATTGAAGTAAAGCTGAAACAAAACCAAACAAGGAATTGTTGATACACGGTAATGAAGGCCATTCTCTGTTCCGATGGAAAATCACAGTCAAGCGCCCCAACTGTCGAACGATGGTGCACATCACATTCCGACATCCCCTTTTGGTACCGGTATATATTGATGATAGATGGAACGTGCATTTTTGCTACGTGTTCCTGACCACAGTGGATGGTACGGGGTTCGATGGGTGATGCTCCACTGGGCTTTTGTAGGCCGAGGCTAGGGTGCCCAGTTTCCGGACTGAGCTACGGTTTTTGGAAGCGAGACAACATGTTGGTCTAGCAGAGCCAACTAGTTCATTTGTTGTAGGAGATATATCGCTGCTTGTCGCTCAGGTTTCCATGCACTGGTCGAGCCGTTCGATCGATGGAGATTGGGCTGGGACAACCAGACGTTGAAAATGGCTGAGGGACGGGTTCGAAAGTTTTACAGGGAATGAAAGGGGAGGGCTGGCCTTATCTATTGAAGGGTTGTGTCCCGGCATGGCCGGGGAGGCTGAGGGACCGGCAGGGGTTTGCCTACCACCTTGGCCCACGCATCTGACGCGGACCGAATCCAATACGAGCGAAAATCGCTCCTGACTTGAACCTCGTGTTTTGTGCAGGTAGCGTTTGTTTTGGTTCATCTGATACCGTAGGGCCTCCCTAAAAGGAAGTTGAAGAAGCTGGCTGATAAGCTACAGTGACCAGCGAAAATCACCAAAGCCTGCTAAATCACAACTCCCGATCTGGACGGTCACGACAACTGGGCTCGGGGCTCAACCAAATGGTAGTATTGTGGCACCTTGGCTATGGTAAGGCGTTAAAGCAACCTGGGCAACTGAGCGATGGAGCTTGTTTTGGCCAAGGGGCACTGGGAATTGGTGAGCATCCTTGCAAACGTGGATTTACGTGGATTTTGACTTCTGACGTTGTTCTCGAACCTGTCCTGGGTTAATTGGTGTCGTGTGCTCAGTGGTTGTTGACAATCCACATGTGGGCCGGGAGTCTCCGGGACCCCCAGGCAACCTAGGGTGATCCCCGTCCTCAGTCACCGGATTGGGTATAGACGCAGGCCGCTATCCACCCGTTCGGAATCGAAGCTGCCCAGTTGAGACTCCAGACTTTATCATGCCGACAAAAAAAAAGCACACTCCAATTCGACAAGTCAACGTCCAAGTCGCCGCGGCCTCGGGTCCGTTGGTCCACCATGCAGGCAGCCTACTACCTGGCCACTCGTGTGCCAGCTTTACCACTTGCCAGAGACGTCATGTCTCCGACGTATCCAGTTTATCCGCAATCACGACCTAACACCGCGAGTCGGTCCCAACACTCAGGCTTCAGGGGTCGCCTCAGGCGTAGAGTGCTGTTTTATTTTTGAACCATGCCGCCACCATTATGGATCCCGACACCGCCTTCTACGGCAACCATGATTCTGCATGGAACCGCCAAGCACGAGAATACTCCATCATCAGCTCGTATGCGAGCATGCAAAAGCCGTGCTTTTGGGTCCGGAGCCCGGGATGCTCGCACCGCCATCTGCCGTGGGGGTGGGTGCGCTTGTGGATGACCAGTAGCTTTGTTTTCCAAAAGCAACCCTATTGTCAACTTCTCTTTTTCTCTATTGCTCATTTTCCATACTATTATTTTTTCTTGCTGTGCGTCTTCTGGGAGGGGCTTTCCATTATCATTCGCTTGATTCGTTGTTCATCCTTAAGACATTCGTTTCTGTACACCCCCTACCCCCCCGTTCGTTTACAGACGCATTCACACATGAGCGTCCCCTTGGCGGACCGCCCAAGATGTTCATCTTGTCACTCGGACTTGTGCTTGTCAGCGTTGTCAGCGGCCTCAAGTACGATCCTCAATATGAGGGCTACAACCTCAATGAAAACGACACAGATAACCCCTTAGAGTATTGGGGGAAATGGGAAGACCATGACTTCTATCCGTCGCCGGAAAATTGGCGATTGCCCTTCTACACTCTCTTCCTTGACAGGTGAATATACCCAGACCGACCGAGGTGCCCGATCCTAACCTGCCGGCAGATTTGTCAACGGAGATCCAAGTAACGACAACATCAACGAAACCCACTTTGAGCAGGACATCTTGGGGACCCAACTACGGTTTGGTGGTGATATTGATGGACTGGCCGACACCCTCGACTATATTCAAGGCTTCGGTATCAAGGCCATCTACGTGGCTGGATCGCCTTTCATCAACCAGCCATGGGGCGCCGACTCATATTCACCGTTGGACCTGACGCTTCTCGACATGCACTTCGGCAACATCACGCAGTGGAGGGCGGCAGTAACCGAGATACATAGGCGCGGCATGTACATTATTTTGGACAACACCTTGGCGACCATGGGCGATCTGATTGGGTTCGAGAACTATTTGAACGAGAGTGCGCCCTTCTGGCTAGAGGAACATCCTGCGTTGTGGAAGACTTCGAGGCATTACCACGATTTCACTTACGGCACGGAGTACAACGAGACTTGTGACATGCCGAGGTTCTATCTGGACGACGGCGAGGAAGTCGATCAAGATGTGTACGACCAGTTCGGGGGCTGTTACGATGGCGACTTTGACCAGTTTGGTGATACCGAGGCTTTTGGTGTGTACCCGGATTGGCGTCGCCAGATCACCAAGTTCGCCTCCGTCCAGGACCGACTTCGCGAATGGGTTCCTTCAGTGCTGGACAAGCTTTCGCACTTTTCCTGCATCACCATTGCCTCTTTGGACATTGACGGATTCCGATACGATAAGGCAACCCAGGTTACTGTTGACGCTGAAGGGAATTTCTCGTCGCACCTGAGAGAATGCGCACGCGAGCTGGGCAAGAACAACTTTTTCATTCCCGGCGAAATTACGGGAGGAAACGGATTCGGCTCCATCTATGTCGGTCGCGGCCGCCAGCCAAGCCAATACTTGGAAAACATTGAAGGTCAGTACCTGTGAAGGCTTTGGGGGTTGTCACGTGAACCCCTCAACCGTCACCAAAACCACCAGCATTATGACCCAAACCCCCCTCCCCCCAAATCCCATCTTGCTTGCCCCTCTTACGACGCCCCTCCTAACAATAAATGCTAACTCGCATTATTGACTAGTCGCCGTCAACTTAACCAATGCAACCACCAAGGACATCTTCATTCGGGATGAGGGTCAAGAGGCCTTGGACGGGGCCGCCTTCCACTATTCAATCTACCGAAACCTACTTAGATTCTTGGGCATGGACGGAAGTGTCGAGGCCGCGTACGATCTTCCCAAGAACTGGGTTGAAGCTTGGAACACTATGCTCACTACCAACGACTTCCTCAACGCGAACACGGGAAAATTCGATCCGAGACATATGTACGGAGTTGTCAACCAAGATGTTTTCCGCTGGCCTGCGCTTACTCTTGGAATTGAGCGTAACTTGTTGGGTCTGGTAGGATTTTTCCACACATCAGAGTAATTACTACATGGAAAACTAACCGCAGTGCAGTTTATAACGACGTTGCATATGCCTGGCATCCCTTTGCTTCTTTGGGGCGAGGAACAGGCTTACTATGTACATGACAACACGGCGAGCAATTATATGTACGGACGACAGCCGATTTCATCTAGTCAGGCGTGGCAGAGACACGGATGCTACAGCTTAGAAGCGACCTTGTACTACCAGATGCCTCTTGACGCGGCACTCACCGGATGCGAAGATGACACCGTCTCTTACGACCACAGAGACCCGAGCCACCCGGTCAGGGCTATTATCAAGCACATGTACCATCTTCGAGAGCAGTTCCCTGTTCTGAAGGACGGCTTCTACCTGAGGGAGCTGTCTGCCCAGACAAAGGAGGTCACGTTGCCTGGAAGTTCCGGAACACCGACCGAGTTCGGCATTTGGTCTGTGATGCGATCCGAGTTCTTGGGCATCCAGGATTTGGGCAACGGGACCAGCGCTACGCCTGTGTGGTTGCTTTACCACAACAATAACGTCACGACGACGTATTCGTTCGACTGCACGAGCGACGACTTGAACAAAACTCTGATTGCGCCCTTCGACACCAACACCAAGGTCAGGAACCTGATGTTCCCCCATCAACGGTTGAATCTCACCGATTCGGCAACGAAGCTGGAGATCAACGGATCTACTGAGTATAATGGTTGTGTCGACACCATTACGATGAACGCGTACGAGTTTAGAGCCTACGTCCCAGAGGCGTCGTGGATCCCACCACCACCCATGATCACCAAGTACTATCCTGGACACGACTTCCGCATCAAATCGTCCGAGTCCACCACCGTCAGCATATCATTCCACGCATCGACCGTTATGGACTGCGACTCATTCACCGATGCCATCAGCTTCAGTTCCAAGACGCTCGACTCCAGCGTCACCCCCAGTGTTGACAGCTCCACCGTGAAGTGCGAGAACATTTCAGAAACCACTGCGTCGTACCCAGGTGCCATTGCTTCGGCCTGGTCCTGGTCGGCCGATGTTGTCGATCTGGCCCCCGGAATTCACCAGATCATTGTAACAAACGCCTCCACGGCTGATCTGGGCTCTTTTACCAACTCGGTGGACCGCTTCCTCATACGGGTTGGTGCGGGAGACAACCCCCTCGTGTTCCAAACCACGAGCAACTATTCCACAACGCTTCTGTCCAAGTCAGACAGTTCCGACGGAGACTTCATTCTCAACCACACCGCTGCTGGTGCTGACCAGTTCCGTTACTCCTTGACCTGGGAATCGAGCTGGAGCGACTGGATGGAATATCCCGACAGCCAAAAATCGACCATCAAGTCTCAGTCGTGGTCGGGGACAAAAAGCCAGGTACGTATGCCAGATACTGGACGGTCAACAAGTCGAATACTAACCGCTTGACTCTTTGTAGGAATGGGATGGTGAACACGTTATTGTGCAATACTACAGTAAACTCCTGGGCAGCAGTGCTTACGTACAACACGGTGACCTCGACTATGATACCCCGCGTCGATTCCCCCATCTGCATACCTCGGGCCCGTTCAACCAATACGGATACGACGCAGGACTCAACAACGTGGTCAAACAGCACTCGGTCGCGTCCACCTGGGACTGGCACTATATGGATGAGTGGTACCCTTCGGCCCATATCCAATTGAGTGTCTGGGGCATGAACCCGGACGGGCAGCCCGACCAAAGTTTCGTCTACGGCGACATCGACGGGGACTATGTTCTCGAGCGTCTGCCGCCGTCGAGTTTGGTGGAGAGCAGCATCAACATCACGCAAGCGCCGCCCAAGCCGTATCTCTCCTACCGTATCGTGTTGCAGGACTCCACGCTTCGATACCAGCTCCAGCCTCAGGGCAACATGTACGCGCAGCTGGCGCTGTATATCCTGCTTTGGATCGTGCCCATAATTAGCGGTCTAGCCGTGGTCTTCGTGTTCAAGCGGTCCTTCTACAAGGTCAAGTTCAACGAGTTCGGCACCCACGACCAGTCCAAGTTCGGCCTTCTGGTCCAGAAGACGAGGCACAAGCTCATGGGCGTTGCTGGTTCCGTGCCCCTCAAGACTTTCAGCTCCAGCCATCTCAACCTGGCGGCTGCGGAGATAGCGGCGCCGACAAAGCGACGAACGGTCTTGATCGCTACTATGGAGTACAACATTGACGACTGGGCCATCAAGATTAAGATCGGAGGATTGGGTGTCATGTCTCAGCTTATGGGGTCCGCCTGCAAGCACCAGGATCTGATTTGGGTTGTTCCGTGCGTCGGTGGTATCGATTACCCTATCGACGAACCCGCGGAATCCATGCTGGTAAGCAACCCCTGGAATTCTTCCGATTTACATTGAAAATGCTAACCCTTCATGCGACAGGTCAAAATCATGGACCAGTTCTACGAAATCCAAGTCCAGTACCACAAGGTCGACAATATCACCTTTGTGCTGCTTGACGCCCCCGTGTTCCGCAAGCAGTCCAAGGCTGAGCCGTACCCGGCTAGAATGGACGACATGGAGAGTGCTATTTACTACTCCGCCTGGTAAGCATCTCCCCACCCCATTGACGCCAGGAATGACAGCCGGACATGACTGACAACCCGTAACAGGAACCAATGTATTGCCGAGACTATCAACCGCTTCCCCGTCGACTTGTACCACATCAACGATTACCACGGAGCAGCAGCGCTGCTTTACCTCCTGCCCAAGACCCTTCCCGCCGCCATGTCGCTCCACAATGCCGAGTTCCAGGGCATGTGGCCGATGCGAACCCCCGAGGAAAGTATGGAAGTGTGCAAGGTGTACAACTTGCCCTTGGAGGTGGTGAGGGAATACGTGCAATTCGGATCTGGTATGTTGTGCCATGGACATTCTGTTCTGGATGGTATTGTGTTGTTGCTAACCGGTTCGTTCACACAGTCTTCAACTTGCTCAACGCCGGCGCCAGTTACCTGCGTATCAACCAAGGCGGTTTCGGTGCAGTCGGTGTGTCCAAGAAGTATGGTGACCGGTCCTATGCTCGTTATCCCATTTTCTGGGGTCTTTCCAAGATTGGAGAGTTGCCTAATCCGGTATGTTACCCTTTAAAGCCCCAATCAGCCGATTCCGTCTTAAGCTCACACATGCTAATCGATGACAGGATCCGAGTGACACTGGGGAGTGGAACAAGGACGATTGCCTCAAAGAAGGCAAACTCGAGGTCGATGAGACGTTCGAGGCTGGTCGTGCCGAGCTGAAGAGGCAGGCCCAGGAGTGGGCTGGCTTGACGCAGAACCCTGATGCTGAGCTGATGGTCTTCGTTGGACGATGGAGTTTGCAGAAGGGCGTAAGTGACGCTTTACAAACCAAAATTATTGCTCCAGAATTGGCCTTGCTGACAAAAGAAATGAATTATAGGTCGATCTTATTGCCGACATATTCCCTTGGGTCTTGGAACATTACCCCCAGACTCAGCTGATCTGCGTCGGACCCGTTATTGATTTGTATGGTCGTTTCGCTGCCCTCAAGCTTTCCAAGTTGATGGAGCAATTCCCTGGACGTGTGTTCAGTAAGCCCGAATTCACGGCTCTGCCGCCGTACATTTTCAGTGGAGCCGAGTTTGCCTTGATTCCCTCTCGTGACGAACCTTTTGGTTTGGTTGCCGTTGAATTTGGAAGAAAGGGTGCGCTGGGTATTGGAGGAAGAGTGGGAGGCTTGGGAACCAGTACGTTCTTTTCTCACCCCTTTTTCTATCTTGATACGACTTCAAATCGCCGCGTGATTGCTCGATTGCCCTCACCCCCTGACGATGGGAAATACTGACTTCTGTTACTCCAGTGCCCGGTTGGTGGTTCACTGTTGAGTCGACCAAAGCGTCCCATTTGCTTAGCCAGTTCAAACATGCCATTGTGGCAGCATTGGAGACGGACCGCCCAACGAGAGCTCTCATGCGAGCGGCGGCCGCCAAGCAACGTTTCCCCGTCGCCCAATGGCTCCAGAAGCTGGACAAGCTGCAGTCAAGTGTTATCAGGGTGCACCACAAGAACGAGAAGAAGTCGACCAAGAAAGCGTTAGCGCTGCTCAAGAACTCGCAAAACAACGGTAGTTCCATGGCTCTGACCAGCGATGTGACGACAACCTATGCCGACGTCAGCCAAATAGACGTCAGACAAATTCCTGACCACGACGACGACTACACGCTGGGCGACTACAGCCGCAACCCGTCGGGACTCAACACACCCATGATGGTGTCCCGCCCTTCATCGCCCGGCCTGACCCCTCGCCTGGGCTCGCCCATGAGCTCCCGCCCCGGAACCCCCGGCCAAAGTTTCTTTAATAGCCATGACCGCCACGATTCAGAAATGTCGTTCCCGGACCAATGGCCCATGGGCTCGGACCTGGGCTTAGAGCGGCCAAGAGGCCTCGGCATCCACGACAACTCCAGTCGCGCCTCCATGCTCAGCCTCGACGAAGTGGTGGGCGATCGCAACGATTTCAAGCTCCAAAAGGTCGACCCCTTCTTTACCGATCAAAAGGGAGACTTCTATTCCGCCTTTGAGAAGAAGCTGGGAGCTCTGACGGTGGATAACTCTATTTCGGAGTTGTGTATTGAGGATTACCTCATCAAGAGTGAGAAGGAGTGGTTCGAACAGTACCGTGACGCACGACTCGGCCGCTCTGCGTCTCCGTCACCCTCTGTGGGCGGACGACCCAGCTCACCTGCTCGATCCAAGTTGCGCGTCCCCGCTGCTGGCGGTAGCCGGCCGAGACTGCCGTCTGCTCTGATGAACAGCAGCACGCGCGTGTCTCTTGACCAGGAATCAGATGATGATATGGCGGACCAGAGGTCACAGTTTGCCATCCCCGATGACTACGTCCCGCCGACGGGTTTGAAGAAGTAAGTGACCCCGTGTACTCTTTCACCCCTGACTGTTTCATTCCCAGTTGCTGACACATCCACCTCTAGGTATCTTCAATACAGCGTTGGTGACTGGCCAATCTACAGTATCCTCCTCGCCATGAACCAAGTTCTTTCGGTCAACTCATACCAAGTCACCCTTCTCACAGGCGAAGTCGGCCAGGCGGCCACCAAGCTATACACCGTGGCCAGTATCTACCTCGTCTTCGCCATCCTCTGGTATACGCTCTCGCGCACCGTGCCACTGCTCTACCCCCTCGCCATCCCCTTCTTTGTCTACGGCATCGCCTTCATCATCCTGGGCTTTTCGCCCATGGCTAGTGACAGCGACACTAAGGGCTGGCTGCAAAATGTGGCCACGGGCTTCTACGCTGCGGCTTCGGCTAGTGGCGCCATCTCGTTCGCGTTTAACTTTGGTACGGATGGTGGATCGACGGTGACTACCTGGATTTTCCGTATGGCAGTTATTCAGGGGTTGAGTCAGTTGTACACAATTGGCTTGTGGGCGTGGGGAAGTCTGATCAGTGCGGCGTCGGCTAATTCGACTGCTTCGCCATCCCTGGCTAACTCTCCGGCACTCCTCGGTGTCTGTCTGCCTATCACCTTATTGCTCTGGGCTATTGGTGTTGTAAGTAACCTTTCTCCACCCCTACCCCCTCTTTGATCATTTCTTCCGTTTCTGTTCTTGAACAAGCGCTAACTTCACCACCAGGTCGTATTTCTTGGCCTTCCCGACTTCTATCGCGAAACTCCTGGCCCCGTCCCGCAACTCTGGAAGACGCTCCTCAAGCGCAAGACCATCGCCTGGTACCTACTCGCGGTCCTGATCCAGAACTACTTCCTCTCGACTCTCTACGGTCGCAACTGGTTCTTCCTCTTCAGCTCGAAGGTCCTCCCCGTCTGGGGCGTCGTCTTACTCGCGCTGGGCTTCTTCACCATCGGCTGGGCGGGAATCCTCTATGCTCTCGCCGTTGCTAGTAAGAGCCACCCCTGGCTTTTCCCCATGTTCGCCGTCGGCCTCGGTGCTCCCCGCTGGGCCCAGATGTTCTGGGGCACGTCCCGCATCGGTCTCTGGCTGCCGTGGGCTGGTGGTGCCATGGCGTCTGCGGTTCTGAGTCGTATGCTCTGGCTTTGGCTTGGTCTTCTGGACGCTGTGTCCGGGGCGGGCATTGGTGTTATTCTCATGTTAACTCTGACCCGAGTCCACGTCTCGGCCGCGGTCGCGTCGGCTTCGGTCTTAGGTAGTATAGCGACCATGCTAGCCCGGGCCACTGCGCCCAATAACCTCGGCCCCGGGGATGTATTCCCGGATATGAGCAAAGGCGTGAGTGCTCTTGGTACGGCCTGGTTTTGGGTCGTATTGTTTTTGCAGTTGTTTATTTGTATTGGGTACTTCAAATTCTTCAGGAAGGAACAAGTCAGCAAGCCGTAAAAATTTGGAAACGGCTTGAAAAAGAAAATAGGTGGCATGGGATGAGGTAATGTCTTTGGATGGGTACATGGAATTGGAGTGGCCAGGTCATGGATTTGTATATAGGTAATTTTTTTATTAGAAGTTGTAGAATTTCGGGTTGGAAGTGAGGTTTAGTTCTCTACATGCTGCTTGTCTGGACAATCTGAACTATATACATAGGTGGAGTTTACCCCGCCTCCAGCGCTGTTTCAAGTGCATTTCGGACACCTGTATATCTCCAAGCGAGTGCAGTACTAGATACTAAATATTGCTGACAGAGGTATACCAAATAGCTATCTCTGGTAGCAATCTTCATGTGGGGGCGAAGTTGGTGGGGTCTGGTTAGGCGTGACAGGGTCTTGATGGGGGTTAACCTCCGCGACTACGGAGGTTGCTTGACCTGACTACCTTTAGATGAATGAGATTATATCAATAGTATAATGATAGGATACGTGAAATTTGGTCTGGTTTGCCTTGTGAAATAATGGATTAAGTGGCAATGCTACCTAGCGCATTCTGGCTCGGGTGTAAGTGTTCCGGGCTGTTACAACATATCCACTACGGCCTACGCGAAGTTGGGAAGTACATGTAAAACTTAGTGTCTAGCTAGACAAATTCGTGGCATCTTTCTGATCCATCCATGAACAATTACATGGCCGTTTGGATGTCGAAATGATTTTCCCGCCGTGTTACCTGTAGACTCCTAATCCTGTCCTCGGCAATCTTGCTCAGTATTGTCTTGTGTTCCTTACGGAGAGGTTTCGCATCAGTTTTTTGACCTCATTTCACCATGTACATGACACGTAGGCCCTCCTTAGGCTGGAGCTAGAACTGCTGTAGACCTTGCTGTGGTAAAGACTGTGTCTGAGGCAACGGCATCCCCTGTTGACTCCACATGATCTGCGGACTCGGCTGTGGTGGTGAAAACTGCGAAGTTCCTGGAACCTGAGATCCCGAATAGTTTTTCTTGGAGGTAAACGGGCTGGGCTGGGGTTGTCTGCCAATTGGCTGGACCTGTGGCATCGTTGGGGCCTGCATGGGGGCTTGCGGGACGTTGAATCCTGTTATCGACATCGAACTGGACCCCTGTGGCATACCCGGTGGCGGAGGCTGTTGTTGTTGGTGGAACTGCAGCATACCAGAAGAAGCTTGATGCGGACTCTGGTATAGCTGGACGCCAACATTGGGAGCCATGGGCGTGGCGCCGAACGGGACCCCTCCCGCGAACGCATCATGGTTTTCATTCCTGCGGTTCATGGCCTCATCATTGCGTTGATGTTTAGTGCGCCAGAGATAGTAGTTGAACTCGTTGGAAACGTCGGCGATCTTGGTGAAGTGCTCTCGTGTGACTTTGATGACGGTCTCTAGAGAACCTGGTGTCAAATTATATACCTTTGCGCATGGGTAAAGATTATGCTTACCTGTCGTGGAGGTCTTCTCGACGCCAGGTCCACCATGTAGAAGTAGAATGATACCTTTCCCTGGATGATTTCAGTTAGTACGCAGAAACATTATCCCACGAGGACGATGGGTACCTTTGTCCTGGATCAGATCGAATTGGCGCCTTTGGGATTTTGCTTTCCCGAAGCATAAGCAGACCGATAGATTCAAGAGATTTGTCAAGGTCTTCGTGAAATCCAGCAAAGTCGAAGCCATCAAAGGTTTTGACGTCGAGCGTTGCTTCGGTAGGAAAGATATCCAACACATAGCCAACGAGGGACTGGAAAAGGACGCAGAGCAGAGAAAATGACAATGCCATCCAGCTCGCTTCTTGGGTAGATCGCTGCAAAACAATGCTCCAGTGTTGCAACTCGTGCTAAACTTCCTCCCCAACAACGAGTTTACTTCGATGCTTTGCGGTGCTCTGGCACTCGTATTCAGTTAAGCAATTCGGATGTCCCTGTAGGCGGTGCATTTACTGATCGAACGCGTGAACAGGTAGCACAGCGTGTCAATGATATCAGGGACAAGATATACAATTGTCTCGAACAACTGCCGTACATAGTCCAAATGACACAGAACACATTGACATGAACACAAATGACCCCAAAGTGTGGAACGCAGCCGAACACCTCTACTTGGGCATCCTGGAAGGTGTTGAGCAGATGCTGCAGTGGATAGATGAATCTACCTTCTGTAACTGCAGCGATAACATACACTCCCACGTGACTGTACTGACGTTAAAGCAGCCGCTGCGTTGAAATCTGTATTCTTGCCCCACATCTACGGCCATTCTGTCGAAAAGCAGGCTATCAAGGAGTGTATCGATGCCAGGATCAGCAAGTTTGAGGCCGCCGTTGGGGGACGCACTCCACAACCGCATAGCCTCTCTCGAGAAGAATGTCGAGGTAGCAGTCAGCAGCACGCTAGAGCATCTCCTCGATTTCGAGCGACAGACTCGACTGGAACAAGGTAAGCGATTTCACTGAAGCTGTTATCGATCCGTGACTAACTGATGCCACCAGGCCAGAGCAACGCTCAAATATTAGCAGCTGTAAATTCGACCAAGGTGTTTCTTACACTAAACCAGCTGCGGGATATCGTTGGAGTGGATAGCCAGCTCGTCAACCTCGATTTAGAAGTCGCCATGCTGGATGCGGAGCAAGACGCGTCCCCCACAATGAATGAAAGTGCAATTTCAATCATGTATCAATCCCGTTTCCATCAATGGCTGTACAGCAACCAGTCCCAGGTGCTTCTGATCAGATGGGGGAACACCACAATCTTCAAGAAGAGGCTGCCTCACTCTTAATGCTTCTCTCGTGCTTACTCTATCGAAGATTGTCCAAATCAGGGACAGTCCTCCCCTTAATTCATCTATGCGGACAACACAATGGTCCAGACGACCCTTTCAACCGGCCAAGTGGAATGCTGCGTCATATAAGCGCCCATTTACTCGATGCTGAGCCTGATCGCGTCGACCTCTCTGCCTTTAACCTGGATACGATCCAAGGCATCCAGGGGTCAAATCTTCAATATCTTCAACATCTGTTTCGAACTCCATTAATGGCGGCGACCGGGCGAGTGGTTGTCCTAATAATAGACGAAATCTCCTGGCTGGAAGAAACGCCCTGGGATGATGAGTTCGGGGTCGTGGCTCAGTTCTGGCGGAATCTGGTAAGTGTCTTTAACCGTGGGATTCCTGGGCAGACTGGCCCCGTGCTCAAGGTTCTTATTAAAAATCCTACTGTTAGCCGCTATGCGGAGCAGTGGTTGCCAAACGACAGCTGTGTTCTCGACTTGGCGGATGAAGGATATACAGATGAGATAAGTCTGGGTTTCGAGTCTGCGGTTGGTGTAGCGTACTAGTTAGCCAGATTATAAACAATGCATGGCTTAAAGATGTGCAACCATACGGAGTATTTCTAATCATATCACATATCCGTGCTTCCCAATCTAATCCTATATATAAATTGCGTGTCGTCTTACAATTTGGATTGAGGTTCTACCGAATTCTACGCTTAGTTATGTGTTAGTACGAATGGTCGTTTCAACTATATCTTCCATATCTTCTCTTCTCTTATAGGTCCGTACCTCGCAAATATCTACATTTCAAGTATCCGGGCAGCCAACTTGGCCGAGGCTCCTTAAGCTACTGATAAACCTTTAGACTCTCGAACACTGAAAAGGCGCATACGTAAGATTCGTTGCAGCTAGGAAAGAATATCTCCTTATCCCTTAGATCCAAGAACTCTTATCCTATTTCAAAAGCAATTTAAACATATCTTGGCATTGCTGCGTTAAAACTCACAATTATGTAAAGAGCCACTTGTCTCATTCAGTATGCTTGCTCTTGCAGACTTTCTCCCTCTTCTCCCAGCCACTCCCACTTAGCTTTCACCTCCCGACATGTCCCTCGGTATTAATGCGAACCAGAGCGTTCCACAATAACGTAGTCCGCCTTTTTATCTTCCCAGGGGCCACTTGAAGGGGATCCTTGTCTCAGCGCACTCGATCATGACGCCCTGGCGATCACCTCATAGAGGATCCATTGAAAAGAAACCCGTGCGCGCCTGTGCATGTTGATGCGTGCACCTAGGGGGGAGGATTCTATAATGCAGTAGTGCGCAACGTTATAGTATCTAATTGAATGGGATTCACCTAACCAGTGGGTCCCCTTACCTTTTCGTATCACATATACAGCACCGTGGTAGCCATGCCAAGAACGAGGGGGTTGGAAACGTCGGGATCTGAGCAGGTTCTCCATGTGTGTTACGGGCTTTCCCCATCGGCAGAGGCGTCCCTGTCCACTATCCTCGCACATATCAGAACCCAGGTCCGATCCTAGTCATCTACATGCCCGAGTCGCCGTGCGTGGGCAGACAGACCACGAATCCGAGATTCGCTAGTATACCCAGCCAATAATTATCAGGCGGCAAAAAGACGGTCGCGAAAGTAGATACGTATTTACTCCTGGCCCTACCGTACCTGGAACTGATGCTTTTGAGCGTGCGGGCCTCGACGGCTCGTTGCCAAACGTGTGAGATGGTCGCATAGGGCGCCAGCTTGACGCCTTTCAGATTATCCGTAGTGCGAGAGACCAATTTGAATCTGAGCTTGTTTATACTGTGATGGATACAGATATAACAACTTAGCAGATTCAAAAGCGTGTGATAGGGTTGGACAGACGGAGAAGTAGAGAATGTATCAATTGAGCTGAGGGGAAATGAGAAACCAGGTAAATACGGATATTAAATAGTAAAACACCAAAGAAATACATCGTCATATATTGTAGCAAACTATCGGTTGTTGTCCATATCCCTAAGCAGGGCTGTACTATTTTAGGGTGTCTACATAACCAACACAGACGACCCGGCCCATGACAAACCTGTAGTGTCCACCAAAAATCTCTAACGTGGTTTAACACCGAGTCGCGCACTTTTTCAACTTTTCCAATCTTTTGACTTCAACACTTATTTCCTCAACAACAACACCATGTAAGTTCAAACCCAAGAAGCCAAAATCAACCTTGCCATCGAAGCTATCCGATCGACCAAAAATATGAGCCAACGTCGAGCAGCAAAGCTATACGGTGTACCCGAGTCCTCACCAAGATAGAGGAAAGAGCTATTGTTCAGCATGTACTTGACCTAGATTTGAGAGGGTTTCCTCCCCGGCTAGAGGGTGTGGAAGATATGGCCAATTCTATTCTTGCGACGCGGGGTACCCGACGCGTCGGCAAGCTCTGGGCGCATCGCTTTGTAAAGCGAACCCCAGAGTTACAGACGCGTTTTTCTCGCTCGTATAACTTCCAGAGGGCCCTCTGCGAGGATCCAAAGATTATTGAGGACTGGTTCCGGCTTGTATCGAATATGAGGGCCAAATACGGGATCCAGGACTGCGATATGTGGAACTTCGACGAGACGGGCTTTATGATGGGCGTTATTCAACGCTCGATGCCCTGGACATTTTGGCCCGGAAGGACGCGGAGGCCCAGTTAAAGGAGGACAAGCGCTCTAGAGGGGGTAAAGAAAAGGCTGGTCCGTCGACTGTACGACGATTTAGTAAGTGTAAGAAGACCGGACATAATGTAAAGACTTGTCAAGTCGAACTATAATTGTCAGATGTATATAGCTCTGGATGCATTTCAATAAACTTTAGTCTGTTGTGGCTTTTTAATTGAACTTGAAATTATAGTGTGGTAAAAAGTGCGCGACTCGGTGTTAAACCACGTTATAGAGTCATTATTAATGAAGAAACACATGTAACTACATCCCAGCACAGTAGTCACCTGCAGAAGTGTTGTTCCGTACGCTTTTTTATCCAAATCGTGCTCTACGTCGTGGCAACTTTATCCCGATTCTTTGCTTGCCCAACGGGCTTCATACCGTTTACATGCGGTCACCTAACTTGGCTCTAAACAGACCAAGCCTTCCCAAGATCACCCAGCGTGAGGCCTAGATACCACTGCAAGATACTGATTGAATGTACTGAATCGAAATTGATGCTGTCGAAGACCTTTTGATCGGAAGTATCTCATCAAGGTGCTTGAGATAATATACCCCAAATAAGCATAATTATGATTTATGGCTGGAAATTTTTGTGCATCTGAAACTAAGATGTCTCTGGGTAAATGTGATTGGTTCGAAATTACTGTTATTTTCATGCTTCTTCTCATGCTGCAGGCCATGACAATACCTTCTACTCCGAATTCAATGTACCCCGAGTCTTTTAGTCTCCATCCCATGAACACCCAGTTCTTTCCTAGTCTCAGTCTTCTACCGTCTCATCCCCCCCTTGACTTGCCCCATTATCAACGACCTCCTCGCGATCCCCTAGATGCAACACAATCGGCAGCGGCTTCATGCGCCTGTACATAAACGCCGTCAAGGGCCTTTCCAACTGATCCACTTCGGCCCAAGGCAAACTCTCATCACTCAGCGAAGCATTCCAGCCACTCGGCCGATGATTCTCGTAGATGTGTTTAAATCGCCAATGGTGATACGGCTTGGGTGTCTTGAGCATCCCGTACATCTCCCAATGACGTTTCCGCGAGCTATGCTTGCTCAGCGCCGCGTGCTTGGGCTCCGCCTCGAACACTTCGTTGTACCGCTGGGAGGTCTTAGCGCGGTGGGCTAGAAGATCCTGCTTGCATTGGCGCCGGGTCTGCTTGAGCTGAGCTTTCTTGAGAGACCTTTTGTCCGCGGCGTCCGAGTCATCGATCTCTGCGCACCTTTTCATATAGTGATGGGCGTGAGCGTAGCGGATCTTGTTGCAGTCGGCGCGCCAGTGCCGCTTGGCCCCTCGCTCCATCTCGTCGAGCATTTGGGTTCGCGGGCTCGGAGGGGCGTAGTTGCTTGTGGAATATCCTGAATACATGGAGATAGGCATAATACTCTGACTAATGGGATACATCGTTCTTCTACGAATGTATACGATCGAAGGGTTTTGGTATTCCAAGTTATGCTAATGAAGGATGCTGTGAGTTTGAGGAAGCTCAGTAGGTCATTGGTGAGGTCAACCTCATACCTCCTGTTTGGAGGCTCTGAGTGGGTCTGTCGTCTTCGTGCTTTCCCAGTTTCGAGACATTGACGCAGCGCCTAAATATTGTTGAAAGACGTTGCCCTCTGCTCGCCGCATCCTTCCTACCTCATTTATAAACACCATAAACCAAAGACCACTCGTGACTCCTCTTGTAAACTTGGCGAGACTACGAGTCATAACCGGCGCCACATTGTCTTCGACATCAGATTCCGCGCCGAATTATTACACTCCTTCGGTATAGATAACGTAAGTAGCTGTGCAATGATCCAAGATTTAAAATTATCATTCTACCCAAACCTCGTGTTGTTCATATAAGTTCAACAGCCTCATCAAACACGCTGTTCGGTCACTCCTCTTCTTAAATCTGTCTCATAGCGCCGTAGCCAGTTTCCGTACCGCGCCAAACTTGCCCCGCAAAAGGCCGAGAGAGAAGTTGTATCGGGGATCCTTGTCCTCGTGCACCTGCTTCTAAGTGTATTCCCATTTGTCGAGATCAAGGTTGCTCAAACCATTGCATTATACAGCGATCGAGTGGTCATTTGAGAGAACTGTGCCTTTGCTGAAGAGCCAGTGCTGAAGAAAACAGTTGCTATTTATGTCATTGTTGGCCAGCAAATAATACTCAAGGTGAGTTCTACAGAGGCGAGGTTGACTGAAATGGGCGGGGAATATGTGGGACTGTTCACTCACCTGCAGAAGTTGGTGGCGGCGGTCATGTTGATGACCGATTCATGATACCAGCATTGCCAATGGTGAAAGTTGAGTGGCTCGACTCCGGACTTGAAGAAGCCATTCATGTCTTCCAGAATATCATGCTGATACCTTGAGATCTAGAGTCAGTCAACTGTTAATGCCAGCTCGACTGAGTAACTCGCAAGCGCCGCAAGTTCGTCAACTTCGCCTTCAATTGGTGATAGTCGTAGTTCCGGATGATGAAGTCCTTTTGGAGGCACGTCTCAGCCAGACCGCCTAGCTTCTGCGCCAGAGAGGCAAAGAAGTAAGCTCCAGCATCGCCGTAAGTCACGATCCCAAAGTTTGTATGGAACCGAAGTCCTCGGCCAGGGCCCCCCTATACACATCGGCCCTATTGTCGAAATACACCAGTGCGTTGGATAGGAGATTAAGGTGTCGAAAGAACATGTCATGATCCAGCAGGCCTAACATTTCGTCTCTGACCCGCCTTCCTTCAGCATCTGGGTCAGAACCACGAAATGAGATTACGACTTATGGTGTGATGGGTGCAGCGGCTCGAAGACGGTCGCTTGAATACCGCTGTCTCGGTACTCTTGCTGCAGCATCAATGCCTTATCATTTCAGGCCTTCCACTCATATCCGATCACGATGAGCTTCAAGTTCCAGCCAGCACACCGGTATGCGATGGACAGGTGAAAAACACACAACTTTTCCAGGTTAGTACCACACTAAAGATAAGGTGGGAGAATGTAGTTGACTCGGGGTATGGCTCGGAGACCAAGAGTATGATAGGAGTGCATAGTGGAAGCGATTGGCCGGATTCTCCCGGTTGGTCAAAGCGAAGAATCACTTGGTCTACTATGAGCGGCTCTGAGATACTAGTGACTTCCTGTCTAGCAACCTGCGATGAAAAGATGGGCTTATGCACCTTCGTAAGTACTTTCGGTGCAAATTCAAGTGGTAGGCCCCTCTTATGGCATGTTCAAGAAAACTAACGATTGTTCCTGGGCGAATATATCGACTCCGTGAAGAGAGTCTCCACCTCGAGAGAGAGCAGATAGAAGCAAATGATGAACAGAAAGGTTGTACTGACCACTAAGGGTGCACGAAACCGAAACGACATAATCGAAAGGCAGACTTAACTAAGATATAAAGGCAAATAAGAACATGACAATGGTTGCTACACATCGCCAAACTCTGGATTGGCGACGCGAGTAGGTTTGAGAATCAAGGAGCTGAAGCTTAGGAGATGTGAGAGGACATGGAAAGTGGGACGAAGGCTTACAGGGGGGGGCAGCGTGTGATCGCCGCCGTGCCCCTCTCTGCTGGTTGTGTGGTTGCAATGCAAAGAAGACACAACCAGCCTTGTGGCACACTCTTTTCCATCTGCCATACCATCAATCTAAGCGCCCTCAATCACTACAGCGGATGCATGTTGATGTGTGTTGGCGTATCATCCGTTTGATGTTGAGAGTGGGTTAGCGCTACATGAAGGACCAAGTGAAAGAAAGACAGGCTCCCGTGCTTCAATAACCATATACCGTTTGTAGAGACACAGCAAGATTGCATGAACCAACACGGGCCACAATTCAGGCCTCATTGAGTCGAATCCACTTTGGTCTTATCCTGGCAACACACTTTTAACCTATGAGTTTTTCAGCATTAAAATGTGGGGTTTCAAATCCACCCGGGCTATTTCATCTCAAACGGGCGGAACGGGCGGAACAGGCGGGAGCACAATTATCCAACATACTTGTATGTGCAAACGACTCACTGGGACTTCAACGACTTGAAAGGCATTTTTGGCAGACCTGATGGCCACGAACAAGGCATTACCAAGCTTTGGAATGGCGGTCAAGGGAGCACTTTCGTCCTGTTCCTCCCCTACACGATAAAATGCTCCGCAGAAAGTAATAGGAATAGCAAGCGCTGACCTCTGCGCCGAACTCCTGGTGCCAGTGGGCTGGGCCGCACGCTAAACCAAGAATCCCTGCACAATGTCGCCCTGCCCCAAAGGTTATCTATCTTTTCGACCCGACTCCATAAAAGTATTCAGGAGAGGCCCAATAGCAATACCTCGTTGTTCAATTAGCGCCCTGAAACTGCTGTGCCGCCGCGAAGAGTTACCCAAGTGGAGTGATGACATGACTTCGAATATGAACTCATATGTTCCCGTGTAAGACCGATCCAACCAGGAATAAAGATCCGACCAGGAGGTGGATGACAAGCGCGATGAAGCTCGTTGCAGTCATGATTTTCGCCTTGGCAAGTCGCCAATGGTGCAGTTCGTAGTAAATGCTCTGTACTTATCGTCCAACCCCCCAGCCAACGTGTCGCCGACGTTTCTCGATATCTTTCTTCTTTTTCCACTTCTTTCTGTCAACCGATTACGATGCGAGGCGGCCGGGTCGTCCCGACTCTGTGCTATACAGCATTTTCACTATGGGCGTTGTCGACTTGGATCTTGTTGTTGGCTTCAACAGCCGTGGAGGCGAGATGCTATAATAGCAAGGGCACCCCTTGGGTGTTCACGAACGACGAGCCGGTTGAGGCCTGGATGCCTTGCAATCTCACGGCGGAGGTGACTAACTGCTGTAGTCCGTGGGACTATTGCATGAGCAATGGGCTGTGCATGGACGCAGTCATCGATAATGTCATCAGCCAACAGGGCTGCACGGATAAAGATTGGGGAGAGCCCTGCTTTAATTACTGTGAAGGGAAAGAGAGTAGGTAGTTTGAAGCCGATGTGCAAAGGAAGGGAGACTGACTTCTTGCTTGCTATAGGTGATGCGGCAGGACTTCATTTCTTCTGGCGTTGTGTCGGGCAGTCATATTGCTGCGGCAACAACAGATCAACGACATGCTGCGAAGACCCGGGAGTTGAGACCGTCCAGCTTCCAGTAGGGCTGTCCCTTCATCATCCGCCTAATCCATCGACCAGTACTTCCAAAACAACCACTTCCACGTCTACGGCCGTGGCCACGGTCACTACCTCCCCCGACGCTGCGTCCACTGCTGGGGGCGACGAAGCCACGAGTTCCACGCCAATCCAAACTAGGATCTCATCGCCCACGGCGAGCACTGCGGCAACCCCGAATAATGACCATAGTGTGGCGATCGGCCTCGGTGTAGGGATACCGTTGGGCCTGGGAATGATTGCAGCGGTATGCTTCCTGGGCTTGCAGATTCAGAAAAGGAGCCAAAAACCAAAGCCTGAGGCTGCTCCCGCTCAGATGCAATGGAACACTCCTGAGTACTACAAAACCCCTGAACAGTATATCGGGGAGTTGCCACACAGGAATTGGCATCAGCCTTCGGAGCTTGATGCAAGAGAGATGGCAGAGCTTCGCAGTTAGCCTGTCCTACTGTATTTGTATTCCGGAAGGGAAATTTATAAACCCACATCATGCGTTCAATTTTATCTGATGACCAACCATAATAGAGTTAGCTCAAGACACTTGATCCCGACAGCAATGCTCTGTGCTGTGGAAATCGTGTTGGCGGCTGTTCCGTGGTTGCAGGAGGGTAGCTGTGCTTCGAATGGGGCTAATGATCTTAGTGAACCGAAATCTCGGGTGGTTATTCTCACATTACCCTTTCAACTCTGTCCAGCTTAGCCGGGCTATCCAAAGGCTATCGAGTTGTGCCCGGACGTCGTATTTCCCATTGAAAAGGCGCTACGGTTTTTCTTTGCCCGTGTGGCTCGGTCCTGGTACTTGTACCATATCACTATCGCTACGCCGGTTCAATAATCTCAACCTCAATCGCCGTGGCGGCAAGCGGAGGGTCAATATGCCGACTTCGGGCACGCATTCTTGCTTTCTCTTGCCTTCCATACATAGCACGACAATTTGGTGCTTTCAGGGTAATAGGGCTTCACGTGTTGCGGGTTGGAAGCTTGCTAAGCATACTTAAGTGGCGAGTCGACAAGAGAGAGACAGGAAGGCCTCGCCATAATATTTATCAGCTATTCACCCCTTAACAAACCCGCACATTCTTTAAACCCCAGCCGAACTTCTTGAAGGAATGCAAATTATCATGTTGTTGGGTGGCTAAAGAGGGAACAACCTCAAAAACCGATCACAAGGGGTCGGCTTTCCAGTCTAGCTTAACCGATTATGTGTGGTATGCTGTGCCACAGAACCGCGTGCAGCGATCAGTTCCTACTGTATTTCGTTTGCCCGTCGCCTTTTATAGCCAACAATCTGCCCAAGGTTTGACGGTTAATCTAAGACTGATACCGGAGCGAGTTCTTACAATATTTTACCGCGAATGGGAGCCGAAATGCGCTTAACCTTTGCCATGACTATATCTAAAACAGCCCCCAATACCTAGGGTTAAGCGTCAAGGCGCGTGTACAGCACGGGTCGCGGTAATTAGGATAGTGATAATCGCCCCCTATCAAGCCTTGCCAACCCCTGGTCGTCGTAATTTGGGTTTGGCAATTGAGTGGACACCCCTTGCGAGAATCTCGGCTGCGAAATCTCACTGCGGTCGGGCCGACGGTTCTGATGATAACCGACTTACGATTTGAGTCTGACATTTGCTCGATTATCCAATGGCATGGTCTTTCTGCCTTCGAACTTGAAGCAATCACTTTGTATTCCATGGAAACATCGACAGCCAAAATTTCTATTTTTGAGCCACCGCCCCTCTCTGGCTTTGCTGTGCCAATTGCATAGCTGCATGTTGGACGCGAATAGAGGGTTACGGAAACGAGCACCTCTACTCCGTACGGCACAGCGTGTTTACAAGGATGGCCTCTATCCATAATTTCCGCATTCAGAAGCTGATTGGCACAGGTTATCATCGCGATCCAACCGTGGTGGGTTCGGGGTGGGTTCTTGTGTTTTTAGCCGCCCTACAGCGTAAGGAGGGTGTCCTTGCTACCGTAAAGGTTGGACTTGCACCAACACAGTGACAGTGCCAACCGGAACTGTCTGGTTTCTACATATCACGGAAAATAGCATATCTTCTTCTTCCCCTGAGGCGTGGGTTGTGGTGGATATATTAAAGCCAGCGTTTATAAACTCTCATCAATGCCAAGTTGCCAACCCATTATCCTTCTATCTTACCAGCTTGGAATTCTCGTTAGTTCCTGGCCGTCCCACCTTCTCACGAGCTTTCTCAGGACAGCCGTGTTATTTATAATCCCGGATACCCCATATCAATCTGCTAGTGAATCAGTACCCGATATTGTGAGATCAACAGGGTCAAATGGCATTCTTACAGGGCAAACTACAACTCCTTTCCCAGAACGTGGTGAGCCCCAAACCACGACTCCGACTGGCCGCCTTGGCCATCGTGATCGTCTTGATCCTGTGCACCCAGAGACGCCCAGAATTTGGCTTCACATTGCCGGTTGCGGCGCCGCCGCCTAGCACAAAACCAGCGTCCTCCACAACGAAGCATTTATCCACCACGGACATTAATCGAGTTACAAACAATACCTTGGGATTTTCCAAGATCTTCGCGCTCGGCCTGCCGGATCGTAGCGATAAGCGGGATGCGGTTGCTTTGTCGAGCGCCTTGACTGGCTTCCATGTCCAGTGGGTTGATGGAGTCAGGGGAGAGTCAGTCCCGGATAAGGCGATCCCCTTTGGGACGGATCGGCAAAGATATGGACAAAACGAGCTGGGTTGTTGGAGGGCGCACATGAATGCGGCTCGAATGTACGTTTATATCCAAGTCTTGTTTGGGTGTATATACCGACGTTGTTACCATTCCTTGGCAAGCTGGGAAACATTGATGACTGACAAGTTGCTTACAGGATTGTCGAAGAGAATCTCGAATCGGCCCTGATCATGGAGGACGACGTGGACCGGGACGTCAGGCTCAAGACCCAACTTGAGCAGATTGCAACGGGAACTCGCACCTTGCTCGGCACGAGTTCTTCGAGCCCGAGTTCCCCTTACGGCGACGACTGGGACGTTTTGTGGATGGGCCACTGCGGCGAGCCGTTCCCCGAGCTGCTACCAGAAAACGTGGGCAAGCCCGCCGACCACCCTGGCATACAATATATGAAACAAAAGTTTGTGATCGAAAATGACGTGACGGTGCCGCCGCCAGACAAGGTGACCGGCCTACTCGACTTCAAAGCCAACCCCTACACACGCTGGGTCCACATTGGAGCAGCGCCCATATGCACCTTTGCATACGCGCTGTCACAGAGGGGCGCCCGGAAGGTCTTGTACGACTTGTCAGTAGACCACCTTTCGGGACCCATTGACAATGCTCTCGCGGATCTCTGTCGGCGCTCCGTCTCTGCCGTGGGGGAGGAGCCGGGGGGCGATGATGGGTTGCAGACTAAGTGCATCAGCGTCAATCCACCTCTCTTCTTTTCCCACAGGAGAAAGGGGCCGATACACGGGGATAGTGATATCCATAATATAGTGACTGATGAGGTGAGGGATAAGGGTTTCACTGAGAATATTATGTGGAGCGCGAGGAATAATATCAGGAATATGATCATGGGATCGGAGATGGAGAATCAGTTCTAAGCCGGTTAGGTTAAATTTTGGATACAACGGGAATGACGAGTTGGGGCCCGAACTCAATGATGGGCAAAGGGATATCTTGTCATATTGTTTTAATGGTTGGGTATATGTCAGGTTACGGCTAAGCCGAAGGCAAGAGTACGGAGTGAAGGGGAGTAATGGGCGTCCCTCCTGCGTAGCACCGGGTAGTCTCAGGTAGGGGTGCCCACGATGGTTCATTGATCTCTGCCCTCTCTATCTTCTTCCCGGATACCTGCCCCCTTACATAGATAGCTAGAGCCCGGAGTCAGAGCCGTAGAGCACTAGTTCCTCCGATTGTTCCGTACACCAAGACTTCCATATTCGGTCTTGACTCGCACGTCCCTACACCGGGGCCCCACCGGTGTCCCACCGGTATCTGTAGCATTCAGTTCTCTGACAGTATAGCACTCTTTTGGATGCAGATGGAAAGGTAATCTCCTCCTGCATCAAGCTTTAGTTATTTGGGATGAAAGAAATGGGCTTGGTTTTACTTTTGTATCATACCACAAAAATAGTTAGGACATTAGTGGATCGAGTGGTAGTATATAATTGTATGTAGTCGCTATCTAATAAAATTAGCCTTCAACATACGTCCCCTGTGATTACGTCTGAAATTGAGTTCAGTCGTACTCAAAGAGACGAGGTATAGCGAAGTCTAGAGCGTATTAAGACATAATATACAAGGGCACAGCCTATACTCGCGTTTACTAGTTAGGCTCGACCTATTATTAATTTTTTCGTCTGTGTGCTCTATTTATTACATCTAAAATCAATAAACGATGAGAAAGCTGAGGACTGACGCCGCAACCTGAAGGATTCGCCTTTCGAAACGCCAAGCCGATAGCTCCGAGGCAACTTTCCGATTCTTACTTCCCCATGGGGATTTGAAGTGGATTCAGTGCGGGGATACAAGGTCAACGGGCGGAGTCCATGTTCGGCATTGAAATGTCGTTGGCTTATTTCTTCGCTGGGCAAATGCAAAAACAGGAGATAAGTTCTGTTTACTGCAGATATTGACCTGAATCAACCTAGATCCAACCTGCCGAGCTTTTCCTCTCACACAATTGCAGCCTGCTCTGTCTTCTCAAATTTTGCAAGCACAGCGTGATCTCAACTCATAAGCATATCTCCGCACAACATGGATGGCTCCAACACCTCAGATAAACAGTCCAAGACATCCCAATACCTCGCCACCCTCCCATCCAAGCATGTCGCCCCGCTCTGGACCGTGATGGGCGCCATGGTACCCCCGCGCCCCATGCCCAAGGCTCAAGTAGCCCAATGGAAATACGACGAGATTCGCCCGCTGCTCCTCGAAGCCGGAAAAGTTGTCGACGCGCAAGAGGCTGAGAGACGGGTGCTTATGCTCGTTAACCCGGCCATGCAGGCGCCGCACACAACAGACACCATCTATGCGGGGCTGCAGCTGATTCTTCCCGGTGAGACAGCGCCGGCGCACCGACATACTGCATTTGCCTTACGGTTTATAATCGAGGGGGAGAGGGGGTTCACAGCTGTGGGTGGCGAGAAGGTGGTTATGAATCGAGGAGATGTTATACTGACGCCGAGCTGGGACTGGCATGACCATGGTCATGAGGGTGAGTTTTTCTTTCATGCTGAAGCGCCGCCTTTTCTGGTTTCTTTTCCTTCTCTTTTCGTTGCTTCACTCTTTGCCCTTTCACCTGTCCTTTTTCCTCTTCTCAATTCTAATTCCCAGGACTCGAAAATAGTCAAGCGGTATTGACGTCGTAACAGGCGAGGGCCCAATGATCTGGCTCGACGGCCTCGACCTTCCGCTGTATCAAGCCTTCCCGACAAACTTCGCAGAGGTGTACACGGAGAGCCGGTATCCCAGCAATCCAACGGCAGATGACTGTGAGCTGAGAATCGGCTGGGACGAGGTGCGAAGGTTCCTCGACTCGCAGGATGGCCCGCACGCCATCTACCACTACCAAGTCGGCCGGGAGGATGCGAAGAGGCCGCTTTCACTCACTATGGGAGGCCAAGCGGAGCGCGTTGATTCTGGTTCGGAGAGTGTATCCATGCGAGAGTCCTGCTCTTATGTGTACCATTGTTTTGAAGGACGGGGCCGAACTACACTTCTTTTGGCTAACGGAGCCACGGAAGTGGTTTACTGGGCCAGGGGGGACACTTTTGCGGTTCCGGCGTGGTCGGAAAGGGTGCATAAAGCGGAGGAACAGCGCAGCTATTTATTCGCTGTGAATGACCTTCCACTGCTTACAAATCTCGGTATGTATCGTAAGGAATAGTTAAGGGACCTGGTAGTGTGCTGGTATAATTCGATTTCATCACTTGATTGGCTAGTAGGTTAATGGCACAGCGCTAAATACAGTGGCATTAACGGATTATGAAAACTGCATACATGTGGCCAATGTTAGGATCGCTGGACAAATTGGAAACTCAGTACAAACTCGCTACCACCGACCCCAAGTCAAGTAATTCACCGCCCTAACAAACTCTTGCTAAATTTTCTGGTCTGGTAAAAGGTCTGGAGTCATCAAGTTTTAGTCGAGTTTTCCGCACAATAGGTCACATGCGAAAAGACTGCCGCATACGGTTACAGTGGCCTGAGTAGGCGGTCTAAAATAGACGTTAGGTGGCAGGAAGAGCTGGAAATACAAACTCCTTGCTCCAAGTGCTAATTAGGCTTTCCTAGTGGCATCTGGTGGCAGAACCCGAGTAGGCTGAGATCATGGTATCTCCAGATGCGTACTTAGCCATTATTTTAAGTGATTATGTTGCCATGGATGAGGCACATGCGAATGAGTCTAGAAGCCCTATAACCCGGTTCAGGTTCACTTGTGTCGTTATTTCGACAGGGATATCTTGCTCATTTGTAGTTCTCCCTTCAAGTCGCTTCGTGAAAGTGAGATTCAATAGGCTGTTGACTTCGGCCATGTTATGCCAATCTAATATGTGCATATCTTCGATCTGCGGCATGAGATTCCAAAGCATCTCGATCTAAGATCGGCTTGAATGACTCGTAGTGAGTCCAAGGTGGAAGCTTGGAGTCCGAAGATGTTCGTCCGAGCTTCTCCATTAAGAATCCAATCAAAGACTTAGAACGAAAGGTTCAAGGGCAATACCCATAAATGCTTCAACTTCTATTGGGAGCGTGGATTCTTTGTTCTCGAGTTCAGACGAAAAGCTTATCAGTGACCACCCCATTACATGTTCCAGACCGGTCAGTACCGTCTTTACCATCGTCCAGCTTCTTGGGCTAAGGAACTCTACTCATATCTTGCCAATTCAGGGAAGACAAATCTCACTACTATACGAAAGCCTAGGTAGTTCAATGGTTAAATAACATGGTGTGAATTATTTCAATTGGTGCCGCCTTGACATCACGAATCATGGAAATCTAGGCCCGAAAATAGACCCAAGACAGCGTCATACCTTGACCAGCACCATCACGAAGCTCGTAAAATTGTGACTTTTGTGAACATCAAGAGTGTCTCGGTAGCGATTTCCGAATCGAGCTGTTCTGAAAAGACGCCGAAGTGTAATCTCTAGCACGTGCACCGGTAGATTCCTGAGAACCACCTGGTATAGGAAGGATATGTTTGTCTATAAAAAGGTATGGTCATTCTACAAAGACGGACGGACCTTTTGCACCCCTCCTACACATCGAAAAAAGGTTTCATCCACAAAGTCATCATGATTTGCCTCACGACTCTGCTCATCACTGTCATGGCCATGGCGGTGATGGGGACTCCTCTAGTCGCCCTGCCCAATAAAGACGAAGTTCTCACCATGGACACGTCTTCATTTAATCAAGCGAGTGACGGCATGCCAACCAGCATCTCAGGAGTTCTAGCCATGATTAAAGCGCAAGACCCAGACCTTTTCCCCAACATCCTCCACGTCATCTCTCGTGACGTGGGCACAGCCAAAGAACACGCTCTCACGCCCCGTCACAATGATCAAGGAGGGGTCGGACCGCCACCGCCAAACAAGTGCTGCCCTAAAGGCTACCCATACAAAGGCACCAAGAAGCAGAAGAACAATTTTTGGAACATGCACCTGAGCGAAGTGCGCAGCAAGCAGAAAACATTGCATAAAGTCCAGAAGGCGGACCAGGCTGATCACCGTAACGAAATCCAAAAGTTGCGTCAAAAGCAGTTTGGTGCCTCGTCGAAGAACAAGGCAAAGTACCGCACCGCAAAGAACGGTGCTATCGCGAAGTACCACAAGGAGAAGATTGAAGATAAGAAGTTGAAGGACGGATGGCAAAAACATAAAGTTTTTGATAAGAAGTTACAGCAGCAGGATAAGGCGGGGGGGATTAAGTCGGGTGGCGGCAGCAAGGGAGGTGGCAGAAAGGGTGGGATTAAGTCGGTTGGCGGCAGCAAGGGAGGTGGCAGAAAGGGAGGGGGGAAGAAGGCAGGGGGAAAGAAACGTCACTAATCGTATTCTGTTTCAACTATCTTACCTCTACTAATTAAGGGTTCCAATCTCGACATCTTGTATCATATAGCCTAATCCAATGATTTTCTAAATAAATAGTTGAAGCAGATTCAGATCCCAATGCAACGATAAAGCTGCTACCTGTAACTTTCCAAAACCCAGCCATAATCTCAGCAGAAAACCTATCATCATTATGGTTACACCAGGCTATAGCTATGCTATATTATAAAGACTGGACTCAAATATAAATCGTACTCGTAGATGCATCATGAATTGCCTAAGTCAACTTACCAGTCTTAGTAGACTTATGGCATACGCACCCGTAGACTGCCCCGTCAATATTACGGCGTGCTTGGCTGCATTAGCCTAGCCGACCAGTACAACTCTACGTCGCCTCTTTATAATAAGTACATATTGGTTTCAGCCTTGTGTATCCTGGTCGATCTGACCTCACAGGACTCAAGTCACGAATATCAGGATTGATTTCGTGCCAAGTCAGTTGTGTGGTTCAGATCTCTTTTGATGGTGTTTTTTCTAGAAAGCTCAGCTATTTCCGAAGCTACGAAATGTTGCTTAAGAGCAACGATGTAGCCAATCAGATCCTCTGATTTGGATCCACAGCCTCGGTATTGTGTCTTTTAATGTCAGCATAACGTCACCCACAGGTCATTGCCCCACACGGGTCTTTGCCCAACTTTTCAAGAAATCTTGACTTTCCATCTTTACTTATACAATTCTTCCCTTCCACAACATGGCACGCAAATCTAGTGAAGCTAATCTTCAATTAGTCATCCAAACTAAACGACGCGATCCTCACCTAAGTTGGTACAAGCTTGGTAAAATCTTCAAAGTCGACCATAAGACATTGAAGCGCCGTTACGAAGGCGTACAACCATTACACATTACTAACATGCCCAAACGGAAAATGACCGAAACCGAAGAGAATACGATTACCCGACGCGTAATTGAGCTAGATTCGCGAACTTTTCCTCTCCGGCTTCGATACGTTGAAGAAATGGCGAATATCCTCCGACGCGACCGCGACGCGTCACCCGTCGGCAAGAACTGGGCCTCGAGCTTCATACGGCGACAACCAGACCTCCGGACGCGTTTAAATCGTCGAATTCATTACCAGCGGGCATTCTGCGAAGATCCTGTCGCGTATCGCGGTTATTTTAAGCGTGTTGCGGACACAATAGCGAAGCACGGCATTCAGCCGGAGGATATCTACAACTTTGACGAGACGGGCTTTTTAATGGGCATGATCTCAACCGGCATGGTTGTTACGAGTACCGAAAGACGTGGAAGGCCTAGGCAAGCCCAGCAAGGCAATAGGGAATGGGTTACTGTCATTCAGGCGGCCAATTCCTAAGGCTGGGCGGTGCCGCCGTACATCATCTTCGCGGCCAAAGTTCACCTCGCTTCGTGGTATCGCGACACCACATTACCGGGCAATTGGGTCGTTGATCTATCCCACAACGGATGGACAACGAATGATATTGGTCTCAGCTGGGCAGCTCACTTCGATCTGCACACACGCGATCGTACGAAGGGTGTCAAACGCCTCCTGATCCTTGACGGTCACGAAAGCCATCACTCGATGGATTTCAAACAATACTGCAAGGACCATGGCATCATTACCCTTCCTATGCCTCCCCATTCGTCCCATAAGCTCCAGCCTCTCGACTTGGTGCCTTTTAGTGTTTTGAAACGGGCGTACGGTGTGTTTGTTGAGGGTTTGATGCGACGGCATCATACCCACGTTGCGAAGGAGGATTTCCTTGCCGGTTTTTTTGAGGCGTTTGGCGCTGCTTTTACTGAACAAAACATCAGATCTGGTTTCGAAGCAGCTGGAATTGTCCCTTTTGATCCCGACAGGGTTATATCTGCCCTGGATGTCGCAGAAGTCGCGCGTACACCCTCTGCCGACCCAGAACTCCTACCCCCTATTTGGACTTCTAAGACACCTACTACCACCCTTGAAGCCGAATCGCAGTCAACATTGATTAAGAATAGCGTTCAGAGGCATCAAGACAGCTCTCCGACGCATATTCTTCATTCAATTGACTCGATTGCAAAGGCTACGCATGCAATGATGCAAGAGAATGTTATCTTGCGTCGCGAGAACGAAGAGCTTCGTGAGACTAACCATGTGCTAAGCAAACGTCGCAGAACCAAAAACAAGCAAATCCAGTATGGTGGGCCACTTAATATAGAAGATGCACAAGTTCTACGGGCTATTAGGGGTGATACGGGTTTGGGAAGTGAGGAAGAGGGTGAAAGTAGTCGTCCTACAAGGAGGGCAACGGGTGCTAGGCGCTGTGGCATTTGCGGAGGAATTGGACATAATGCGCGAACTTTTCAGGCAGATGTAGAAACAGATAATGAAAAGAATTCTGATTAATTTCTTGGATGAACACGGGTTGTTGTTGATCTATCTAAGATTAAAGGTTGGGAGGTCGTGAAAAGTTGGGCAAAGACCCGTGTGGGGCATTGACCTGTGGGTGACGTTATATCTTTTCCCCCCTAGGTTTGAAATCAGAGAAAATCCAGCCCATGTACGCGATTCATCCCTTATGTGTTTTCAATACTGTTCTCTGATACAACACTTTAGCAACTTGCCTTCCCTTGGGGCACATCAGTGTCTGCCGTTACCTTGAATCATTCTTCATTGCCCCAAACACCACTAGATCGGTACAAGCGGATGACGATATGGACCCAACCGTGCGTTTTTCTGTTTCCCTTGGGACTTGGATCAACTGTTCACACGGACCAATCATGGGGGCTACTCTAACGATAAAGCGAAGAGACGGCGATCTTTTCATAGCGTTCACCGCCTTCTCTATCGTCCGTAGCAACGCGATCCTGGAAAATACTTTGTTTCGCCCTCCACAGATACTACTCGACCTCTGATCGTCAAGATGCCATCTAACACCCACGCCAGGTGGTCCTCCGAAATTCACCCTCCGTGGAGTGAGATGCTCTTGCTTCTAAAAGTGTTATGGACCTGGTGTTACCTCACCAAGATCATTCCATGCTTCCTTCAATGATCGTTGCTATGCTGTATAAGTCTCCACTTTTTCGGGCGGCTCGATGGGGTAAATGACTTTGGCAATCTGAGATTCCACTAGGAATATTATGGCTTTCTGCTTAGCCGCTGACTACATTTATTCTCAGCAACGCCGTCGTTAATTACATCATGAATACCCACGGCGTGCTTCTCGTAACTCTTAGTTGGCTCTAGAAGTATGGGATGCCTCCACAGCTCAGGGTCGATGAAGCCGACTGTGAGATCTTTCCACTCCTGAACCAGGACAGTAGAGAAGTTAAGCTTTCGAGTGCGTTTCAAAGTGGACAAAAGGGGTTTCATCAATACGTCCAGGTCAGCTACCGACTTTTCCTCTTATCCAAACACTTAGTGAGCATAAAAACGCCTTTCTTAGAGGCATTAACAACCTTGGGCTTCAGTGCGAAGAGCGATGCTCTGCTGGCAGACGTCACGAGAACTGTCCATCTCCCCGCCCATAGACCATGGACCAAACCGAGGAGCTACGCCCACAGCCGACCCACTAGAGGAGCCGTCAGGATTTCTGATTATTTGTTAGCACGTGTTTTTTTTTGGAAGAAGGCGTTGATGCATATTCTACCGTGGAGGTCATAACACGGTCGTTAGGATCAAACCCTCCCTGAATATACGCTAATTATGTCTGACTATCAACGGGAGAGTAGTCGGCGCGAGTTTCAATAGTCATAAAACTCATCATCACAGTAAACGGTGTAAAGCAAAGAATACCCGCTGATTTTGTGGCTCTAAATTCCTAGGCTCGTTAGCTTTCTGCAATAATTGCTGGCTAAGGTGACGTACACACAGATTTGCTTTCCTAAGAACGATGACCCCTTGACATAAGAGCTGGGAAGTCAGGTTTTCATTTCAAAAGGCTTCCATCACCCGAACTTGGCATATTGAAGAGCTTCGCGTTACCCTTGGGCTTCGTATTCAGTGGAGCGGGAGTCTCGAGTGTGGTCGGCATTCCTACATCGGGCTGTGTTGATGTTATCCTGTTGAAACTGTCAGATAAATCACTGCTAAAATTTCTTCACCCAAAATTGATGATCATGACTATTCAGTGATACTTTACTTGAGGCCTGCATCTCTTCTTTACTGGTCTAATGCACTGGCCTGGGCAGAATGGAAATAATGGCATGGAGAGCCATTCCCGCCTGATTGTGACATTTGCATCTGGTATAAACATGCTTTAATCGATTTTCTTGGGGTTAATGCGTCATTTCTGAGTTGTCCTTGCAAATCTGAAGTTATCAGCGACGGCAGTCGCAAGGTGAGGGATTCAGGACTCGTTGATATGGTGAAAGTGGCTTCGGCCTCACCGAAGCCAACTGGGGCCAGATAAGTTTCACTGAAATCTGAAAGTTGGAAAAGAAAGTTCCAAATCCATGTGACACTTGGCAAGCTCTTGAGAAAATGCGACCGAGTTAGATCGCTCAGAGTAAATCAGAGTGACGTTTCTCTGCTGGAAACAACAATGACATAGGTAAAATGATCGTCGTGTTTTTCTAATTAGACATTATTCGAGAAAAGACAGCAATTTCAAGAAAACTTTTGAGCCTGTTGGCTGAAAGGAATGTGATCCTGCCCGTTAGTTGGCCTCCATGCTGGTAAGGAATGCACCAACATTTCCTCCATTCTGCCTCCACCCACCAACACTCCACCCTGCATCGCACCAGGTGCAGAACTTTCCGCCTCTTGCATCGCCGCAAACTCATTGAATAACGCAAGCCCGGTCAAAGAACAATACGTTACTGTACACCGAAGAATCCGCGACAACTTTGACGGGAGTACCGTACAAAACACACCGTTCGGGGACGATGCTCCAATACGAGTACGCCATGCAGGTTTTGGCAAAAGTTCCCTCGAGGCATAGATCTCTGCAGTCTTTCAGGCTGATATCACTTTCAGCATAGATTTCGTTTTCAGTGGCCACCCGATTTTCAAATGCCCTCAAGGCGCACCTCGCGACCGCAGTCTCCGTAGTCGTATCGATCGTGGTTGTCGTGGTAACCGTGGTCTTGGTCGTGGTGGGTGGTGCAGTAGTCTGGAGGTGGTTTAGATTCTAAACTTTAGAAAAAAGGGGTTGCTGGGGGAAAACATCAAGGGGTTGGCAAGTAGGTGGTTACGTACCGTAGTTAGCGCGGTTGTAGTTGTGGTATCCGACTCTACCGAGGTGATAGTTCTGGTGCTAGTAGGGTCGACAGTTTCCTATAACGAGCGTGGTAAGCAGGCTACATATGCACCTAAGCAGTTGCGAGTGGGACGACTTGCAGTGTCGGTGACGGTCGTCGATACCGTCGTGGTGAACCACCAAGTTTCTCGGAGATTACGCTTGCGGTTGCAGGATTCGTCCGGCTCGACGAGACACGAACAAACTGCTGTGATTTCCTCTGAGTCGTATTTACCAACGAGTTCGCTTCGCTTTCTGGCCACCTCCGCCGTAGTCGAGGCAGATCCGTATTCAGCTCTGATTGAACATGTCAGTTGTTGACACTCCGGTGCCTGAAAATTATATTCGCTTACGGTGCTTCTGGCGCGTATGTGGTTGTAGTGGTCGCGAGTACAGTGACACTCGTTGTTGTCGTCGTTGTGCTGCTGAACGTCGTTGTCGTTTTTGAGGTGGTTGAGGTCTTGGTGCTGGTGTACCACATGAACCTCGGCTATTATTGATATTAAAGCTTGATGGAGACTTACGTGGTGGTTAACTTCGTGGTGGTGGTAACAGGGAGAGTGGTTGTTTCAAAGTCGGTGATTGTATCGGTGATCGTAGTCGTGACCTTTTTGGGACATCTGTCTACAAACTGATAGCAGATATCTGCCATATCGGCCTTGCCCATGCCCTGGAGTTCTCGAGTCAACTCGGGGTGGTTGTTCATGACATTTTCACACAAGGCAGGCTTGCCCGGCGCTGCTCTGGCAACATGATTGGCAGTTGAGATAAAGCCGAGGACGAAGACCAATGATTGCAACATCTTCAAGTAGGGGATGCGATTCGGGAAGAAGTGAAAAGAACCGTGTATTCGGTGACTGAGTCGTAGTGGCCCTGACTTTGAAGGTGCGATGAATGGTGTGTTCAAATCGATATCATCATGGTGCTGGTGCTCATGTATATAGTGCAAGTGACTTAAGTGGCATTGCGAAAAGACATTTCTGATTCGTCCAACCCCCCTGATTATGGACGTTTGCTAGTGAGGAACTCGTTCTGGGTCTATTATTCTAGAACAGTGACAGCGGAAGTTTAATTTCCTGACTTGGCATAGCATGAGCAAGTATTACCAGCGAGAATAAGCAATTCGCTCGAATGCGCGTTCAAGGTTCAAGTGTTCCGTAGGCTTTCCAAACTTTACGTAGAGTTGTAAAATCCATCAATTAGCTGGTCTTGGAATCGAGCATCGTCTGCAATAAATTGGGAAGCTTGAAGATAATACGCTTGCCACTAGTATAACCAAGGCAAGACTTCACGTTGACTATAGCATATTAAGCTTGTTCCAATCATGTTCAACAAGGTCGTCGTGCGACCATCTTGGCATCGTCATTGTGTATTACCAAGGTAGCTCTCGGGTGCAGACTGGTAATTGTTCACTTCAAGAAGCAAACGACTTGCTTCCAAAAACACGCAATTGACTGGTAACACATTAAACGCCGTACTGAGAAGAATAACCTGGATGACAGAATATGACGATTTAATACGTAGGTATCAACACAGTATAATCTGGCTACCGACAGTCGTGTTCAATACTTCATACTTGCTCTGACGATATTTGCCTTGGCCTCTGTACTTATTTACTGCTTAAGTAGTTTCCAGGCCTGCCCCTTCAGGAGCACCCTATTTAAATTTACTTCAACAACATGTCTAACTAATTCCAAAATGCTGCCAACGCTACGCCGCCTAACGTGCGGCACGGGCATGAAAGATCGTTTCAAGCGAACATCAAATAGGGTTTGCCGATTTGCAGCTTTCAACAGGCTCGCATGTGCAGCACAGTTGACAATAGCATGGAAAATCATCAAATGTGACATGTATCATTGCAATAACACCTGTGATGGATCTGGAACCCAGCCCCACACAGCTACTGCGCCTGAAATGATGCATATTGAAATAAGCCTATTGTATCCTAGCTCGACGAGGAGGTCCCCAGCCCCCCAAACGCAAATCTCGCAGTTTGTCCACCCTAGAAATACAGAAAAGATGCAGCTAATCTGGTAGATCAAGCCAGAAAGAAAGCCATGAATCTCCAGCAAATACTCTTGGTAGTCACCACCTGCCGCTCCAGTCAAACACCGACAAAACAATCAGCTCAGACTAACTTAGATCGCTGACAGACACCAGATAAGCAGCTATTGTGCCAGATAAAACATTTTATGGTCGTGTGGTTTGTACGTACTCTATTGGTAATGATATCGATGGCAACTTCTCCCCAATTCTTCTCGGTTACTTTATGTGTCTCCATATCTCTGTGACGACTCAGATCAGTGGCAGGTAGCAGATTCTGCATCGATGCCGCCAGACCGTTAGGAGTAAAACACTGGTGCTCGCGGGAAAATGTCCCAAGTTCGAGTCGATAGATTTGGGCAAACCAGAAATTCTAACAGGAAGAAGGGAATGGTGAGCATGGGGGCATCCCTTCGCAAGTCAGCATCTGCACGACCTGCCCCGCCGTGTTGGATGAATCCCTGGACTCGAGGTAGGAGAAAATCATGAGGCACGTTTTCAGTGAACAATATGTGGTCGGATATATTTGGTTCATGCGTTTCGTTTAGTCCATTTACCGCATACGGTGAGCTGTCGAAACCCCATGGAGTCCATCATTCGGCCCAAGACATGCTGGACGGCTTCAGCAATCTGACCCAGGAATGGAAACCGGAGTGCTAACCGAAGAGCAATTAAAAGGATACCGGGAAATGCTAGAGATTGCCTTTAGTTATACGTAAGACATGGAAATGTCGGGCAGAAACAACTACTCCTGCGAGGATTCGTCCGTTCATGACCAATTCAAGACCGCTAGGGGGATGTATTGTGCAAAAGATGTAAGAACAGTCAGACTGATGGGGATTTAGGGTGCAGAGCAGGTCCGGCTCGAAAGTGGGCAGTGCCTTGATAACCTGAGGGCAGCCCAAAAGTTCAAGTAGCAGAATAGTTTGCAGGATATAAAGAAGGGCAAGTTTCGTTATAGAAGACTTTGTCAGGATTTTAGAATGCTTTTGGGATAAGTCTTTCTAACGTAACCTTTCGCTTGTGGTGAGGTGGTCTTCATTCTTCAACGTGGGTAGGTTGTTACTCATTAAGAATGCGCTGGAACGACCGTTCATTTAGTACCAAGACATTAATCATACCCTCATTAATTTTCTACAAGAAGGATATCCAACCTCAGATATTGAAAGCTGCGTCGCTAACACGGCTCGGTGGACATGTATTGCGGCCTATAGAGCTAATCAGCCACGGATAACGTTAAGGTAAAAAAGAGACCTTCGCTTCGGCTTAGTCCTAGGCGATCCTACATCCAGATACGCTATACCGCTTATAAAAGATTATTTCATCCGAAGTAATAATTACATGAAAGTGCTCTAAACGAAACCTTTCCATATTCAGTCGTCAAGGGCCCAGCCAGGCTGTCACAGACGGCTAAAAGTCTTCCATTGCAATTCATCATTGATAACCCCACCGGGTGCTCCAACAGGTTACTGCTTCCCCAGCCTGAGGTCTTCCCGAAACTATTTCAATTGAATTTCTATTGATCGTGCCTTCCTCACATAACGAAGAAATCGCCTATCCTGCAGTATGCAAGCCGATTCGCAAATGACCTCATGTACATCGCCGCTTTATGCTAGAAGTCGCCTTGACATTCATCAACGGTTCGGCAGAGTGAAACCGACGCACAGATGAGCACAGATGCACATCACCTGCGCGATACTTCCGAATACCAGACATACTGTGGATAAGTCTCCAGAGTCGACAAGGTCGTCTGCTTTGGTCTCGGCGACCTCATGTGCGATTATCCAGATGAAATACTCGGCGAGGATAACGGGGCACTGAGATGATACGCACGACGGCTAATATAGCATGCAGAACCAATTCAACTAGCTGGCATACTTGCCAGATAGTCGGGCGACAAGGAAGTCAAGATATACGCATGCGACTCAAATATATCATATATCGCGGGGACAATAAAATTACATCATGGCGAAGATGTAGGCCACAGCCGAAGGCCGGATGACCCATTGATCTGGTGAGAGGGCTGGGTCATATAGAGGCACATCGAAAAATGGTGCCGGGACGAGTAGAGTATAGACTCATCTTTGTGCCAAACCAAACAAACAATGGCTCTCCCGATATGCCCGAGAAGAAATGTGAGAAGGCCGATAGCGATGAAATCCAGGCAATCTTCTGGGGCTACTTACCCCTTAACCTGCCGACGAAGGTCGGCGTATGATGCCTTCTCGACGTCGCCCCATTTTTCCTCCATATAATTCTTCATCAAATTCCAACAGGCCTCAATAAGGTTCATATCTGGGGAATATGGAGGCCACTCAACAATCGAAACCTAGTTGAAAAGGATAAGAACCAAGGCCAAGAAGGTCATTCGCCGGGTTTTCCTTTTTTTGAAAGATTAACGAATTCGACAAGTTCTAGTTGTTTTAATTCGATAATATGGGAGGACGACCAGTTCGAAAGCCTCTATCAGTCCCGCCGGCTTTGGCTGCAATACGAATTTGGTCTTTCGTAAAGCCAGTAGCCTTCTGGATTTGCCCATAGCTCATTGAGCCATCAGAGCGGAGGATTCGGACTCGTTCACATTCTTCAGCAGTTAATTACTTAGTATGGCAGTCTTTTGATCGGGCCATTGCAAAGAATGCAAAGAGGAGTGTAACGCGGAGCTAAGGACGCTGTACTAAACCCTGTGTTTCGAGTTGCAGGCTATAGATTTTGTCATGCATCGTTATATGTCCGCGCTGCATATCACATTCTTTGATGCGGCATTGAAGGAGACGGCGTATGCGTTTTCGCGCAAGATTCTTGTGGATACTTCGCTTAAGATTTGGGCTGCGGCGTCGTCGGCTTCGCCTATGATGGGGGCCACGGTGCACGGGGACAATGCATGATGTACAGATCAGTATGATTTGTCCCGGCTTGTGGCGTGTGGCTCGGGGTTTTATCGTACTGTTGATATGCAGGCTGCTTTGTTTGTGGCGGTGGAATACCTGACGCAGCTGCAAGAGGAACAAGGGCTGGGGCCTTTATCAGTCAGAGCAGACTTAGTTTGTGTCGTGGAAGATGCGAAGACTTGGTGTCTGAGGTGCATCGAGTCGGGAGAGACTAATATTAAGGGGTACCTACACATGTGTATCATTGGCGGACAGATCGACGGGCTCAGGAGAGGCCGAGGAGAGGCCTAGGTGTGGAAGGGATCCGGAAAGTTGTGTTCAAGGCTGCGGAAGACCCTTTGGGGACGTGCTTACCCATATTGGAGACTATAGTGGCTCAGGGGCAGGAGGCAGCTGACAGGAATACAGATGGGATTTTGAAGATGTTGTTTGGTTTGACGCCTGAGGCGATGGAGGATTGGGACTTTTTGGTAAGCGAAGAACCTATTTTATGCGTGTATTGAAGATATTGATGATATAGCAGATGTCGGTTGCTTTGTTGAATCCTGCCAATGTAGGTACCATGGATTGGGTGTTTCATGATGGTATAAATCAAGGGACGGCATTTACTAAAAGGCAGCTTGGTCATTCCGTCCGAACAATATATAGTACAAGGAGTGAAAAGCTTTGATATCGAACTCCCATATCGTCTTAATACTCGCTGGATAATGGATCTCTGTCTCCAATTGGCATGGAGATAGTGGTCGATATCCTTTTCTTTTATATGTTCTCGCCTGGTAGCCCCAAACTATTCTCAGTCGCCTCTGTGAATAGTCAACCTTGTTGGACCTAAGGCTATTACACACATGGCCACCTACCGTACGTTATGGGCCAATGTGACCACCACCCATCGTACCACACAATTTCTGCCTGTGGTACAGGAATCGTTCATTTTTATCTATATAACGCTCTTCATAGATTATCATATATTCAATGCAACAACATTTGCCCTCCAGTCCAATAAACCTTCCAATTAATTACATCTATATCGCCGTAACTCCCTGTGAACAATGGTTTACAAGTTCAATGATAATATCATAGAAAGCGTTTACTTAGGTGCCAAGTAAAGCGGCATGAAGCGCCTTAGTCGTAGCATAAGATGTAGCACCGTTTGCTGCGTGAGGTCGTTTCCCACCTTTGTATAACGTCTACAGCCAACAGTAAGTTAGAAGCTATTTATCTATTGACAATGCTGTGAAACTAAATTTCATGAGATCTATATTAATTGGTGAATCAAGTAGCTGCGCAGGGATAATGAGAATCGGAAGGTGTGATCTAGTCCGTATATGCCAAGGCACAAGCGACGAAGATTGGTCCTTGTGCATATTGTAGAATTCACTTTGGGGATAGTCACTCTGTAATATTGAACTCTGCTAGATTGAGGGAATTTGTGCATCTACCTATTGGTGCAAAAAATGACTTCGGCCGACTGCAGGTCATATATTTCACCAGGGATTCAATGTTAAATTTCTCCATATTAAGTCCAGAAACCCTATGAAGCTTTTTATATTTCCCACCGTGTCCTGTGTCAACTTGATTCGACTTTCTGCTTCGCCAACCAACTTTACACCACATCTTCGTGCCTCTACCCACAGTAGTCAAACAAAATGCAGCTCAAGAACACCGCCCTCCTCATCCTCGCAAGCGCCTTCGTCGTCTTGGCCAGTCTTCCTCGCACCTTTGAGCTCCTCGCCTTTAAAGATGAAGTTCAAGTCGGATGTGTCAACAACCGTGGAAATTTCATAACCAACCACTTGTACTGCATCCCCTTCAACTCCAACGTGACCGTTGATCCCACCACAATCACGGCCTACAATAAGTGTAGCTGTGCTGATGGCATGCTCAACTGCTACAACCCTCAGGGTGCTCCTTCTCTGTTCACGGTAGGTGTAGAGTTGTTAATGACACCTGAATCACTTGTTCCAGCATGGAAAGGCTAAATTCAGATGTTCCAGAAATCTGGTGCTGATATGTCGCTCGATGGCTTTGGTACTGCGTTCTCGGTGGACTCTTGGCCTGTTTCCACAGATGAAATCATTGGAGTTCCATTGAAGGTTGGCATTGGTATGAATGGCACAATTATACTCCAGGTCAAGGCAGTCTCGGGGTAAGCAAAGATACCGAGAATAAAAAAGGATGAAAACAAAACAATTCTCAAGCAAGGGATGCCGCAACTCAATGACTTTACATTCCCCGTCATCCAAATAAATCAATGTGATCTCAAATGTATGAACTTGTTCACCCAGTCACCAAAACTGGTTAATAACTTCAACTATACCCAACACCCAATTATCAACCCAGTTTACCAGTCAGCTAAACAGCTTACCCTCTCACACACTTTTCACATGGCACAACCATGATTAACAAACAACATCTGTTCTAGGTTGCTGATCAAGAAGGCTCTGCTGGTGGAAAGCCGACTTTAATGTATATCATTGATTGAGACCGGCGATATTCGTTCACAGTGGGCTGGTTTCAGCTATTCATTCCTCTGAGCAAAGAAACTGCCTCTAACGCTGTCAAGTCGTTGAAGCACTACCATGGCTCTTTTTCGTCTCTTCTTAACCGTCTTTTTTTCACCATAACCGACTCCACCAGCCACTTTCGACAGGAATGCATAGACTCAACCTCCTATCCATTCCAGATGCAAATTGGACCATTCCTCGAAAATTCCTCGACCCTTGCCATGCGAAAGCTTACACAAAGTGATTGTCTCAGACCATCAATGGGTATTGTAAGGTACAATGACGATGGTAGTAACTACCACGACGTGGTGTGTAAATACGCCGTTACCCCTCACCACATATCTGCCTTCTGTATAGGGGGCCTGGCCAAGTCACCGCCCCAACCTTCTACACCTCTACCATGTTTTCATATATGATGCTAGATCAAATGTTAGTTTAATGATCAGTTTCATCACATCAGAGGTGGAACTCTCTTCGACCACCGTCGACCGTTCAAGCCGATATGGCTAAAGCAACTCATGTACATTATGAACGTTGTGGGCCTTATTCATATGGAGATCGACAGTTTGCATCGAGATGTAGAGGACAGAAACCTACTGGAAATTCCAGATACGGATGGCATTGTATTGTTTGACTTCGGTATCGCGGTGACAAGCTTTATGACACCTATGTCAAGGGCGTCGTCGTCCGGCTCAGACACTATGATGAGCATGGACACGTAGCTTGTCAAGGAAGCTCAGGAGAAGATGATTTACAAATGACAGGATTGAGCCATACCTGTAGTAGTTTCGTTGCCTGTTGCGGTTTCACAACTTCAGTTTTGTGAAGGCCTTCTTTTCTACAGCACTTACCGTGTTATTTGGTCTCTCACATGGAATGGAACCTTGTCAGAATGACTGCTTTTGTGACTAGGCAAGGCGAATTACGGAAATGTCAACAGAAAGAAACCAGGAAGACGAGTACATCTGAAGTAGCCAGACCACCTTACGTAAGAGCAGAGAAAATAGCAGCGAGTTACTCGTATCAATACCAACAGGCTAAAGTCAGCTTGTTTGGCTCATGATGTACGTGCCCATCTAAGTGGAGTTCCTTTTCCCGTTTACCATTACAAACTTGCTAATACACGGAGATTCCCCCTTCCCCCCTTCCTCCCCCTTTTTAGATGATATACCCAGTATTTTACAAGCCTCGAAAATTCGTGTAACGCAGCCCAATCATTCTATGATGGTCTTTACATCTCCTCATCCAACAAATTACTAACCTTCCTCTGCCTCAACTTCTTACCGCCCTTTGTCCGGCGTTCCGCCGGTGCCGGGCCCCGACCTCCTAGACGACCCGTCTCGCCCACAACACCCTTCTTCTCGCTCGCCTGGAACAGACCCCCAGAATCAGAGTCCAGGTTGATGACTCGGACTTTGCCCTTGCCCTTAGCCGCCTCTTCAGCCCTGCGAGCTCGAATACCGTCGTCAGCAGGCCCGACGCCGCCTTTGCCGAGCCGGATCGCTCGAACGACGCGAGTTTTTGCGCCCAGAGCCCAGAGGTCGCCCCACTTCGTCTTCCGCGCGTCGTGGTAGGCTTGCCTCGAAAATGACTTGGGCACGGTCCACCGCTCGATCATGCCGGCCGGCGTGCAGAGATCAAGCGTGACGTGGCCGCGACGTTTGAGTGGTGGCTGGACGTTTCGTGGTAGAGATAGCGGGTTGGGTGGTTCGGCTGCATGTTCAAATCCGGCGAAGGCGGCTTCATTGACGTCAAGGCTGTCCTCGACTGATGCTGGACTTGGCGAAGAGGATGTGACTCCCCGCTGTACAGCGACGAAGGAGAAGTCTACGTCCTCGTGGTTGTGGTGGGTAGCGCCAAGAATCCTCTGAAGGAATGGTGGGCGGATGAACCGCTGACTGAAACGGCAGAAATCCTTGCGCCCATGGGCGAGACCAGGCGTTGAGTACATGGGACATTTCTTGTGGGTTGTGCACGGGGCAATGATCATGCCGGGTTCGCGGACGCGTTGACGCTCGAGCGGCAGATCGTCGGGTTGCGGGTCAGATGTTGGTGACTCGATAAACTCGTTAATGAGGCGATGGCGAAAGTCAGCTACTGCTTCGAAGCCGCGCGGGTGACCCTTCTCGAGGACGATAAGGATTCCTCCGTCGGGTGAAAGCATCTCCCAGATGTTGTCAAGTAAAGCTCTGCGTTTAAAATCTGTTTTCGTGGGCATTATGAGGTGGGATGCGATGATTATGTCGTACGATTTCCGTAGCGGCGACACTTCGCTATCGTCCATCTTCTCGGCCAGTACGCCGGAGTGGAGGTAGTCTGGCAGACGCGGGAGAAAAGTTGTGTTGTTTAAGAAACGTGATACTCGGTGGCGGAGGTGATCGGATCCAACCACGACCGTCTTCTTCCCAGGAGGGCCCATGGCCGCCTTGCCCTCTACACCATGAAGCAGCTCCCACTCGGTCTGCAATACTTGCTCCCAAGCAGCCAATCCAGCTCCACCTGCACCCGCATCGAGGACACGGGGGCCTTCGCCATTGCTTCTGCTTAGTAGCCCCTGTATCCATTCTGGCCCCATTCGTTTCCGAATTTCCACTAGAATGCTCATAACCGAGGCATACATTCCTGGGAGATTCGTGGCGATGAACGCGTCTGCCTCGATCTCGCTCATCTTATGGTGCCCTGCCTCCATTGGTATCGGTTTCTGTCCTTGACTCTTGCCATTTTGAGGGGTGGCAACCGAGTGAGGAAGGCCAAGGCCTCCAAATGCCTTCTCAGCTGCCTCCTTGACGTGTTTGATATCAGTGCGACCCAGAATCGTTTGGATTGGGTTGATAAACTGGGCTTTTGGAAAGTGCATTGTACTTGGATTCGTCCTCCATTGGCCAACCTCCGTAAGGGCGTGGACGCGGTGGTGTGGGTCAAACTCGGGATCTGTCTCGCCCTCGTCTTCCTCTTCATTTTCCTCCTCTTGTTCCGCAACCTCATCCACGACCAATTCGTCTTCGGGTTGCGCTTCGATTTCTTCGGTTTCGGGACGGAGCAAACTTGCGGTTTCAAAGTCCTTCTGCAGCTTCATGAGAGCATAGAACTCTCGCTTATTCTTTGCTACTGCTTTGATGTAGTCGATACCGGCATCTGAAGGCAGTTCGAACTCCTCTGCCTGCGCTTCTGCATCTACAACATCCTCCGCCTCCAGCGTCGCATTCTCCGGGTGGTACGGAATTTCCTCGAGCTCGCCCTCCTCGTTCTCCCTGAACAAGGCATTCTTATTGTTCACGAGGATGTACTTATGCGTTTCATTGAGAAGAGCCTTTGTGATGGGCATTCCCACGTCTTCTGGCCTCGTTTCTCGCAATGGCGGGCCATAGAGCCGGGTGTATAGCTTCAATTCCTCCTCGTTCAAGTAGCCCTTTGGTAGCGTATTGCCGAATTGATGTTTCGCTTGTCGCACAACCAACTCGATATCCTCTGTATTTTCTGGACTTGCGAGACGTTTTTCGGGTTTCGCATCTTGACGCTTGCGTTTGGTTGTCGAAAACGACCGGTTCGTGGGATTCCTGGCTGTTCTCGACTTTAGGTTGGGGAACGACGCCGAACGTTGCGATTGCACAGGAGTATTGACGAATCCGTTCTCAAACAAGGTTAAAAGCTGCGCTCTACAATTCGGGCACGCCTTTTGCGCCTTTCTAGCCAACAGCATCTTTTTCACATGTAGAGAATGTGACTATCCAGACAAAATCAAACTTGAAGTTCATGAAGCAGTCTTGAGCTTGCCTCTGAGCTTTGCGCCAAAGATGGGAAATTTTGTTGGAGACAGGCCCGTGCTGGATTAGTGTAAGATCATTAGTCTAGCCAATCAAACCCACCACATTCATCATCACCAATGCAATCCCTGCTAGCTAGAGCTCATCAGAGACCATTCAACCATTCATCGACTTTCAAACCACTTCAGGTCTTCCAGTTCTATGTAGTATGGGACATCGTCATACTCCTCGAACGACTGGTTCCAGCAGGTCAGTGAGATCTTTACAGCAATGCCACGGTGTAGTTTGTACCTGTTCAATTCATGTGTGGCAATGATTATGTTGGTAACTAACACACCGAAGTCGCAACTTCTATAACCACGAACTTTAGATGTTCTTTCATCTGTAATTGAAACGCCTTAATACACAAGCACCCCAAACGTCAAAACTAGTGATCGCTGTCTAGCTGCCTCCAAGGTCTGCCAACGTCTTGACACCATTAGTGGGACGCTGGCCCGGCGAGCCTCCAGCCTTCTGTCCACCTGCGGGCCCTCTCGCGGGTGCAGTTGGTTGTCGAGGCTTGTGAACGTTGAAATCTGATTTTTCCGCTGCCTTGTATGGGTCAAACTGCTGGATATTAGCCATCACTGTACAGAGTAGGGATGTCAAGCCAGCACTCACAGAGAACAGAGAAACCAAGTAAAGCCCAAAGAAGGTCAAGATCGCGTTAAAGATCTTGAAAGAATCCAATCTCCATGGCCGGCCCCCTAGACTTCGACCACCGCCCGGAGATCTCCCGAGCGCTGGTCCACTTCCACCCAGTGTCCGCCCTGGTGTCTTGAATACAGCGCCGGGTATTGTGGTACCCGCGAGCTTGACTGCCTTCTCGACGGCACTCGACAGGGCGGGTGGGCTTCCACCTTCGATCGTCTCGATGACGGAGCCGTTCTTGAAGATGAGGAAGGTGGGCATAGCCTTGACGCCGTGGGCGGAAGCGACGGATTGTTGATTGTCCACATTGACCTTGCAGAAGGTGATCTTGCCTGGCTTAGAAAATTTGGTCGATAGAGATTCGAACGTCGGTGCCATCATTTTGCAGGGGCCGCACCAGTCGGCGTAGACTATAGAGTCGGTGTGTTAGTTGCCAGATGGCTGGGGTGGACTGGAGGGGTATTCAAGGGACGTACAGTCGGCGACAACGATGGTCGACGATCCCAGGATGCGCTGCCAGTCATCTTGTGAGCTGATGTTGACTGTTGCCGTCATTTTGGCGGTTACGACTAGATTTGGCTGAAGAAGGTGACGGTTAGGTGCAGGTAGGTCGATGAATGCAACCGCTCGGATTTATCAGAGAGTTTGAGTGCCTAGGATCAATGCGATACTCGGTACAGCTGTCCACTTGTGACCCACAATGGAAGGTGACGGCGAACCGGAGGCTGACGCTACGGCTTTAAACAGCAGGCGGTGAATATAGCTCTCATGGTGTAACCCGGCAGAATCAGCTCTTAACCAAAATTTGTTCAATTGAGCGGAGCAATTGGAGTCGGATTTTCAAGTGCCGGTGAATGTCTGAAGTCACCATTCAAGATGGCATATTACGAGCAAGACAGGTCAAAGGTCAGTAAAAGTGTATAGCTCTATGGATCATGCCTAATCGAAAACAGAAGCGCAAGGTTTCGAGGGATGGCGAATACGTCGATACCTCCAAACCCAGCGCATTCTTCCAGCCCAGCAGCGGTCGTGAATGGTCGATATCGATAGCGATTCCCGGGAGCGTAATTCTTAAGTAAGACATTAGCGCCTCCCCTCTTTACCGCATCAGCTTACCTGTGCAGTTGTCGTCGAGATGATCAACGATACCCTGTCATTGGACACTTAGCCCGAGCGCTCGCCGTCTTCGGCATAGACGAAATCGTAATATTCGACGACTCGCCCATGGACAAACGCCCGCGCAATGTCGACTCGTTGAACTACACCGGCGACACAGACCCATGCGGCTACATCGAACACCTTCTCAACTACCTCGAGATACCCCCGTTCATGCGCAAGACGCTCATGCCACTACACCCAAATTTGCGGGGTGCTGGTCTATTGCCTAGTCTAGATATCCCATCGCATCCTCATCCTTCTGAATGGCTCCCATACCGTGAAGGAGTGACCGCAGGGGAAGATGGAGGGGGAACGCTTGTTGATGTCGGCGGAAAAGAGCAGGTGTATATTGCCGAGAAGATCTCGCCTAATACGCGCATCACGCTGCAAATAGACGAGAATGACCCCTCACAGGCAAAACCAGTGCATCCCGATGCACCGCGGACGGAAGGGGGATACTATTGGGGCTACTCCGTCCGACGGGCAAATTCGCTCTCTGCCGTTTTTGAGGAATGCAAGTACGACGGTGGCTACGATATGAGCATCGGGACATCAGAACGCGGTACACTGATACCGGATTCATTTCCGGAGAAGAAGCAGAAGGATGCTGCTAAGTTCAAGCACCTTATCATCATCTTTGGAGGACCTAGGGGAATCGAATACGCTGCCGAGAACGACCCAGCGCTGCAAGAGATGGGCATCATTCGAGGCAAGACCAAGGACTTGTTTGATCACTGGATCAACGTTTTGCCTGGCCAGAGTAGCAGGACGATCCGGACGGACGAGGCAGTGTACATTGGTCTTACTAGCCTGCGAAGGATTTGGGACGGACGGTGATGACCAAGGAATTATTATATCTGGTCTCACAAACTGAGAGCAACATTCTAGCCTCTAAATGGTCAGCAACTGACGCAGATAGTATTGCAGTATTTTGAAAACGACTAAGTCGTCTCACCGGTGCTCAAAACAACTGGCCCAGGTGCAAGCGGCATCAAACTAGGACGAAGTCCGATGTCATTCAAGTTGCTGGATGATACGATTTCCAAGCATGAAGTTTCGATCGACAAACTAAATGTTTGCAGTAGAAGCCGGTGCCAGTGTCTTGCCAAATCATAGACTTCTATCAGTCCAACACAACTCGTTTTACCCTGCTTAAATAATTAATGCTTCTAAAATGTTGCGGCTCATTCACGTCCAGCATGTGAATATACTGATTGGTGTGGGCCGATGACTGAATGTGGCTGAACCAAGGCCCACCTTGACCTTCAAATTAAATAGCATGCAAGTTTACGTCACTCTTGTTCCCAAGTGCTATTGGCTATCCACACCCGCCTTTCAAGTGGTCATCCTGTTACCTTTTATGAGTTTATGCAATTGCATTTCCTCCCAACCAATCATTCAATAAAATGGTCTATGGAGCGGTAGCTAAGTGGTATAGCGTGGGATTGCAGTACTGGTTGACAGTCAGCAATTATCCTAAGGTCATGAGTTCGATCCTCATTCGCTCCTGTTTTTGATTTTCTGGAAGAGGAATATTTTTGCCAAGTCTTACTTACTTACTTACTTAACTGAAATTCATGAACCGTTACATTACACTTCTGGTTGCACAACATCAACCAAGTACAGTCAATAACCATCTACACATGCGAAGTTACCGATCAGTCCCAAACGCCATTTCGGGCTTGCGCCTAGGGACAGTGATAATCGAATGCACAATGTCACATGTCAGCTCAGAGAAAGTACAATCTGTCCAAACTCGATACAGCAAGGTCTTCATGCCCCGGACCCGTCCTGGATCCTACCCTCAAATTGCAACCATGCCTAGGGGAATAATAAGGCGAAGTTGGTTCCGGCAAGCACACACCACCCGTACCAGTCTTGCAACAAACTTTCCGAAGAGCTGCAGGCGATATTCTGTATTCATGTCAGTTCATGGCCGCGGCACGTTTCTGGCCTCATCTCATTCCTACATCTGATGATCTCGCGAGGATCGCAGCCAAGCAGGCGGAGAATCATGATAGTTATAACAACGAGGACGGTCAAGGCGAAGGAGAAAAGGAGAAGGAGAAGAATAAAGAGTAGCAGATCGTGAATCATGATGAGCAACGGGACCTAGAAGCAGGGATAGAGTAATCCTTGGCGTGATGATGTACTGGACTTTGATATGAGAACGGAAACCTTTCTTCGATGAGCTGAAGTGGTGTGGATCGTTACCCGACTGTAACTAAACCTCTAATAGTCTAGCTGCGTAAACCACTAAAGAGTCTGTAAGGGTTTGTGCTAATAAGTAAGTCCTGCTGCGGAGTCCTTTAGCAATAATATCGGGGTCTGACGTATGGAGTATAGTGCTTTGGGGTAACTGAAGTATTCAAGTAGGGTAACTGGGAATAGAGTCGTCAAGGCAGTTTGCCTCACCAATGGGTTAGTTAGATTGATGCTTAGATTGATCACTGAAGTAGAGACTGTCTATCTATGAAATGCCTGGGAGTCCTGTCCCTTTTATATCCATTCCCTCCTTCACTGATAACTGGGGCCATTAGATCCTTCATGGATACTATTGGTCCTAACTGGATATGTTGGATCATTTCATATCCAAATGATCCACCCTTATAAGTCACGTGACTTGTGATCCTTGCACTAGCTGGCTCCTCCTGCAGCTAGCCACTCCTGTGTGACTTTCTTTGTCCTGTATCCACTGGGGCCTGCCATCGGGCCTGTTGCATTGGTTAGAATCGTAGATTCGTAACAGCCTGGTTGGTTTAGTGGGTTAGGAACCAACGGTTCGTAACAGTTCTGTATCTTTGAAGCTATCGCGATCGAAAAAATACCTTGATTTGGTAGAGATACGGTGGTTTCAAGATAAGCTCGTCGAGAAATTGGTCAAATCGGTGTCCCGGCTAAATCGGTGTCCAGCACTAACTTATTTTGGTGAGCTTACACGAATCCAAAATAAGTAAGGTGTGGCACGGGTAATACAAATAGGGGCTAATGCGGTCAGGTTAGTGCATGGAGTTCTGTTACCTCACTTCGGGGCTGTGTAGTGAGAAGGACCGCAATTTGAACTTCGCCAAGCTCCATCGGCTAATCAAATCACAGGTACTAGTGACTGATAGCACGAGGCATCAGCTCCTTTTACTTTGTACAAATGTTGAAATGGCAGTCGCCATGCAAATCACTGGGCAATGCAGCACGTCAGCTATTATGGGACATGCGCGACCTGCCGTGCCACATGGCACTGCGCCCTGCTAGGCTGCAATTGTAGCACATGGTCTTCGCAATATCTTGAAGCCATAAAAACACTGCATGGAACCTATTGTCGTATGTCGGATAATCACGCTTTCGAACCCCAATAACGATATACCACCAAACATCCTCTATCATTCAACCACAACACCACCGCTATGAATACAGATGTGCTCCTCCGTCGTATCAGCATCATATCGTTGCCACCGGCCTTCATCCTACTTCTCGCACATGGAATAGTATCAAGTTACGCGTTTCCAGCCCTTGGCATACTCCCACTGGCATGCTCTGCCTTCCTCAATGGGGTCCTCCTATACCGCGACAAACTAGCCAGCACCGGGTCTCCTATTCAAGCCCTATCACCATCAAACGTCCTATGGGGTGATACCGCGCTTGCCATCTTCCATATTTCATTCCTGATTCCGAGCTGGATCTTTTTGGAGGTTGCCAACGCAAGGGGTTTGATTCCGTTGGGGACGTATGGGACAGTATTCATGATGATTGACTTGTAGGTTCTGCCATTTCTCTTGAAGCGTGTGGCCTGTGTAGCTGACAGTTTATGACTAGTGGTATTCACACGTACTTTGTCGTGACGGGGGTTTGGCACATTTTAACATCTTCTAGCTGCGACTGCCAGCATTGTCGCAGTGTCATGGCCAGGGGCAGTATCCTGCCTAGATATGTATCCGAGTACACGCCGCTTAGCGAGGCCGATGACGAGCAGGACATTAGTCCTGATGTTGAGGCGGGTACTTGACCACATATAGATTAGAGATTTGGAAATATCAAGGCATAATCTCTAGTATACTTGCGACTTGCCGGCGTTCTGATAAAGAGCGAGATGCAGTATAGACGGTATGCGATGGATTACATATTCAAAGCATAGGTACTTGGCTCCATAATCACCCATACATAATAACAACGCATTGGATTGAACAGAAGCCGCAATCTATTAATTTGCTGCGTGACTACTATACGTGGTGCCATGGTTTACCAATAGGTTCCTAGTCTACAATACTGAAGATTCACTTGGTACAGTCATCACCATTCCATCCTAGAAACTTCAAAAACTTCGACTGGCCCTCGGCCACAGGAAATAGAGCAATCCATCAATGGCTGTCATGAAGTTGCTTTTGCACCTGCTCAGACCAAATTTGTCCCGGGTGTCCACGCAAACCTCATTCCTCCACTTCGACTCAAGTTGCTCGTGTTGAAGCCGTTTCCCAAAGATATCTTGGTCTTTCACATCGTATATGGGGAATTCGTGTGGATCAAAGATGTGTTTCCCAGACTAGCTCATAGTGTATTCCATGTGTTGTTGCCTCCAGATTTGACCACAGTAGTGCGCCACGTTTTGCACCGCTGCCTTTCGCGCAAAGGGACCAGCTCGCCACTTTCAAGCAAGTATTTGTTAGAGGATGACCCAAATCCTATTTCCATCAGTATTGAGGTCTATGGCAGTGCTAATGGCCTCCTGGGCAGAAGACTATTTTAAGTAGAGATATGTGAGGAAGAGGTAATGCAATGGGAAAATAATTGTCTGATATGAAGCACTGTGCCCCAAAGTGTACAGTTTTGGTCCCAGGATGAAAAGAAGTTTGGTAAAAGAATGTTCACCGTGGCCGCCAACCCAATGCGTAGCATTCTTTGCGGCTTTTATTTTTCTCATAGCCCTGACAGGCACAGTGTGGTCATGTTACTCCATGAGGTAACACATCATGGATTTCAAATCTTGTTACTTCACAACTGTGATAGATGTCTTCACGGGGAATATGAGCTTGTTTGGAAATAAGGGAAGTAATAGGAGTTAGTTGAGTTTCTGCCCTCAGTGACCGCTTTAGATCCGCTAACGGAATTTTTTGTCTACCCTGGACAAACATAATGATCACCTGCATGTCTTGCCGACTAATTGCCTACTAGCATACTATTCCCGTTTTGGAGAGATCCTACCATCCTGCCCATTAGGCTTTAGGGAACCTTGCTCCAAACCAGCCATGATGTCACTTAAAACCGGCTACCTCGTTATGTATAACGCCATGTCTTTCCTGTTATGGACGTATCTAACAGCTGAAACTGTCTCCTCGGCAGCATCGCTTTATTCCCAATCCCGCCTATCGGCTCTCTACATTTTCCTATCTCCCCTCCTCGCAATAACCCAATCCCTCGCCATCCTCGAGGTTCTCCATGCGGCATCCGGACTCATCAGGGCATCGCCTCTGACCACGGCCCTGCAGATCGGCGGGAAGAACCTCGTGGTTTGGACCGTCATGCTCAGGTTTCCGGATATCATGAAAACCGAGCAGGGTATGTTGGGCTTCTTGGGATGTGTGATGACCTGGGGTTGCTCGGAGATGATACGTTATGGATTCTTTGTGGTGCAGTTAACTAGGAGCGAGATGCCGAGATGGCTGAAGTGGCTGAGGTAAGTGATTAATAGGAGACATTTTTGTGTGATTAGTTGGCTGACAGTTGTATTTAGATATAGCGCATTCGTCATCCTGTATCCTCCAGGGCTTCTGAGTGAAGCGTGGCTTGTCTATCTCAGCTTCGCTCAGGCAACCGGACTCAGTTCTGCTTACAGGGGGTACCTGCTTGCTGGCTTGCTCAGCTATATGCCTGGTATGTTAGAATTTTTGTTCTCGTTCTTTCAGCCATTAATAAGACTTATCAGCGGGCTATTTCCTCTATACGCATATGCTGGCGCAGAGAAGACGTGTTCTCAAGGATCCTAGTCAGAAGCGGTGAAGTTTGCCGCCGGCTCGCGTTGCACAAATGATCAGCTAAAATATCAAGATCCGAAGATACTATGGAATCAGGGGGTCTCGGCTAGTAGTTAAAGGTCGAAAACTTTTATTCCTGTCAGATAGAAGGGGTGACGTGACCGACCAAGATTCACGTGATTACCAGCCACTGGGACTTAGCCAGAAATCCCTCTGCAGAGGAGATCACAGATAACACACATAACAATCAATCCATCACACAGAACGGTCACATCGCAAGATACGTGAATATCCAACAATAGGTCTCTCTGGCTAGGCGACTTTTTCGTCAAGATCGATGTATTCCTAGACGCTTACGGCTTCTATACGCTTACGGAATTATGTCTAGTCCTTCGGAGCGTTATAGGCGATTATAATGGATGAAGACGTTATGAACATCGCGAAATTAGTAAAGATACGTATATCGATTAATACGTAGTTGCTCTTTTGAGTATATAAGACTCTTAATTGTCGGATATTCACGTATCTTGCGATGTAACCTCATTATACCCTTGATATAACGGTAATCTGACCGTTCGGTGTGATCAATTAATTCTTATGTATGTTATCTGTGATCTGCTCTGCAAAGGGATTTCTGGCTAAGTCCCAGTGGCTGGTCGGTCACGTCACCGTTGTATCTGACAAGTTTGACGAGGCTCTTGGATGGATTCTTTATCATCTTAAAGCAACAAAATGTCAGAGAACAGAATGCCATAGGCACCGGTGGGACACCGGTGGGGCTCTGGTGTAGGAATGTGCGAGTCATGACACGATATGGAAGTCTTGGTTTGCGGAACAATCGGGGAAACTAGTGCTCCGCGGCTACGACGTCGGGTTCTAGCTATCTATGTAAGGGGCGGAGGCCCGGGAAGAAGATAGAGGGAGAGTAGAGATCAATGCATCACCGTGGGCACCCCTACCTGAGACCGCCAGTGACCACCCGGTATTACGTAGGAGGGACGCCCGTTACTCCCCATCACTCTGTACTATTGCCTTCGGCCTAGCCGTACCCTGACACAAAAACCCGCGCTTCCAATAACACATGATACAGTACGCACTGTCGGAAAATGAATTCTGCTGACTTTAATACGATCTTTGAATCCCCGTTATCAAGCGAGGCCTGCATAATATGCGCAAATCTGCGGAGGATATTCATAGATAGAAAGTTCTATGTTAATCAAGGATCATTCAATAAAGTGCTTGAAACTCCATGTTTAGGCCATGATTCCTTATTACGCTTAATCCGAAATGATTTTGATAAGCGAAATCCGAACCACTTTGCGAAGGGTGATAACAAGACGAACAATGAGGACGCTGAGGGTGCTCATGGTGAAAATGATGAGAAAGCCGAGAAAGGTGGGGAAGATGGGAAAGTAAGAATAGTGAGGAAAGTGAAGGAGATGAGCTGGACAAGAAGCTCGGTCTTGGACCATATGATCTCGCATTCGGTTGGGAGCATTCTGGAGGCGGCAGAACCCCAGTAATCATAGTGCAGATGGCTTCTACGGGCTTACACTGCTGGAGCCGCTGCTGGCGAGACACCGTAACAAGCCCAAGACACCTGGCTATGGACGAGTTCTCGACCCAGACTGGGTTGATTTAGAATTGGCTAAGCGATGGAAAAGGGACTGTTTTATCCAACACGGCGAGAAGTGCTTTAATCCGCTTAGGATCCGCTCTGTATCGCCCGCCTGGCTCATCGACGTCGTTGAGAATTGCCTTGTCCCCGGTGCAGAGATCCCTAAATATGTGGCGCTGAGTTACAGATGGGGTGTCGTGGCTGTTTTTCGCACGAACCGCTACTTGCTGAAGACTCTTCAAGAGCCAGGAGCACTATCGCAAAGCCGGCTCGGCGCCTACATGGCAATTCTTAGGCATACAATAGGGCTGACCCAAGCTATCGACGAGCGTTATCTCTGGGTAGACGCAATATGCATAGCCCAGGACGATGAAGCGCATTGTGCAAAAGAAGGTGCCATCTACGCCTCGGCGAAGCTGACAATTGTGGTCTCCGATGGGGACGCCATGGACGGGATTTTAGGCCTCAAGGGAATATCGCCACCACGAGAATTCAACCAGAACGTTACTCCCGTATTTCAAAACGAGAAGGTTATCTTCCGGCAACAGCCTAATTTTCGATCAGCAAGCTCGCTATACTTCTAGCGTGGCTGGACCTATCAGGAGTTTTATCTCTCGAAAAGACGCCTTACGTTTGCGAATAGCCAGTTGCGTTGGCATTGCACTTGTGCCGATTGGCATGAGGATCTCATACAGTCTGAAGACACACCGACCGATCAGGAGTTTCTGGATCGCAACCTTTCTAGCGTGCTAACAGGACAGCCGGACTTTTCGGCTCTGAATATAATTCTTAGTGAATACAATCAACGCGAGCTCTCATTCCCGGAGGATGCACTACCGGGTATAAGTGGTCTTCTCGCCATTCTTAGCCGCTCGTATGAGGGTGGATTTCTATTCGCTTTGCCGGAGACGTGCTTCGATTCTGCCTTGATGTGGCACACGCCCTTCTACGGGTCCATGGAAGAACGGAAGGATTCTGGCAGGACAAACTTACTCGCCTTAACGTCCCGGATCCCTTCGTGGTCGTGGATCAGTTGGAAGTGCTTCGGGTTGCACGTCTTGGATGAGGAATCATTCCAATCCTCTCTCAAGGATCCCCGGACCAGTCCCATTACTCAATGGTACACCCATAAGACCCCAAACACAACTACAAAATGACCTATACGATCACATTGGTTCCGCTTGCGGGAGAAGTTTCGGGACTTTAAATATGAGCTCCCTGAAGGCTGTACAAGAGAAGAGCACGACGAGACCAAACACGGCGAACCACTCGAAGGTCTCGGGCAACATATCTACCGTCACGCCGTCACAGCTGACAAAACTTTCTAGCTGCCGGTGCCGATCACCATCATTAACGAAGATATAGAGTTCTTCAGCCCGTCGCAGACGCCGTGTATATCGTGCGTGATCAAGCGCGGGTGGTTCTCCGCCGCACAGTTCCCGAGTAGCTATTTCTCAGACCACGAACGTGGATGGAACGCTCACATATTTATTGTTGGCTTGTTGGATGGCAATGGAAAATATTGCGGGCAACTATATCTCCAGAGAGCAGACGATATCTCGCACTTCCCAGACGCCGACTCTGGCCGCATCTTAGAAGTCGAGCTCGTTGCCATTTGCCCCAGGAGAGATATGGCCTCCAAAGCTAGGTGGAGACCAAAGGTTGTGGAGGAAGGGGACGTAGAAAAGCCAACTTACGCAGAAGTCTATGGTGTTCTTTGGGTGGAATGGAATAACGTTGCGTACCGGAAGGCTTTGGGTGTTGTTGGCAAGGATGCGTGGGAGGGCCATAGTTTGGAAGATGCTCAATTGGTTATGGGCTAGTCAGGCTTAGCAGGTGAAGCTATCAGCGAATTATGGATGACTATATAAATATCTTACATACAGTACCGTAAAGGCCATGCTGTGAGTTCTTATGTAGCAACAGACGAATAGTACATCAATTTCGCTCATTTCTGTAAGCCATCCTGCTAGGAAATAACTTACCACTTACCGTGATCTTATGTACTAAAAGCAGTCTAACACACCGCTTATTGAGATAAAGGAGGGCTGCTTATGGCTGGCCTTAGCTATAGCTTTTGGGTATAACAATGCTAGTCAGCAGGTCATGGGCTGCATGAACGTCAAAATGGGCTAGCGGGGTTTGTTTCTAGGCACTGTCCATGACTGCGGGTAGTCACTAATAGTCTCAGGTAGGGGTGCCTAGAATAGTTTATTAATCTCTAACCTTCCTCCATCTTCCTAAGATAACTCCCTTATATAGATAACCAGAGCCCATATTCGGAGTAACAGAGCCCTACTTGCTTCGGTTTTTCGGTATTCTAAGACTTTCATATTAGGCAGTCGGCTGGTGTAGTTGGTCACTTCGCTGGTAGATAAGTCCCGATTTGAGCCTCGCCCACTTGGGTCGGTGACGAGTCGCGGGTTCGAATCTGTTACACGCAAAGGTGGTCAAAGATTTGTGAGGTTGTAAAAGCATGACATTCTATCTAGTCCTATGGAGCACGAAGGTTGGACTTAGTCCCGAAGGGCTAAGTCACGTGGTAACCTTGGTGGTCTTGGCAAAGCCCACCAAGGTTGCCTAACAAGCAATGAGAAAGTTAGAAAGCGATTTCCTGTTATTATCTTAGCGCACTGTACTGGTAAGCAGCAAAACTCTACGTAGAATATACTCAGAACAATATTCCCAAAATCGTTTCATTTAGTTCAAGTTATAAATATCCCATTATGCTGTACCCACCAGTTGGAGCCTCTCTCCAGCTCCCCATCCCTGCTCAGTCTGACTGGCCTCTTATTATCCCACTGATTAGCATTCCAGATATCGTTTCTCGGCCATAAACACTATGAAACGCTAACTTGATTTGCGTAGGGAACTAGAAGAAATATAAAGGCTTCTCTAGAACAAACGACCGAAGCGATCCATTACCGATCCCGAGCAATTCCATATCTGCAACGAGACTTCCCAACGCCAGAGTTTTAGGCTGCAAAATCGTTCAAAATCGAGCAATGTAAACTCGCAGAGTACTTACTATGTCGTCTTTAACGTCCCCAGAGGCCAACGCCTCAATATTCGCCCGTGTTGTTGTTAGGTGCGAATAAGCCACAGTGGCTTGCTGGGCCTTAGCCTACGCAAGGGTCAGCAATGTATAAATAGGCTGATGTGACAACCTTATCTTGAGGAGGGGTAGCGATTATGATACGTGACCCCATGGGGGGTGACCCTATAGCTATAGATAAGATAGATTAGAGCTATAAAAGAGCTCTGCCAGGCCAGAATAGCTGACCTGGCCATCCTTTCCCAATACAACAATTCACACCCCATATGCACTCGCATCAGATTAACTTGTCGTATTTGAACCCCCTAAACCCTAAACTACACTGCTAGTACCGACCTAATGACCAGCAACCGACTTCTCTCCAGCACTCTCGTCCTTCACTCTGTACTTGAATGCCCGTGACAGTCGTATAAAGACGAGGTCAGCCCAGGAGATTAACTATTTCTTTTTGTATTTCGTTGATGATACTATACATGGAAGCCTACGGCTTATGAAAACAGTAGGTCCGAAGACCCGAGGTATAGCGGGCTAAACTACCTAGTCCTACATACAAGTATAACCCTGTACTGCGAATTTGTATCCTCCGTAACTATTGTTGTTTTCCCTCGCACCATCAGCTTTCTGAACTTAACACGAAGATCAAGTTCAATATCGGTGTAGGGCTATGGATTCTTTTAAACTCTTTCCCCCATCACTTTCGCAGTGGGCATGCGTGGTCCCTATAACCACCGCCGGATTCAAATGAGATTACATATACAGAAACTACGCAATATCTACTTGGCTATATACTCTGACCTGTCTGTTACAAAAACCAAAAGGTACGGCTGCAACCTTGGCCTACGGAAGCAAGTCATAATCTTGTGGGTTTTCCATGTAAAACTAGCTACAATAAAACTGTTCCCGGCTACTTTTAATTGAATCTCAAGACATCTCCTCGACCGGACTTGTACCCGAGAAGTTACTGGCGGACCGGCGGGGATGGACTTGGCATCGCTCCGGGTAAATAGACAAATGCGGAGTTATAGCCAAGTTTCGTGCGGGGGAGACCCAAGTTAGGTCGTCAACGACATCTTACTTCTCCTTCTCCAACTCCTAGGTAGAATTTGTTTTTATCTCCAAATTATAATAACTTGATTGCTAAAGAAACTGTATATTGCATCATGCCTCCAATCCGCAACCCCATTCTCCCTGGGTTTAACGCCGACCCGTCCATCGTGCGGGTGGGCAACGACTACTACATCGCTACCTCGACATTCGAGTGGTACCCAGGGGTGCAGATCCACCACTCCACCGATCTCGCAAACTGGGACTTGGTCGTCCACCCGTTGACGCGCAAGTCGCAACTTGACATGCGTGGTGACCCGGATAGCTGCGGCATCTGGGCACCGTGTCTCACGCACGATGGGGACAAGTTCTGGCTTGTCTATACAGACGTTAAGCGCAAGGACGGGTCCTTCAAAGATACGCCCAACTATATCGTGACGGCACCGGCGATCGAGGGGCCCTGGTCTGATCCCGTTTACGTCAACTCGTCGGGCTTCGACCCGTCGCTATTTCATGATAACGACGGGAAGAAGTGGTTCGTAAACATGCTGCAAGACCATACGCGCCGGCCGCGGTTCTTCTCGGGCATTGTACTGCAGGAGTTTGACCCCACGGCCGGGAAGCTCGTTGGGCCGAAGAAAAACATCTTCAGGGGTACCGATCTAGATTTGGTCGAGGGGCCACATTTGTACAAGCGGAATGGGTGGTATTACCTGCTGACGGCGGAGGGAGGAACGGGCTATGAGCATGCGTGCACGCTGGCACGGTCCAGGGACATTTGGGGACCTTATGAGACACATCCGCAGAAACACATCCTGTCATCCAAAGATGCGCCATCTGCCGCGCTGCAGAGAGCTGGACATGGGGATTGGGTAGAAGCACTGGACGGAAAGAATTACTTGGTGCATCTAACTGGCCGCCCAATAACAGAGAAACGTCGGTGTGTGCTTGGCCGGGAAACAGCCATTCAGGAGGCGTACTGGGGTGATGATGACTGGCTTTACATCAAGAATGGTCCTATTCCATCATTGTATGTGGAAGTCCCGGGAACGCGAGACGAGAGCAAGTACTGGAGCGAGCAGCGGTATACATTCGACAGCAAGGCATTGCACAAGGATTTCCAATGGCTGCGCACACCCGAGACGGATCGCATTTTCACTACAGATGCTGGAAAACTCACACTCTTTGGCCGCGAGGCTATCGGCTCCTGGTTCGAACAAGCATTGGTTGCAAGGCGACAAACACATTTCTCCTATGATGCCGAAACGGTGGTTGACTTCAACCCAACGGACGAGCGTCAGTTTGCGGGACTGACGGCATACTACTGCCGCTACAATTTCTTCTACCTCACCGTGACAGCGTTTGGAGGACAACGGGAACTGCTCATTATGACATCTGAGGCGTCGTGGCCAGAGGGTAACTTGAACATGCCGTTTGCCGAGCCTGTGCAGATACCCAAGGAGGGGAAAGTCAAACTGGCGCTCACAATCAGGGGTGTGGAGTTGCAGTTCTTTTATGCCGTGGGTGACGAAGAGTTGAAGAAGATCGGGCCGGCCTTTGACGCGTCCATACTTTCCGATGAATGTGGTGGTCACCAGGTCCATGGGAGTTTCACGGGGGCGTTTGTGGGTATGGCGTGCTCGGATCTGAATGGGACGGCACTGCCAGCTGATTTTGACTATTTCGTCTATAGGCCGGTGAAGCATGAGAGTGATCGGTATGAAATTTGAAGTAGGCCGATAAAAATGAGAAATGGCATACATGTCAGAGAATGAGAGATATTATTCAATGTCGTATTTGCTGAATGAAACAAATCAATGGTAGGTGATATATGTCTTTGCACTGATTGGCTGAGATGAGTCAGTCGCCTAAAGTATCTGGACGAGCATCTTCAGATGCGTTCCCTAGCCGGCTAATCTCATGAAAAAGGCGCGGAAATCCCATTCGTTGCTATAGGGAGAGTTCCCGGAGCGTGAAGGGAGGAGGAATAGACAGCTTCTCATCAAACTCAAGGTGTTTGACTGCGGCGCGACGTCCACATATTTCACACCCCCGTGTAATCAACAGTAGAGGATCTCTTGGATGGCCTCCTCTACCACGCCCGAATGTTTGTCTTCGCCGAGTGCTACGGAATCGACAAGCTTGTGGCCCTGTCGCTCACCAGCTGCACTAGACTTTGATTTCTGTCAAGTCGTATGAGAGGGAAACCGGAGTTTTTATTGAGCTACTAATCTACTGCTACGAGGAAGATGTTTCGGAGAACTTGCGAGCTCTTGTGGTTCTTTTCGTTGCTTGTCATGTCGAGACGTTGTGGGTCAGAGTTTCCAGGAGCTCTGGGAGGAGCATGTGGAGTTGTCTAAGGCTCGGAATGGGGAGTTGCAGGCTAGGTTGGAAGAATACAGGAGTCGTTTGGGGAACAGGCCATTTTACTATAGGAATCAAGCTGGACTCAGCGACTTGCTGCTGGAGCCGTTCTAGCATGATGAACGGTGGCGGTTCGATGGCAATGTCTGGGCTGCAAAAAAGCAACAGCAACCGGCATGTATAGCACATTATGGATCAGAGTCCGAAATAAAGCAAATGCTTGGCAAATAAATCAAACTAAGTCAAAGTGAAGCAAAGACGACATATCGCGCCAATGTTTGCAAATATAAACGTTATAGTCCGCCTTGTTTCCTTTGTTCGAATTTGAACCTGAACAGTCCTAGCTGGAAAGAGGTAAGAGGTGCGTCTGCATCGCCGGAACAAGCAGGATCGATCACCGCTAACCTCTACACCAATCTTACACACCGCATTCGTATCTGACAGTATCAGGGATAGATATATAAATCTACCAATCTTATCAAGATACATCTCAAACTGTAGGAAAGATGACTGTGTTTGATTACATGATAGGTGCTTCATCTGCTCGAGAAGTCAACTACATCACCACTTGAACTAAGGAGATTATAAGGAGCAAAAGGCATAGGGAAAGTCTCCCGTAGTTAGTTTGTAGAGTTGAGTCGAATGCGCTTGAAAGTAAAGGATTTAATCCTTCCTAGATACTCTAGTATCTCCAGAGTGGGAATCGCTACGTGGTCTCATAAGGTTGAGGGTACATGTGACGGCCCCAACTGGGCCGAATCTATCTTGCAGTATGTTCACGCTTTTGACAGGTGGGCAGGCCTCCATAGAGTATCTAGTCCTTCTTATGGTGCCGGCATGTTATCCGAAAGAAAACAGGAATCGGCATGGGTAGGTGGAGGCTACAATTCTCATTGGGAGCTCGGAATTTGACACCGGTAGTCATGGAGATTTGACCAGGTGCCGAGCGTTGCTGGCTGAGGCCAATGTGAGGAATCAGTTGAAAATCAAGCACATCGGACGAGATCTGCGATTAATATGATGAAGCCTGGCTCAACAGAATACTTTGGAAGTGCATAGCTGGACATTGACACTCATGTAGCGTAGGCAGACGCTATGCTCGAGGTTCGATCGTATGTGGGACGTAATAAAGGTAGCATAGGTCATAATAATGTAATTGGCAAGTTACATACCTGTCACCTATGGCACGCAATATCGCATCGTCGCACAATTGCGTCCAAGAACGTTGGAGCGATACCTCAAGTCAGCAGTCATGATAGAAACAAGACGTGAGTCTCACGGCAACCAAAATATAATGTATGCCGGCTTCAAATCAATTCAGTTCAGTGTCACTCATCAACTATCTTACTCCAATTCACCAAAACTCTAATCCCAAGCCGCCGAACCCCTCGTCTCCTTTTTGAAAATATGCAAATGCAAAGATGCAGGGAAATGATCGAATAGAGAAAAACATGTCAAAAACCAGCAGCGTAAATTTTTTCCACACGGGGTGGGTTACATGATATATCAAGCAGAGGTTCCCCTCATCAGTCCTCGCCGGCGAGCATACAACAATAAAAAAAGGGGTATCGCAACAAAGGTGAAGACATTGGAATTGAAAAAACAGATGTAAAGTTGGAGTAAAATAGCCTTCGTGATCTCCTAACTTGTCGTCCGTGACAAAAGTCCGCGACTACCGATCTGGAAACGGGGGTTTGTTGAAGGCAACTTGCAAATCGTCCAGCCAGCAATACTTTCTTTCACATTGAATCACGACGTCTCAACTCCCGATCCAGCGTCTCATCAGCCGATGAAATTGCCCAAACATGCAGATTGCTGTGCCCAGCTCCCAATGCCGAGGCGGGGTATAAATGATAAAACGGGTGTCAATTGAATAGGTGATAGATGAAAGTGAAGGTCTGGCATTGGGATATCTGTATGTCTGTTCAGGGTAGAAGGGGTGGTAGAACGAATGTGAGTGAAACCAATGATGCGCAAGAAGTGTACCGGCGCGATCAAAGCAAAGCGCGTGTGTTGCTGGTTCATTGAAACATTAAGGGGGGATGAGAAGAAAACAAAATGCTCGTGGTTCAACACCAACGGAAGAAGTGAAGGTTGCTGTTGTGCCTTAGGGACGGTTCTCCTGCTCCAGGAGACGCAAGCATCTCGAAATGCAAAGGATGAAGGGGAGCAGGAGAGGGTGCCGTCAACTGAGGGGATCTTAAAGTCGTTCATCTCGTCGCATGATAACGTTGGCGATGCTGAATGCTGGTTCTTGACATAAGAAACTGATGAGCTGATGCTCGCATGGAAGAATTCGATTTGACAATGTTCGGCCAGGTTGGCAAAGATTGCTTCAGCTATCGACTGGACCGCAGGTTCGAAATCCCAACGGTTTTCTCGCTGCAAGCGATGCTTATTCGGCGCAGGTCTTTACATAATGGCGGCAATGACCATACCAGCAGCACCTGCGAAGGCAAGGTGGGCTGCGCCGAGCGACATGGCACCGTTGTTATCAACGGTTGGGCTGACTGACGACGACGACGAAGTGCCAGTAGGTCCCGAGGCATCGGTTGTAGTGGGCAAGGTGGTGGTGGTCGATCCAACACCAGTGGGCATGTACATCATAGTCGAGTTGAAGGACGCGGTAGCGGATGCGGTAGCAGACTGGGTGGAGGTCGAAACCTTGGAGATGGTGATGGTCCTGGTCATTGATACTGTTGACGTCTCAGTGCTGGTGTCGGCGACTGCCAAAAGAGGCAGAAGCGCAATGGCGATTATCGCTGGTAATTGCATTGTGTCGATATGTCGTAATTTCGTTGTATATCCAGGTGTGATGGTGTTAGGTGTGAGTGTCTTGTTTTTGACCAATCGTGTCGCGAATCAATGCGAAATGTATGTCACAAAATGCCCCGATATGTGAACAACAGCGATCGTCTACTTTTTCTGATGATTTCCTATCACTCTCCAGATAGATTTCTCCCCGGCGTTCCTTCGTAGTCGTATGATATGTGGACGTTGATTTGGGTGTGGCCACCAAAAAATAGTCGTGGACTTTGTTGTTGCTGCAACTGGTGCGCTAGGTGCAAATTGCGTCTTAGTCAAGGAGTGTGGATCTGAATACTCGATACTCAAGTTCGTTGCGAATGACTCTGGAACGTCTGCGAGCGGGAGGGACTTTGCCAACGAAGTCCTGTTGATGAAGGGTGAAAATGAGCAATGAAGGTTATGGGAGAGAGGACTAGAGGCAGAAGAGGAAAGCCACGATGTTTTAGGGTGAGGCAGAGGTGGGCGGCAGCGACATATTGGCCTGCCCGGCCAATCCTTGGCTTTCAGTTTGCCATGCACACAAGCACAGCACAACTTCCAACGCCAAAAACAGAGACGGGAATTGGACCACGAAGCCCACGTAGTTCGTCTGATGGGGCAGCATCAACAAGTCTCGAATACCCTCAATAATCTCAAGATGCGGCCATCAATAAAGTACCTTGGACTTGTCAGATGCCTGAAGGTGGGTAATCTGACAGGCACCGGAAATTGCAAGGCACAAGTCGTCAAGGACTTGACTAGGGAAGCGCTGTCGTGAAAGCAGACTAGCCTCATTTGGCCGCTGGCTGTTCTTGTGTCTCAAAACTACCGGCTTTGTGCACCCTCTCAGTAGCAGCCGCTATCGGCATTGTCAGCTTGTCAAGCCCATCTCCGCGTTGCTGATTCGACATGGTGGTCAAATGATGCGAAATGCGTCATTTATCCCCAATGATCCAAAATGACAAAGGCTAATCACCAAGGGGGATGGATGATACTATATTGACATCTAACTTAATTTCCCTCCAAGAATGGCACTTGCCGGAAATAGTGAGGTTGTCACATCACTTCTAAAGTTGGGAAGGCGCGGTCAGCAAAACCGACGGTTGTTTGCCAGAGGTGCTACTTTGCGTTTTGCCGACCAAGACCCTTTGGGGTTAATACCATCATCCAAAGATATCCAAAGAGTACTGACGAAATTACACAAATGTCATGTCGCCAGGGCTGGCTAGGGTTTGTTTGGATTGCGTCACATTCATTGGCCGTTCCTCACAAGGACGGGGGATTTCTGCAGGGTTTGACCCGCTGGGGTTCCAACCAACGGCTGTACCTGCAGAAATATGAAAAAGTGTTCTTGACGCTATGCCCAGACGGGTCCATGCTCCAGAGTGCAATTTCAACGCTCGCCGTTTGGGGAGGTGTTTTCACCACACAGACTTGAGAACCTCATTATCGCTCCGTTGGCAGCCTCTGAGGCGCGCTAACGACGAACTCCACCGGATGGGCTCCTGACTGTGATCTATCTAGGCTTTTGCGGAGAAACACATGGTTATCTGGTTGTCGCTCGAAGGGGAAACCCAATTGCGCATCAAATTTCGCGCAATCGAATGACGAGATTGACAGCGCCAAATCGTCCAGGTTTATGAGAGGATGGCTGTCACGTCTCGGCAACTTGCGATATCTCTTCTGGTAGTGGCACTTCCGTGCGCAGACCAGAACCCCTCATGAAGGTGTGCATCCATTTGATAAAATTACGGAACCAAGCAACAGGAATCCAATACAACGGCGTGGTCCACGTACCTGCATGGGCAGACCGAATTAGCAAGTATCAGGTCCAGTCTGAATTAAACACCAAACCTCCACAGTCCACGAGGCGCGCAGGACATCGTCTTGAGTGAGCGCTGGGCCACAATAGCAACAGTGCGGACCAAACGTTTCGGTGCCCTACGGCGTCCTATCCGTGCTCTACACCTAGTTTTAAACTGCGCGTTAGCCATCGCGCTAACAAGTCGCTTCACCCTCTTCCGCCAACGACAAGCAAAAAGCTTGTGTTTCCCGAAGACTTCGTTCTTGACGATATGAGCTGCTTCCGATCTAGCTCTGAGGGCAGCCGCATTCTCTCGTACACATGCGCTTCCTCGCACCACAAGATGATGGAACAAAAGTACCGGGACCACGATGCATGCAGCCAGCGGCTGATAGTGCATGTTGCAATGATGCATCTGTACGAGACAAGCGCCTCGTGTCGGGATTTCCAGGACTCTTATTATCGTGTCGCGCGATGGGAGGATTTTTTGCAGCTGCGCAGCATGTCTTCCTTGTCCCGCCTCCTGTTTGACAAGCTGGAGGGGATACTTCGTCATCGCAACCCCTCGCGACCTCGTGGCCAGGTGGCCATGTGTCAAGTCGGCATGAACCCCCCATCGTATATGTGCGCGCAGATGACACAGGGACAGTTTTGAATCCTGCCGCGTGTCATGCTGTCAAAGTTACCTAAATGTCGGGGAAATTACTGACGAGAGGCCACATGTTTTCTCTCGCATTCCCGGCGCATTAATGGCGCGCATTGTAACAAACTCACATGGCAATACCGAGAGCGGAGATGGATGGTCATCGTCGCAATTTGTTGGTTTTGATGTTTGCGCCCTCCCTTAAGGGATCGACACCACGTTCGTGGCGCAGTCTCAAATTCTGCATTCAGCGTCCTCATGACATGCTAGACTTCATCGCCGTAGTGAGTTGCGGGTGGTTGACACTAATTGTTGATGTTGTGCGTCGCAATCCAACCCAGGATCCCATCTATTTGCGGCTCTGTATAGATCGTGGAACCCATTACTCTTGGCAAAAGCTAAGAACGAGTTTCCCTCAACTTCATGCTCACCACGGGCAGGTTGTAGTGATTGCGATATCACATTATCATTGTCAATTCATCACAAATCGACTAATTTGGCCTCGCTATTCGAACTTGGCAATGGCGTAGCGAACATCTTCGAGGATAAGAAGCTTTGATGGCGTCATCGCTTCCAACTAAAAATAGGACTGGTACTCAAACAATAAGCATCCAAGTCTGAGTCTCGTTCCAGTGATCAAAGCCCGCCATAAAATGCAGTCCCACAAGCTCTTGTGAATATACAAGAATCGATGCCAACTTGCGAGCTCCTGCACTTGAATCTTGACAATAGCAGGATAGCCCCTGGGAACAACGAAACTAATTACCCTCGCTCATTAGCAAAGCCGGATTACTTCTCAAACTATGATACAAGCTTCGATTTGATAATTGCAAATATTCACTGTATTTGCTGCTGCTGCGTAACGCCATTTGCTTCCTACCAAATCGCCAAGCGGTATGGGGAATTCCACAGCCTGCCGGAGCGATCAGTAGGAAATATAGTGATTTGTACTCAAGTAGAGATATGGTATTTTCAATAGTGAATGCGCCTCGTGTATATTGCGGCTTACGCGTATCATAGAGTCCATTTGATCTACTGGGTGCGTTGGACATGTCTCCAGTGGCCCTTATTCGAATCAGCACTATATTCCTTGGACCACAGTACCTTCATTAGCTCAAGCTTCTCACGGTTTACTCACTTGGTGTCTTTCTATCATTTCCACCCATATGAGAGAAAGTCTAATATGAAGAGCCAGGGCTAGTTCCAACATGATTCTGAGCAAGTATAAGGGCTGAGCTCTACCGCTTTAGGTAATTCAGATATAGAGAACTGTAGTGCCCTATATGGATGATTTATAGTGTCGGCTAAGTTTTTTATGTTGTCCATAAAAGCCTGCGCCTGCTCCTGTTTAGCAAGATGCACATTACCATTATAATAATCCCTGGAATCATCAGCACAGGCCGTCTAAAATTGATGAACCGGTCGCCATGCTTGAGAAATATTCAATCAGGTACTCCAAAGTTGTATCATGGGAGAGTCGTGCCTATGCGGTAGAATTACAATCTGTTTCAGCCCGTTTCTTCGGGAAAAGCCATGTGTTATGTGGAAGATAAATCATGCATTGTTTATTTTTTAGAGTCGGCTGGTGTAGTTGGTCACTTCGCTGGTAGATAAGTCCCGATTTGAGCCTCGCCCACTTGGGTCGGTGACGAGTCGCGGGTTCGAATCCCGCAGCTGACACACAAGGGGGTTTAGTCAACCCTTACGGCGCGCTGCCCACCTTGTTGACTTCGCCTACCTAGCGATAATAGGGAGATTGGTGCAGTTTAGGATTACGAGCATCCTAGCCAGTCGACCGTCAAGCACTACGTCGGCGGAATATAACTCGACAGCCGGTCCAGAATTCGAATCGTTAATCCGACCCCTTATCGGACCTCGCCTTTCCGATAACGCTCGTCGGCGAACCCGTCCCCTCACGATAGAAGGCGCGCAGCACGCCCTCTCGCCGCGATTCTTGCGAGCGTCTGACCACGTTACGGTCTATCCACTTGAGCGTATGGTTGAGATGTATACGCTCGACGAGAACCCCAATTAGCAGATACTACGACTTGTCGCGACAAAAAAATAGTCGAGCATCTTCTGCACATCAGCAGCATCCCACCCCTGAGGACGAATTTAAGTGCCACATTACCACACTTATCGGTAGTTCAGGCAGGGGTTGTAGCACAGACTTAGGGAGGGACAGGAGGTTTAGTAGTCATTTGGCTACAAGTTTACCTGTATAACCGCCCGACGCGGCTTAAGGGCCCGCTATATCATCTATAGCCCCTTAAGGGAGTACTTGTAGAGGTACCGAGGGTTAACACCTACCGGCGTATTTAATATTATTTTATTTTTTAGAGACATGACTCTCTTGAGTTCACCACTGATACATAGAATATTATGGATTCTATGTCAAACAACGAAACAAAAATGGTTCATCCCAGCGGTAGGGAAGATTGTCAGAGCCTTGAACGTTCTATCGTGTCAAAACATCTGTTTCGTGCCCCAGAAAACCGGCTGTGTGCTGGGTGCAGCGCTTGGCCCAACTGCCCATAAATAACCCTTCCTTAGCTACAAATTCCTGTGAGTTAGTCCCATCATCACTAATACAGCTCTCCTACCTATGCTACCTGCAATCGAATTTCGACGCTCGTATTTGGACTGTTGAACTGGTAGATGAAGATAATCCACAGATGCAAATTTGCTCCGTCATGCCGACTATTTCTGGTACAAGCTAAAGACTACAGTTCTAGGTTTCAAAGACCCGTAATAACCAGGAGCTTCTTGTGTAAACTTGATGGTGTACTAACTGATAAATTCCTGACTCATTCGCAAAAGTACGGTGATTCCCGCGTCGAAGATTGCCGACAGAAACAAAACCGTCAACGACCATTCCGCCTGTCACAAAGGGACCTGACACTGAATGACGATATTAAATACGCAACGCCCATGCACCTAGTTGGATTAGGTGCCATCGGAAACCATTGCTTCATCAAAAAAGACGACATTGCAAGATTGCTCTGCAAGCGTTATTCAGAATCTCTGCCATGGGCATAGCGCAAGCCAACCAGTTGTGTTTTCATATAGAGGTAACAGGGGGTAGCCGGTTCTTGATAACGGCCGAAACCCGATTTGATAAACCAAATGAAACTATCTCATGTCTACCATAGCCCCGTCACAGCCTTCCATACTACTACGCTCGCGGCCATTGCAACAGCTTCCCCGTCGGCTTATTAGCATGCTCATAGACCGCCATAACCTCATCAGGCCCCATCTGCAACAATCCTGGCCAATGCCCCGGCTCCTCCTGCACCACCCTCGGCTCACTCCAGTTCACGTTCCCATCTCTCAACCCATCCCCAAAGCACACCTTCACCCCAGCCTTCTTAGGCCACTGCACCTTATCCGAATCCTCATCACACATGAAGATAACCACAAACCCTTCATGCGAGTCGTACTTCGCGATTTGAGGAGCCCCAGCATTCTTTCCTTTCGGGGGGCAGTATACACACCCCCTCTTCTCCCAAGTGTCTCCTTCATTGTACGACACTGCGTATTCGACACTAAACGTCCTATGCCTCGTCGTCTCGAAAACAATAACCAAGGCGTCGCGCCCACAGCTCCTATCCTTTGTCGACACGATCCCCTGCATGCCATCACGCAGATTCTCATTCGTAGGGTGGCAGCGCAGACATTGCGGCGCAGTCCAAGTGGCTCCCCCGTTGTGCGACACGACGCGGAACGTCTCCTGGTTGTCGGGCGCCAGCTCAGCGGAATACGTCATTTCAATTTGGCCGTGGCGGCCGATACGCATGAACGGTTCCCAGAGACCCATACCCTTGCTCGACGCGGCGGACTGCTCGAAGGCTTGGGCAAGGTACTTCCAGGTGCGGCCGCTGTCTTGGCTGCGGCAGACGGTGATGCGGAAGTGCGAGGGCTTGCGAGATTGCGGGTCGAGGTCGTGATTGCGGAAAGCGGCTAGGATGGTTGAGTTGCCGCCGGGCATGGGGTGTTGTTGGCTGCTGACGTGTTGTCCTGCGTGACCCTGCTGGCTTGGGATTTCTATCAGGAAGATGTTATCGCAGTCGCCGGGACTGCGTGCCACCTCGCCGAAGGGCTCGAAACTCCTGCCGTTGTCGGTGCTGCGTGAAATGGTGAGGACTCGATGTTGATTCTGGGTTTGGGTGACACCGCAGAGAATGGAGCCGTCGGACAGCTTGCAGAGGCGAGGATAGGTGCCGCCGGTGTGGAGGCGGCGCTCGGAGTTGTGTACGATGCTGCAACCACGGAACGCATCGCTTTGCTTTCGCTGGCCGGCACCTGGGCCCTGCATGTGGCTACCACCTTGGTTATACCCTGGGTCTTGTGTGTGACTAGGGCCCTGATTATAGCAGGAGCCCTCATTGTGACTCGGACGCTGGTTACTGTGGTCTTGATTATAGTCAGGACCATGGTTGTGGCCCTGACTTTGGTTCTGTCCGTACCACTGCTCATGTAGGGGGGGCTGGTTGTGACTGAGACCTTGGTTATATCCAGAACTTTGGCTGTAGCCTCCTCCTTGGTTGTAATCTGCTCCTTGGCTGTGACCGGCCCCTTGGCTGTAGCCAGGCCCGTGGTTGTGGCCTTGATCTTGATTTTGGCTGTAGTTGGAATCTTGGTGGTCGTCCTCCCTGTGGTCACCATGGTGGCCAGGAATATGCTGCTTGAGCTTTTCGATGAGGTTTCCTCCCATACTGGATGATTGAATACTGAGTTGAGTTATCTGTGGTCGATTGACGTTGGCCGAAGCGGGGTTTGAGTCCAGAAAGGCAAGTAAGCTGCCACGTCGACTTAAGACTGTATATTTTATAAGACTCCTATGTTGTGGCTATGCAACTGGGTCGCAGTCAAAAAGACGTGGGGAAGTGACGTCTTGCTGTTACAGGTACATCTACTTCTCCACAGAACTTCCAAGCCAATCGTTCGTGCTACATACAGACCCCTGGGGTGATTGTCTCTCCACAACGCGTCAGTTTAGCACGGTTAGCAGGATATTCATCCACAATGCCGACGTAGCGCCGTATGGTGGAGGTCGTAGAATTATGAAGTACTCGCGGTGACTGATCCCTTTCCCCAGTCATAATATACACAGCACAATTCGCAAGCCTGCCTTCAAGCCATCTCATGTCGCCTGCACCGGCTCGGAACTTTACACTTTTATGTTCGTTCTCAACTTCTTCCGAGAGTTTTGGTACGCGTGAGGGCACTGACTGTTCGCAGCGGCATTCGAGATATGCTAAGTTGCTAAGCAACGCAAATCTCGGTCCAGGTCAAGTTGTTCTTATGATGCTACGTATAATATTTATGTAAACGCACTTTGTAAAGGGCTTCGTAGGGCGAAGTAGCATATCATCATAATAGTCGTAAGTGGAGGTTGCTTAGATCGTTCTAATACTCCCAGCATGGGCGGGGCTATACTTTCGTTTAAATGAGTCCTTGCGGCGGTCAGGACGAGCTTGATGATGGCATCCGTAAAACGTGCCATCGACCTCCGAACCACAAAAGATCATGATCTCACTGACAACAGGCCGGACAATTGCGAGACTAACGAAACGCTGGCACTTGGCCTATGCGACGGAGAAGACGCCCAAATCAGGATTTTTCGACGAGCCCACGTTTTTGCAAGCCTCAATTCTTTCTACCTGGAGGGTAGTAGAGGCTAAGGTCACTAACTACTGCGTAGTCTTTGCGGGGTTGCAAGCATTTCGGGGCCGATACGAAGCTATAGCAGATGGTTAAAGACATGAGATGCGTAGAACATCCCGACGCATATCTTGTTGCCTCGTACAAGTGACCTAATAATAGCCCGACGATATTCCAGATCAAAACAAATGGCATATAGATCAATTCCAGCCCATTAAGCAGTCGCCGGCATATCAAGAGGATTCAGGGTCCAGCAAAACATAATCGTTTACGGTCGACGCCAATGTTGGGGGTCGCGGCTGAATAGTAGCACGGCCTGAAGGATGGCAGACTTTCAGCTAGTTGCCGGTTTACAGGAACTAGTCAGTCAGCCACAAACTGTGAATGCCCGCCAATCGAGATCCCCTCTCAGGAGCGCGTTGCAATAACTTGGGCGTTGCATTCTCGTGCAAGCCAGAAAGGGAAATATTTGAACATGAACATCGGTTTATTGCGGTGGGATATCGAAGCCGCGAGGTTGGCAGTCTGCAGAATGGCTACACATTAATCGGCCAATTACGGCAGCTTTACCATTTAGGTAACTATTCAGCTTGGATTTGTTCAAATCGGAATCTACCCAGGAAGGTTCTTGTGTTTAGTGCGCGCTACTCCCGTTGGTTCTCTATGATGGTTGACCGGGCCAGGGCTTGTGTAGCGGCTCGGGACCGTCGCTCCTTTGCGGCAACTAAACGGTACTTGGCTCAGTTAGACAGTCCACGCCGAGAGTATTCATAAGGCGCAGAGTTCTGGGTGGCTGAAGATCATAGATTAGATGCCTGAAATGGAAAGAACCGGTGTGTAGGATGAATGATAGCCTATTCCTGTTCTAGTTTAGACTAAGCTCGTTGTTTCTGGCCGTTATGCCGTTTCAGTACATTGACACAGACCGGTTACGTGACTTATCATACCCGGTTATCACATTCGCATAGTCAGTTATTCTGCATTATTGATCCGCCCGGGGCGCCTTTGAGTATCAGAAGAGGAGGAAAGACCTTGATGCCCAGATAATGTCGGCATTAAACTGTCTCATTCGTAGAATCAATCCGGCGCAACGCCACTGCGTGCCGGTGCAAGTTGAGACTCGGCGCCGATTGTGGCTTTTCCCGCATATGGTTTAATATATTGCTTGATACCTGCCGTCTCGCGCGTCCAAACCTGAAAGGTCCGTTGTGTGCCACCGGCGATCCCATTGCCTGCCATGGGACAGCGACCTCAAGGTGACCCGCATGCTTTACTACTTATGTGGCTTGATACTCGACCTCAAATGTCCACTCCGTAATTTCTCTCCCGCAGCCCAACTCATCCTCATCTTCCTAGCTCTACAGCTCTCGCCCAAACTGACACTCATTCGCTGCTTCACTCCCTGCGTCAGCAGCATGCTCGGTCTACTTCGGAACCCTTCGGGTGGAAGTGCTCATCCATTTGACGTTCACGTACGGTCATGCTAACAATAACACAGTGCGGGATTCTTCGCCTCGAGGGAGTGACAAGCAACAACAGCCCATGCAGGCCTCGCCCCAAGGCACTGATGAACAACATCAGTTCATGCAGACTGATACCAGAGAGCTCATTCCTACCCCAGAGGCTGAGAAGGACAACCCTCTCGATGCCTTTCCAGCCACCCCAAGTCACACTGGAGCGAACCATCGTATCATTAGGGCATTTTCTCCCCCAGCTTCTCCGGTCGCCAACTCCATCCGTGTCAACAAGCGGGCCTCGCAGTATGGATCGAGACGGCTTCACAGCGGCATCGTCCGCGCCTCGTACGGGCACAAAGCAGCCACCATAGAGGTGGTCAAGGAGCAGTATGCCTTCATCAGCCAGCGCTGCCATCGTGAGCTCGGCGCCAGCGTCGGTGCTCATGCCTTTGATACGTCGTATGCCGGCCTTCTTGAGTGGATCCGAGCGGAGCGCCTCACCAGACTTCCGCCCAAGGGCGGCTGCTGGGATCGCGTCCTCATAGCTGCACAGTATTTTGCCGAGCAGGTCCATCGGCTGAACTTAGCTATCAACGGCTTTACTCTCGACTGTGGCTCTGCTTCAAACTTGGTCTTTGGGCAGTGCCTGTTGCTTCTTGAGGTGGGTTGCTTGTTCCGTTGCAAGTTGAGCCTTAGTGTTAACCCCTGACCAGCTCGGCCATGAAAACGCCCCGGCCCTCGAGACAGCTTTCAAGGTATTCTACCAACTCGGTCTTGAGCTTTCCCCTCTCCTACTCATCGATGAGATCCTCAACGCCTCGCCAGCCATCATGGAAAACGTAGCCCGCGCCTTCTCGGAGCTTCTCAGTATCGTCACGGGAGTCGCCATCACGTTTCACACAGCCGTCCACAAAAGCGGCTGCCGCCAGTCCACGCGCCTCGATATCTACGCCACCTTCGGTGCCTCCATTGACAACTTCCGCTCGCGAGTCGCGCGCACCTCGCACGAGATGTGGACCTTTATTCTTCTGACTCGGGGTATTGACGATGACGGGTACCGGGTCAACGTCGTGCAGAAGTGGCTCGCACCGCAGGACACGACGCTGGCTTTCTTGGCGTCCAACCACATCAGTTTGGCCAGTCGTCCAGAGGAGTTCACTTGCACTTGGTTCCAGCCGTATCTGAACGGCTTCTTCAAGGGACACGACGATGTGCTGCTTGTCGAGGGCGGCTCTGGGACCGGGAAAACGGTCCTGGCTAATTGGGTGATTGATCGGCTGCAGAGACCCCTTGGGCGAAAGAATATCTCCGCTCTCAGCTTCTTCTACAACTCGAGCATCATGGCTCAGGCAACTTGCATTGGAATGCTCAAGACCCTCCTATGCCAGCTGCTCGCGCGGCGCATAGGTGACTTGGACCTGCTCAACGTCATCACCAAGGCCCACGCCGACCTGTCGACCGTCATGACGGCCGAGAAGCAAGAAGAGCGCTTGTGGAAAGCTCTCGAGTCAGCCCTATCCGTCGTCAGCGAGGGCACGGGCGAAACCCTGGCAGTCATTGTCGACGGCCTGGACGAGATGGACAGTCAGAAACCCGCTGCGCAGAAGGTGGCCAAGAAACTGCATGATTTGGCGCGCAAGACCGCGGGTATCCGGCTCATCCAATTTAACCAGCCTCTGGGCATGCCCAACAACTTTGCGTCAGTCGAAAACATTGTACTCTCTAGGGAGAACATCTCGGACGATATCCAGACTATTTTTCGTCAAGGTCTCCTGACGGATGCACATTTCTCCGCCAGAGAATATGCGGACCAGGAGAACCTGGTCGACCAGCTTGTGGTGGCCTCAGAAGGATCTATGCTGCGTGCAACCCTTGGGGTGCAGTACCTCCGCCTGCAGAAGACGTGTACCGATTTCCACAAGTCGGCCGAGATACTCAAAACGTCTCGCAGTGTAGCAGATATCGTCCAACACATCCTCTCAACGAAGCACCTGCAGCTCGAAGCCGACAGCAAAGCCCTCCTATCCTGGCTTGTCGCCGCGGAACGACCCCTATCCATTCACGAAGTGTCCTTACTACTACAAGCCCAACCTGAAGCCTCCAGAATGGTAGAGCGAACCATCAATATCCACCCCATCATCAAATCTGTCGCCGCCTTCACCGTAACAGGCGAGGGCCTCATCGCCCTTCGCCACAGCGCCATCAAGCAGGCCCTGATCTCCATTCCGGGTACTTCGAAGCTCTCGCTCAACCTCAAAGAGCGACACCGAGACCTGCTCATTCGCCTCCTTATATGCGCTAAGAAACATCTCCGCGACGAACACGAGCCCTGCCTTTCGTTCTTGGACCAGTCAAAGGTCGACGCCCGCATCGCCGCGCATCACCTCCTCGAGTACGCCATTCGCTACTGGGCCACGCATTTCAAGAAGTCGCCTTCGCTGTACAAAGCTCGCGGCGACTTGGAACTTCCCCGCGAGTTCTCCGCCGTATTCCCCTCCTCTGTTACTTTCGTCCTCCTCGAAGCCGGGTGCCTGAGAGGTCAGCACGAAGCGATAGAGCTCCTCACCGTCGCATTCCGCGTGCGCAAGGCCCTCTTCGGCCTCGATCACGCGGCCGTTTTGCAGTCGGCTATCGTCTGCGCCAAGTACCATGAGACAGTACTGTGTCAGCATAGAGAGTCTATCGAGTGGTGGGCGCAGGCTGTCCATATCGGTAAGATCGTGCTGGGCTTCCAGTCCGACCTTGTAATCACGTGTTGCAACACGCTTTTGCGCATTTCGGATGCATTCGTCTCTGAGAAGACACGCACGGAGATCATGACGCATCGCGAGGAGACACTGCTGGTGCTGGTCTCATCGTATAAACACCGCTATGGCGAAAGTTCCAAGGAGGTCCTTGAAATTTATCAGCGTTTGGCCGAGCTGTATGTTTCTATCTGCGAAGAGGAAAAGGCCACGGAGATTTATGTCAAGATCAAGGAGATAACCCTTGTTATCCACGGGGGTAGCTCTGATGAGTTTGATTCTGTCTCCCGGCACCTGGATGTGGTGCTCAAGAAACATGATCATAAGCCGGAAATCGAAGTCCTTGATGGGTTTTTATTCGGCTACAGAGAAGAGACGGAAGAGTCTTGGACTATTGTCCGTGTCGACATCATGATCCGACATGCGCTGGATCTTATCGAGCGCCGTGAGTTTGGCCGAGCTGAGGAGATTTACATTGAGATCTGGCTTAAGCTTATCGAGCATTGCCGGTCCGTCCTCGTCTGCGAGTGGCACGAGAAGAAGATTGAGGTCATGATCAAGTATGCTTCGTTTCTCAGAGTGCAGAAACGCTTTGAGGAGTCTTCGGCTGTACTACTGTGCTGTTGGAACGAGTATTCCAGCCACCAAGTCTCCATGTTCGAGTCCATTCTCGTGCTTCTGAAGGAGGTTGCTGTCTGCAGTAAGTGTCGCCTTCCATCAATTACCCCTCCAGTTATTCCATCGTCAATCGTCGCAATTCTACGTAGCACCCAGACTGACCCATACCGCAGTGAAACAAGTCGGTATGGTCTCGATCGCGCTGACAGTCTTCCAAAAATGTTGGTCTTGGTTCAAGTCCTCTCACAAGGAAGAAACCACCATGTTCAAGGAAATCGAGGAACACATCACCGTCACCTCCAAGGAGATCGTCAAGACATCAACCACCACTACCGTGGCGTCCTCTTCCGAGACAGTTATCCGAGAAGTGTTCGAGTCCTCCTTCTCAGAGACCGAGATTACGAGCACCACCGTGGAGCTGTGTGAATCTTTGACCTCGATCTACACCGAACAGCAAAGATGGTCCGAGGCCATTTCCGTCATCAAGAGCACACTCAAAAAGTCATGGGCTGCATTCTTCTCCGAGTCGGTTGAAAGCACGACCATGGCGAGTTCTTTCTCTTCCGAAAGCATCGAGCTGGTCATTAAATTGGCGGAATGCTACATCAGCCAGAAGCGGTACGAGAAGGCCGAATACCTATACTTGCGGTTGTACCACGTCCACCGTAAGTGTCTCAGCATCGACGACGCCTCTGTCATCAAGTACAGCGAGCTATACCTAGCATTCCTCAAGAAGCATCAGATGTTCGGCCAAGTCATCAGCTTCTACCAGGAACTACTCGTCGAGTACCGGGCTTTCTACGGCCCCACCCACTCCATGACCATCACCATCCTGTACGCACTGGGAGATATCTGCCGATGCCATCATCTGACCCACGGGTACTGGATCGAGTACTACCTCGAAATCGTGGTCAACCTCAATAAGGGCGCCATCATCTGCCACGAGGACGCTTTCCGGGCTCTGGTCATCGTCGCGGAGCACTACTACAAGACCCTGCGCTACTCAGAGTCCATCGTCTTCTTTAAGTCCATTATCGCGACGTTCTGCAAGTTCGGCACCAAGTTCAAGTATTTCGAGGATATCGCCGTGGTGCAGAAGATCCTGGAAAAGTACTACCGGGCCATCGAGGAGACCAAGATGGAGATACACACGCACGTCGAGATTCTCAAGGAGATCCACCAGGCCTGCTTTAAGTACTTTGGCGAGTCGTCGTCCATATCCATAAGTGTGACTGCAATGCTAGCCGAGGTGTGCTGCCGCAGCGAGAAGTACGAGTACGAAGCTGTGTCGTACTATGAACATGTGCTCAAGCATTCCAAGTCTGTCTCGACCACAGTGGCCAAGCGCAGCCAGACGAAGCTCAAGTCGTTGTACGTGAAGCAGATCAACTCATCCTCTTCGTCGACGACGGTCACCAAGGAGATGGTGGAGCGGGCGACGAACATGACGTACGAACGCTACGTCGAGATCCGCAAGACTCACTCTTGCACCCACGAGGCCACTCTAACCCATCTGAAGGAGCTGATAACGCTATACCACAAGCAGTCCAAAATAGAGCTGGCCGTCATGGAGCTCAGAAGCCTCATTGTCGAGTGCATCACCAAAGTGACCTCATCCAACGAGCTTATCGCAACAGCGCGATTCATTGCCGAAATCTACACCACGTGCGGCTACATCTCGTACGCATACGAGCTTATCCGCGAGATCAAGATGCAAGTGATCTACAAAGAGGCATCCAAGACGTGCGGCTTCAACCTGGTTAAGATCGGACCGGTCTGCTTCGCTTTCATCGCCGCCTTCGAATTCTATCTGCACGGTAACTATACCTTGACCATCGCGGGCTTCATGGCGGGTCTCATGGCCGAGTACTTCTTCTACGAGCGCTTCACCGTCTCGATCAAGTCCAAGTCCAAGGTGCACCTTGTGTTCACCCACGCCGCCCGTCTCCGGCAGATGCTCGTCCGCACAACGCGCACCGAGTACTTTGCCATTATCGAGCGCCAGGCCCTCGAGTACTTCACCAGCTGTGAGATGGCCGTCGTTAAGGTCTCGACCAAGGCCTCCATCAATCTCTTCGTCGGCACCCTCCTGATCTACCTCTCCGAGCACGGCGGCGCCACCAATTTCGTCGCCGCCGCCGGCCACGCAGCGGTGCGCAAGTTGGCTGACCTCCTGGAGAAGCATAAATCCAAGGAAGCGCTCGAACTCGCAACATGCACGTTCCACTTCCTGCTCTCGCACGAGGGGCTCGACGACCCGACCGAGATCACCCTTGGCTTCCAGCTGTGCCTCCTGTTGGCCGGCCGGGGAAAACCCAAACACACCCCCACGGAACCCATGCTCGAGCTCTCACGCCGGATCCTCGCAGAGGTCTTCTCTATCTGCGCCGCCAACAATATCGATCTGGCCCGCTGCCCGCTCGCCGAGCTCAATGAGCTCATTGGCTTGGTCGGCGACCAGAAGGACCATGCCCGCCTGCAGTGGCTGCTCTCGCGCCTCTGGTCCTCACGCGAGGGCCTCACGGCCGCCTCGTCGTGCTGGTCGCCCGAGGTCATGCTTGCCCTGGGCCGAAGGCTGGTGCAGGCGCACTTCGCAGCCGGGAATCGCATGGCGGCTATTCGGCTCGCTGAGGACTTGTTATACAATGTACGGCGCGTGCACGGGGCCCGAGACCAGCAAACATTGGGGATCTATACCCTGCTGGGAAGTCTGTACACGAGCATGGCGGCGTACCATCTCAAGCAGCAGAAGCAGGAAGGAGATGGGAAGCGCGGGGCCGAGTTGGCGCAGATGTACTTTAGGAAGGCGATTCGTGTCCACGAGGACGTGTTGAAGCTGCTGGTGGATGCTGAGAACGAGGGGAGTGATGACGATGATGAGGACTTGGATTCGGAGCTGGGCAGCTCGAGAAGTGGGGTGACTAGAGTACCTGGTTATTTGGGAACCCGCCGGGACGAGATTGAGCGCGTCAGGAGGCACTTGAGGTTGCTTAAGTTGGCCGTGCAAAGGTTTGGTGGTTGGGGTAAGGCCGTCGGCGAGTATGAGATGTTGACGAGAAGGATTCAGGACTTGTATGGTGGTGAGTTGAAGATGAGCGAGGAGCAGATTCTGGCCAAGAAGTGGAAGCTCGATGGCTTTGGACAGGGGAAGGCTGAGGGTGGCTTGGATGAAGACGGGTTTGTCGCTCCTTCCGTTTGGGCCATTTGTTGAATTCGGTGGGAGAAGGGACTTGGATACAAAGCCGAGAGCTATGGCACGAATAACTCATAATTGATGATACAATGATTTCTTTTGTAGTTTTACACATTGTATAGTTCCTGTAGCGGAGTACGCCGTTAATTCAATACCAATGCCACCTGTGATTACCTGTAACATGAGCTGCCTTGGTTGCCCTAAGTTGCGATCAGCAGTCAAGTCTCTGCTGGCTTAGTTGTTGCAGCTGGTAAAGACGCCGACCTCATACCTGATGAAGAGCACCATGTCCAGCAGCCCTATTGGCCAAACATGTTGTGGATGCCAGAACATCCTGGACCGGTATCAGACGTGAAATGGAGGGAAGGACTCTAGATGAGAATCGAGGAATGACAGAATACCAACAACCGAAATGGCCGCAGATGCTCTTCCAGCTGGAAAGTCTCAAATGGTTGAGTTGCAGGATGATGCTGGAAGAACTTGAGACATAGGCGTGCCGACCTTGTAACCACAAGGCCTTTGCTCATGCAGAAACTCCATGAAAAAGGCACATGCCATTAACTGTACTGAAAGATTAAATAGAAAAGAATTCATGGATGGCGACTATTTCATGGCCACGCCGGCTCACATAAGTATGAAGTATGCCATCTCCAATACGAGGCTGAAGACAGTTGTTTGAGTAGCCATGGAGATCGGTGCTTAGAACAGCTAATAGATTAACTGTGAAGGGCCCGAGCGTGTCGGTACTGATAACTTTTACCATCTGTGACCTGGTAATCTTGAATAAACATCTGAAAATGGAATGGTGAAAATACTTTTAAATGCTACAAGTCTTCCCAGGGCGGGCTGTGATCGAAGACGTGAGGGGCCACATAGGCGACGGGTACCCGTCGCTCTTCCTAAATAGGTAAAGCCCTTCCGCTATCGGAAATGCATCAACTTCGAGACTTGGAGAGTCTTTATTTTATTTTTTCTTCAGGCGTAGATAGGATGAATTAGGGAATAACTAGCTACCTTACTAGGAGAATATAATACTATAAATTGTCACAAGAATTAGGCTCGGTGTGACAGGCTGTGCCTGATATTGTCGAATATCACGTGTGTCCAATCGAGTAGTCAGCAGTGCGTAAGATTGTATATAAATGAGGTGTGTTCTTGTCTGTCTGTCTTCTTGTCAGGGTACGGCCTGGACCGAAGGCGATAGTACAGAGTGAAGGGGAGAAATAGGCGTGTCCCCCTGGTGGTCACCTGGTGTTCACTGGTGGTCACTTGGTGATGGCAGGTAGGGGTATCCACAGTAGTTCATTTTATCTCTCCCCTCTCTATCTTCCTCCGTCTCGACTCCTTACTTATAGCCAGCCGAGGTTCTCTGTTGGATTCTGGATGTTTGCTTCCGCATGTCTGTGTTCCTCCGACTTCGGCCAACATCTTGGATAGCGGCTCTTTATCTGCAACCAAGCGATTCCCTATCCGCTGCAAACGGCTTCAACAGCTCTCATTCGCCACAAGCGGCTCTCTAGCCGCCACAAACGACTTCCTTCCTGGTGGAAGCCGGCCCGCCTCGGATGACACTTGTGGCTCTGACACTTCTGTTCTCGCGAACTCCCGTTGCTCTGCCTTTTATAGATGCTTTAGAACATGTCGGTAACTTTGGTGTTACTTTTGAGAAGAGGGGTTCCTTTCGCCTTCTGAACTTCAAGTGACAATAGTCTTCTCTAGTGCCATATTATTTCTGAACCTAGGAACCAGGTGCCCTATCTGACAGATATGGGATCCGGAGCTGCAAGGACCGTGCGTCCGGATCCACCAAAGGAACCATCGAGGGCATACAAAACATAGTCCGTATTCCCGGGAGAGCTCGCATATTTTACTCTCCTCCTCAGTTAGATAATTAACAGTATTTGGCCCAGAAGTAGTCCTGCTCTGTCTCGCCACTGAGAAATGCGAACGCAATACAGAAGGATCGCTGGCAGGCGTCGACTCCGATTATATCAAGAAGAGACATTCCGTACTTGTTCGTCTTATACGTACAGTCTAATATCAAGGTATCTGGGTAGGCCTGGAGGTATGCCAGTGATTCTGGATGAGAAAATAAGATAGCTTTTACCCGGTTATCTGGGCCTAGTTGCATTCGGTTCCAAAATCCTTCTTGATCTAGCTGGTTGGCAAGTGCGTTGATACTACTCTGCCCTTCGCAAATATCTCGCCTTGCATCTGCAATACGATTATAGATATCTTGCTGAGTTGCGATAGAAGTGGTGTTTTGCCGCATATACGTTCTGATATCCTTAGGAGCTATACCAGCATTTGTAAGGCTCGTAAGCTGGGACATATCTTGTTCGGAAAGCCCTCGATGAACTGGATGAGCAGATGGATGATCACTTGGCTCGTGATCATGTATAGAGAAACGTTGATCGAAACGATGTCGCAAGGTCCAAGTACTCTTATCTAAGGATTCCTTAGCTAAGACAGAGAACTGACAGCCAGTCCCTCGAGTAGTTGTCTTCCGTTGTCGCTCCTTTGAGGTACAGGGAGGGTTAGCACGCCGATCACATAAGTACGTAATTGTTTGTTTGCCGGTTTTCTCTTTCGTTGACCTCCCATTTATAAACGCATAACCTCTTGAAGCTGCCCACGCATTAATCGCTTTAAATACAGCATCTCGAGATTCGTATTCGCCTTCAGGGGGGAGGCAGTCGTCAGGAAACCCGGTATTTCGATTTAGAGATAAATCCATGCTTATTTATAACAAGAATTAGCTGCACCAAAAGAATAACTACTTAAAAAAGCAAAAGACGTTATTTACAAGTATAGAAACGCAGAGAATGTCTCGAAGTTGATGCGTTTCCGATAGCGGAAGGGCTTTACCTATTTAGGAAGAGCGACGGGTACCCGTCGAATTTTACAGCAACCGGTACCCTTCGCCCTATGTGGCCCCGTCTTGACGTGAGATATGCTGACTCAGCTATCTTATTTGGACGCACGGGCCCTTGTCGCTGGACGCAGCAGGTACGTGAGCAGCTGGCGCCTTGCATTTCAGCCGGGCCTATTCCAACATCAGAAGCTCATGCAACTTTCGAACCCGCCATCCTGATATTTGCGACCGGCCGAATCCGAAGATACCCCAACGCTCCTTCCATGATTGACTGTTATACGTACATCTAGTTACCGCGGTCGCCCATCACAAGCTTCTCTCCATCATCATGGCGGACACTCCTCTGAAGCCCGAGAAGGACCTCAGCAAGGAGGCTGACAAACAGATCAGCGAGGCCGAGACGCTCGCCAAGGTAGCCTTCTCCCTCCTGCTTCAATGTGGTTCCATAGCGACTTGCTGACCGCGAAAACCTGGTAGAATGACATCACAGCCGCAATCGAGAAGCTCACAGTGTTCGAGAAGCAAACCCGACAAGTCAGTCGCCCACCGCCTAGCTTCCATCCCCTCCCCAACGTAGACTAACCTCGGAACAGGCATCGGATCTTGCGTCTACATCACGAATCCTCATCACGATATGCAAAATCTGCAAAGATGCCGGCAATTGGAACCTACTCAACGACCAAGTCTTGGTGTTGTCCAAGAAGCATGGCCAGCTCAAACAAGCCATCACCCGCATGGTTCAGACGGTCATGGACTTCATCGATGACACCCCAAACATGAACACCAAGATGACCGTTATCGAGACGCTGAGGATCGTAACAGAGGGCAAGATCTTCGTTGAGGTGGAACGAGCTCGCGTGACTAGGATCCTTTCCGACATCAAGAAGCAGCAAGGAGATCTCCAGGGAGCAGCCGACATCTTGTGTGAGTTGCAAGTCGAGACCTTTGGGTCCATGGACAGACGAGAAAAGACGGAGTTCATCTTGGCCCAGGTGGCCCTCTGCATTGAGAACAACGACTGGACGCAGGCAGGCATTCTCAGCCGCAAGATCAGCACCCGTTACCTCTCGCGAAAACCGAAGAAGACACCCGAGCAGCTGGAGAAGGAGAAGAAAGACCGCGAAGACCGACGCAAACGGGGAGAAGAGGTTCCCGAGGAGAAGGAAGACGACGTCACAGATCTCAAGTTGGCATACTACGAGCAACAGATCCTCTTGGCGAAGCATGATGACAAATACCTGGATGCGTGCAAGCACTACAGACAGGTTCTGGACACAGAAGCTGTAGAGAACAATGCTGTCAGGCTTCAAGCGGTACGATTGTGTGCACACCCGTTTTCTTCTGGACCCAACTAATTCCTCCGTATAGACCTTGCAGCGGATCATCTACTTTATCATCCTTGCACCCCACGACAACGAGCAACACGATTTGCTTCAGCGAGTCTTCCGCGACACTCGAAATGCGCAAGTTCCTAATGACGCTGCGCTGCTTAAGTTGTTCACCGTCCACGAGCTGATGCGCTGGCCCGAGGTGGCTAAGGTGTTTGGACCACATCTGTGCGCTACCGACATCTTCGACGGTGCCCCCAATGCCAGTGACGAGAAAGCACACCAGAGATGGCAAGGTCTTCGGAAGCGTGTCATTGAACACAATGTGCGTGTTGTGGCCAAGTATTACACCCGCATTGGTATGAAGCGCCTGACTCAATTGCTCGATCTCACGCCGGACGAAACGGAGAAGTACATCTCGGAGCTGGTGTGCTCCAAGACCGTGTTTGCACGTATCGACCGACCCGCCCAGATTGTGAGCTTTGCCAAGCCAAGGGATGTTGATGACATCTTGAACGAGTGGAGCCACAACATGAAGGACCTTCTCAACCTCCTCGAGCGTGTCGATCATCTCATTACCAAGGAGGAAATGATGGCACGCATCCAACCTGGAGCGCAGGAGAAGGATGGCAAGGAGAAGAAGAAGAAGGGCAAGAAGAGCAAGGCGTAAACGGGTGCACGGCTTAATTGACGAGTAACTCATCCGGAGGTAGGCCTGGCATGGCCTAATCGGCTCGAGACACAAACACGGGTTTGCATTATAGCATGCAGAGTGTATACTATTAAATCATTAGACCAGGGGCAATATGCCGTGTAAAACTGGATGGCCTACCCCTATCACATATGCTTCCATCTATGTTGGTTGGCGCATCATCTTCTTGCCTTGAGGCCGAAATGTGACTTTTCGTGAAGTTGCCATTGCGAGCTGCTCCATCCAATTACCAAGGTAGACCCGAGATACACCATGCACCTTTATCTTCGAACCACTGCTCAAGTACATGAAAAATCTTTCCAACATACGACTGGCTCTGTGGGTTACCTTCGGTGTCCACACCCACCTCAGGGGATGCTAGATGTTGGAGCATCCTCAGTGGAGCTGGAGCAGATGCGATTACCAATTGTTCACACCACCCAACTCGTCAGCATTGACTCATCAATTCTCACCAACCGCGCAGACTTCTCAGCTCTCAGTCTCGATCGCATATATGCGATTACGGCATTATTCATTCAACAGCCGACCTCTGTTCATAAATATTTATCCCATATTTCAATTCCGCAAAAGCTCCTGTCTGATGTCGGCCACAGCTCAGCCGAGCTCAAAGGAGCCGGCCAAAGACCAGAAGGCGAAGAACAGCACCAAAGGCAATGGAGCTGGGAATGGCAAGAAGGAATTGAAGATTCTTATGCTTCATGGTAGGACCAGACCCTGTCATTACCAGCAGCGTGGCGCACAATACCTCTCACCTACTGCAGAAACATGCCCATTATCCCATTTCATCTCATCAGACCACCCCATCTTCCTCCATATCCCAACCTATACTTCCCAAACTGACCATCTCACAGGCTACACCCAATCGGGCCCCCTCTTCCGCTCCAAAACAGGCGCCCTCTCCAAAAATCTCAACAAAGCCCTCTCCCCATCCCCCTTCAACCTCGCCCCCATGCTCATCTACCCCACGGCGCCGCACCGGCTCCGCCCCGCCGACATCCCCGGGTATCAACCGCCCGAGGGCCAGGACCTCGACCCCGACCTGGAGACGGACAATTGGGGGTGGTTCCGCCGCGATGAGGCGACGGGCAGATACCTTGGGTTCGCGGAGGGCATGCGGAGAGTGGCAGAGAGTGTGCGTGAGGCAGGTGGGATTGATGGCGTGATTGGGTTTAGTCAGGGTGGGGCGATGGGGGCGCTTGTTGCGGCTGCGTTGGAACCGGGGAGGGTTTTGCCTAAGGAAGGTGGTAGTGATGGAGATGCTGTGGTGAAGACAGAGGAAGAGGGGTGGGTTCAAGATTTGCGAGAGGCGAATGGGGGGAAGAGGTTGCAGTTTTGTGTTGTGTATTCTGGGTTCTATGCGCGAGATGAGCATTTGCACTGGATGTACGAGGGGAAAATCCAGACGCCGAGTTTGCACTTCCTGGGCGGATTAGATACAGTAGTTGAGGAGAGTAGTAGTACGGGGTTGGTGGAGAGGTGTGAGGGTGCTGTGGCTGTCACGCATCCGGGGGGTCATTATGTACCCGTGAATAAGGAGTGGATTGGGGTGCTCGTGGGGTTCTTGAGGCAGGTGTTGGGTGCGAAGGTGGAGGAGGCTGAGTTGTGAGGACATGGGGGAGGTTGATTGCGATTTCGACTGCCGTTTGCACGATTTAAACATATATTACAGACTAAGACTCATATAGAAGAGAACACAAGACCTAACTATACTAACTAGCCTGGACACCCCGGCCTCTTTAAACCCTTCTCGTATTTGACGCAGAACAAGATTGGGATATCTCTTAGGATACTATTTATTTCATGTAGTGTCCCTTATATCACTAACAGGTCGGACACAGGATTCAGGCGCGTTATTCATGTAAGATTTTGCTTTCGTAGCATCTCAGGGAGCAGATTATGTTTCCATTTATGGCTGACCCTCACGAAACAGCGAGGATATCCGTGACGATTTCTTCAAAAGTACAAGCACGTAGCCGCGGACTATTCAACAATAGTTTACCATTTTGGACATGGCTCCTGCCTTTAAGCAAGCTACCTCCTGGTTTTTCCATGGAAGACAACGGAATGAGCAGGTGGTGAAGAGCGCAGGAACTGGATATTGAGTGCGACTATCAGTTCGCCGGCTGCACATCTATAATACATTCCCTCCTTGCCCAGTTGCTGGCCGGTGCTCGGGCTGATTGTCTATAATGCATATCGACGTTCCACTCCTTAATCGTGCCATCTCGATTTCGCGTTTAGTGACCGCCGGACTTGGCGTTAGGGTTGCGCGGGTCGTTCTTCCACTCGTCGGCTGTAACCAAAGTCAGTGGTACTGTCCAAGTCCAAGTATTGCCTGGGTTCCATGTTGAAAACATACACTTCATCATGGAGTTCTGTGCCGAGTTGACTCCGAGGGCAATGATGGCTCCTATAAATATGTCAATTGTCCAATGTTCGTAACGGACATTAAGCGGCTCATCGAGGGATCGTCATCGTACCGGCAATGAAAAAAGGTGCCATCGGCTTGACTGTAGCCTTGTCAGTAATCCCATAGTTGATAGTGGTTCTCGAGGCCAATTGACGTACGGACAGGGGTGGGGAATTTCTTGAGGGGGTAAACGCCAAACCAAGACATCTTGACGGTGGGTATATGTGGTCTTGTGAGGGAGACAGGAGGTTTGGAATGGTTGTGCTGAGCTAGTCGTCGTTCGTCGCGAGCGCTTTTCGATGGACAAGCTCTGCAGGCGGTTGGTTGGCTTCTGCCGAAACCGCCGATGCCCAGCGGACTTTGGATGACCCGTGCTTGGAAATGGGGCCCACGGAACATGGCGAAATATAAGACCGACAATAGAGCTCAAGGTGTGTACTTTCAAGCTCGACCCACATCGAGTGACATCACCCCGGATTATGATGATCCACCTTGCAAGGAAGCAACAGCTTGCATCTGCGGATCGAGCTCCTAGTTGCCCAGCTCTGAATCTAGGCCTACTAAAGTGCGGGGGATAATTGACAACGCCCAATTAACCGTCAACACTGCCCCATCCCATTCACAAACTAGGTAGCTTTTGGGGTGTCTACAACCAGCCTGTCCATTATTTGACCGACCGACAAACTTCATTCTTTGTTTGTTTGGAAGCTGTTTGGTTGAACTGTTGTCGACCGTCTTAGAGTCCCCGCCCGTACTTCACTGACACTAATTTCAACACCAAACGAACGATATTTGAGTATGATGTTGTCCCGACGTATTGCTCGAGCCGTGGTCGCTGCACCGCGATCTATGCGGGTGTTCAGCTCTACTGCTGTCCAGCAGCGCGCTCCTGCGCTGGCCGACATCACCCCCAACCAAGTCGAGGAGTTCAATGCCAAGCAGAAGGAGTTTCGTGAGCACCTGGTGAAGATGCAACAAGAGCGAGAAGAGAGTAGGTCTACATATAATTCTTTCGTGCCGCTAAGCTCAGAGCTCACGAAGACACATGATAGGACGCAAAGTCGAGGCCGCTCAGAAGGCATCCAAGAAAGACCCGGATCGACCTGAGGGCTTGCTGAACAACCTCATCTACGGCACCAAGGAGGGACGCGAGTTGGATGCACAGCTAGAAGCCAGTTTCTCAGCGGTTTTGGCCCGCGGGAAGTATGTCCACTCAATTGTCTTCCACGAAGTCCACCCAGACAAGGTGGATGAGTACGTCGAGCTGGTGGGCAAGTGGTACCCACGTATGGCGTCCATGGAGGAGAATAAAGTTCACCTCGTCGGAAGCTGGCGGACTGAAGTGGGCGATTGCGATACATTCGGTAATTCTCTAATTTGCTTTAATCACCTGTTCGTATGCTGTTCGCTTGACCGGCCCGATGGACTAACACATACTGCAAACCAGTCCACATCTGGGAGTACCAACGCTACCATGGCTACCACCAATCCTTGCATTCCATCTCCCAACATCCCGACTTCCCCGAATTTGACCGTAGACTTAAGAAGCTCATAAAATCGAAAAACACTTCCATCATGCAGGAATTTTCCTTCTGGCCGACTACGCCGCCGCGTCAGCTGGGTGGTGTCTTCGAGCTGCGATCGTACACGCTCCACCCCGGCAACCTACTCGAGTGGGAGACGCACTGGCGTAGAGGTCTCAAGGCGCGTCGAGAGGTGATGGAGGGCGTCGGGGCGTGGTTTGTCCAGATCGGGGACTTGAACACTGTTCACCACCTGTGGCAGTTTGCGAATCTGGAGGAGCGAAAGGTGCGCCGTGAACAAAGCTGGAGCATAGAAGGCTGGGCCGAAACGGTGCACAAGACGGTTCCCTTAATCCAGACAATGAAGTCGCGAATTTTGGTGCCGATGCCCTGGTCCCCCACGGCATAATCGGTCGATCAGATGATGATGGCGTCGGCGATAGAAAGATTTGAGAGATTGTCGTTGTTCTGGTGTTCATGTGAGGATCTTACTGCATTTGATTGAGACGAAGCATCGTCCAATGCTATGGATGCGTCAGCACGCATCTGACGGAAGGCATTTACGCGACTGCTAGGGTCAGGCTATAAGGTACATCGCAATACTCGTTTGTACTCCGAATGAACCAGTGATTTGATACGGACAGGAAAGCAACGGCTCTAATAACTAGGCCCATACATAAATACATACGGATTTTGCCCATCATAGGTCTTGAATTTGCTAACTTTTCACAACTCCGCCTATGTGTCGGTGCGAGTGACATGCCCTTCGGAAGTGCGGGCTGGTGATCTAACAATAGTGAAGGAAGCAAGCGATTCCTATGCTAATCCTATGGTGCCGAACCTCGTCGGCTTTCGTCCCTTGACGGCGTCTGTGGCTGTCCATCCCACCGGTGACCCTCGGCCTACCCGGTAATTGTGATATTTGCATCTCCTGGTCCGAGCTGGAATTTGGATCAGTATGGAAGTTCTACTCCAGCTCAACGTCCTCGCCCATGACCACAGCCAGATTCCTCCTCGCCAATGCCAACACACTTCCCAGCGCTCCGAGTTTCGAGCTCAAGCTCATCAGACTCGGATCCGCACTTTCAATCCTCACCTTCTCTCTCACGAAGACTTGGATCTCTGTACCTCGTCCCTTACCCATACCACCTCCCCTCGCACCAGCCGGTGCTCTTTCTCGCGAAACGCTACCAGCGCCTTCATCCAGACCCTCAGGACAGTACCCAAACACCCGATCCGCTTCATCGTGTTCTAGTCTTCGCGCCGTCCCAATAGCTAAGGCAAGCTTGGTCCCGAAATTGACGGGCGCATCAGCCGGCTCCAATGCTCTCAGGTACATAACGAGCGCCGCATCCTGCAGCGTAAAGTACACGCTCATACTACCGTCCAGCGGCGGATTGAAACACTCCGGCGGTACCGAGCACGAAGTCCATCTCGTGTCCGCTTGACTACCCTCCCCCGGCTCCTTTCCCTTGACCAATCCAACCGCCTCAGACAAATAATCCGCAAGTAGTCTCAGCTGATCTCTCAGAAACCTCGGGTCCGGCCTCTCCGACACGCACAGCGCAAGCAAATCTATCGACTGCGTGAGTAAAGTATTCAGCGTCGTCAGCTCGGGGACGTGGACCACGTGCGCGGCGTCGAGGGTTAAGGTGAAGGGTGGCTGGGTTCGGAGCTTCACGGCGATGTTGCCTTTGATCAGGCGCGTGCCTACGCGTGTGATGTGGCCTTTGACGGTTTCGTGCCGGGGGGTCGAGACCACGAGGGTGGAGCCTGGGTCTATGGGCGCGAGGAGCGCGTAGGTTTCTTCGAGGGAGGTTTTGAGGGTACGGAGGGTGGTGTGGAGGTTGGTGAGGAGCCAGTTTAGTTCGCGGGCCTGGGGGGTGGGAGCTTTGGTTAGTTGGGGTTTCGCGGGTTTGATGAGGAGCCAGCCGTCTTCATCTTCATCTTCTTGTTGTACTTGCTCTATGTGGATTGGAGGAGATGGTGGGGAGGGAGGAGGAGAGAGGTATGCCACTGTGCGCAAGGCGTCGGTCATAGCTGTCTGGGTATGCAAGTGGTGAGAGATTCAGAGCTCTTACTTGTGTCGCATCTTCCTCGATTTTAAGCTGCTCTGGCGCAATGGGAGGCCAGATCGCAACAGACATGGTGATAGTGTCCTTCCGCTGTTGACTAGACGCTAATGTCGGGCAGGCTTGCACAGGCAGCAGCCATAGTATTCCAGAGACGCATTCGATGATCGTGGTCCGAAAGGTGACGCTCGGACGGCGGGCGGCTTCGGCGGCGGAGTGACGCGAGTGGGGGCCTAAAGTTAGTGAGTTAACTACATGTAGCGGGGGAGAGATTGATCAAGCGGCGGAGGGGTCTATCAAAGCTGCCGATTTACACTAATCATCACATCTAGATCTCAAAACACCCTCCTCAACTTAACAATACTTACCTTTTAGTTATACTTAAACCTTAAGCGTTACTCTTGGATACACCGCAGATGTTTGATCAGTTCGCTCAGCTCTAAATTCCATTATTAGGTCGTACTTTAACCAAACGGATATAGGATTCTGATCTGGCAGTTGCCTCGATGGAACGAAAACGCGTTGAAGCCAGCGTAAAACGTTATGATTTCGCTTGGATCAGGCATTTATAGTTTAAAGAGTATGAATTTATGGATTTTAATGTCGGACCTCATTGTGTCTTCATTGTCAGAATTATACGTAGCGGTGAGGTTCGTTTTGCTCAAGTCCTAAGCTATACTTACTACCACTTCCAACTCTTCAAGGCTTAACGATATGTTGAAAAGTTTCCTAAAGCTAGTATCCAATCTTCAACCAGTTATTTATTAGTCAAATATTATTGCACAAATTCATAGCACGATTGTATTTATTAAATTAGGAGTAGTCGGCGCTTAAACCCCTTCAATTGACCGTATCATGTATTAACTTATGTCCGTGTCTCTTAGAAAGTAGTTGGATCGCGCACCATTGATGCATAGTGAATTTGAAACTAGAACTATCATTAATTATAGTGTGTACTCGGAGTGAGGTCAGGAGAGCTACTCTGTTCACTTTCAAGAATCATTCCGCGAGTAAAACAGCAACATCGTAGGAGCAGGGGTTTCTAGCCCCAAACATGACTTAGTACTCACATTGAAAATGTCTCAACCTGTCACCTCAGTTATACTGTCTCATTTCCAGAACCACCAGGTTGACATTTTCTTAACCACCTGTAAAACAGTAAAGGCGTCATACAGGACCTTACGTGCGGCGCTTATTATAATAGGAGTGACCTCGCAACGGCAACAGGAGAACCAGTAGTTAGTGGGACTATTGTAAGGTGGCTGCTAGGGACGGGTCGGACAGCTTCAAGGCCCAGATAGCATCGATCTTCTCAGGGGGGACTTAGTTGGTAGGTTGAGAACCAACGTAGTATGGTAGTGAACGCAACGCAGTCGCCAATAGGGCGAACCGACGACGCAGCGTATGTATTTATTCCAGCCATTAGGGCACGGTTTGACATACGGGAGTACTAGTAGAGGTACCGGGGGCTTCGAGCCTACGGCGTATTTAATAATAATAATAATAATATTAAATACGCCGTAGGCTCGAAGCCCCCGGTACCTCTACTAGTACTCCCGTATGTCAAACCGTGCCCTAATGGCTGGAATAAATACATACGCTGCGTCGTCGGTTCGCCCTATTGGCGACTGCGTTGCGTTCACTACCATACTACGTTGGTTCTCAACCTACCAACTAAGTCCCCCCTGAGAAGATCGATGCTATCTGGGCCTTGAAGCTGTCCGACCCGTCCCTAGCAGCCATCTTACAATAGTCCCACTAACTACTGGTTCTCCTGTTGCCGTTGCGAGGTCTCTGCGAGAGTATAGTGGCCGTGGTGCGATGGCGGCCCGTAATCGTTCCCTCGGTCCTTCCAACAGCCCGCAAAAGAGGATTACGTGCTCTGCCGTCTCAGGGGCATCGCCACAGCGGCATAGCGGCGAGTACACGCCAAAAGCCCCTGTCTTGAATAAGAAGGCTGCTAGTCCTATTTTTTCCGTCCTGATCTGGCACAGCGTAGACGCCTCCAGTCGGTTCAGGCCGAAATACTTGCCCCCTTTCGGTATCTGCATCGAAGGGCCCTCCGGTTCCTCAGCGATAGCGCGTCGCTGGCGATCGTGATGCTCTGCTCCGGTGAGCCATCTCTTCCTCCAGTGGCCGAGGAGGGCAGCCGGGACCTCCTTTTCCTCACTCATCCACTCGG